CCACAGTACAGAGAGGCTAGTTCGTAGTAGAATGTGGAGAGAGGGAAGTAAGCAACTGTGGCAATGGCGGGTGTTAGCATGAACATGAACAAGGTGGATTATTTACTTTCTAATCAATTTTCGTTAAAGTTTTTGGAGGAAAAATTCGAAATAAAGAGATTAGGGACACATTTATCTGACAAAATTAGGAAACAAGAATGCAGCACGAGCCACATTGGAAATAGCGTAAAGCTGTCATTGCTGGGTAAAGTGAACATCGCCTGTCAGCTTAATGAGGGTCACCGCACTGCTGTACATAGACACAACAAGCTGGTAAAGAAAAACACTATCATGTGAATGCCTGCAGGGGTCCGATGAATCTCCCACTTCACTCCAGCGTTGACCAGTTCTCTTTTTTAGACAGTCAATTACAGTGACAGCTAGTGGTGATTTTGGGTGGGTGGATTAACAAATGCATCTTTCGGCCCATTTCCAATCTCCCCTTTCTGTCTAAGATACTGGAACGCACTGTCGCCAAACAACTCAAAGCCCACCTCTGCTCAAATGACCTGTTCAAACCATTTCAATCCGGCTACCATTCATAACACAGCACTGACACAGCCCTCCTCAAAGTCACCAACGACATCCTCCTCTCCGCAGACTCTGGTCACCTCAGCATCCTCATCCTCCTGGACCTCACTGCAGCTTTTGACACTATCAACCACACCATTCTTCTCTCCCTCCTGGAATCTTCCCTCAGCATCACCGGCACCGCCCTTTCCTGGCTCCAATCTTATCTCACCGACAGACAACAGTTCATCCACATCAACAACTGCACCTCCTTCACCGCTCCGCTGTCCAAAGGCGCCCCCCAGGGCTCAGTCCTTGGTCCTCTCCTCTTCATACTCTGCTTCCCCTTGGCAACGTCATTCGCCACCATGGTCTTAACTTTCACTGCTATGCCGATGATGTCCAGCTCTACATCTCCACCAAATCCATCACCTCTGCCACTCACTCCACTCTCTTCAACTGCCTTACTGACATTAAATCCTGGATGCACATCAACTTCCTTAAACTTAACTGCGACAAAACAGACATGATCATCATCGGTCCCAAATCCATCACTAAAACCATTTACAGTTTCTCCCTCACTGTCGACTCCTCCACCCTGTCTCCATCCCTTCACAGTCGCAACCTCGAAGTCATCTTTGACAACAACCTCTCCTTTGAACACCACATAAACCAAATCACAGAACTGCCTTTTTTCACCTCAAAAACATCGCCCCACCCCGCCCATCACTCTATTTCTCCGCTGCAGAAACCCTCATCCACGCCTTCATCACCTCCAGAATCGACTACTGCAACAGCATCCTGTACGGCACACCATCCAAAACCTTAAATAAACTCCAGTACATCCAGACCTCTGCTGCTCGTCTGCTCACCCACACCTGCACCCGTGACCACATTACCCCTGTCCTCCAGAACCTGCACTGACTCCCGGTCCCACAACGAATTAAATTCAAAATCCTCCTCCTCACACACAAAGCCCTCCATAACCAGGCCCCTTCCTACCTCACTGACCTGCTCGCCCACCACAATCCATCCCGTTGCCTCTGATCATCTGATGCAAACCTCCTGACTCCACCACCCAGGACCAAGCACCGAACCTGGGGCGACAGAGCCTTCTCTGTAGCTGCCCCCTCCCTCTGGAACTCTCTCCCCAAACAAATCCGTGACTGCACCGACCTTCCAGTGTTCAAATCGTTGACAAAAACTCAGCTAGATTGTCATCTGTGGTCAGCAGTTCAGCTATGGAGCACAAAAAATTCTCCAGGGTCTTGTTTTCTCGTTTTGAACTACAATTTGAATTTCATTATACAACTGTTCAATAGGCCATCCAAAACATATGTGAATAACTATTGTTTTTTTCATATTTTGAAAGAAAGTAGGTAATTAATTGTTTTCATCACATTTCACCAGATTAGTTTTTCAGAGCAGATCAAAGCTTGTTATTGTTTTTATCATTATTACAATTATTATAATTATTATTACTATCATAATTACTCATCATCCCCCATCGTTGTGGCTATTGTCGTTGTTGTCCTGGTTGGTTAAAATACTTTACGGTTAGGCCCAGAAAATATTTGGACAATGACACAATTTTATGATTTGGGCTCTGCATGCCACCACATTGGATTTGAAATGAAACAACTGAGATGCAATTTAAGGGCAGACTTTCAAGTTTAATTCAAGGGGTTGAACAAAAATATCCTATCAAACGTTTAGAAATTGCAACTATTTTTATACCAATAATTGGACAAATTAACATTACCATAAATAAAATATTCATTTTTAAGACTGTTGAGAATCCTTTTTGCAGGCAAAGACTGCCTGAAGTCTGGAACCCATGAATATCACCAAACGCTGGGTTTCTCCTTTGTGATGCTGTGCCAGGCCTTTATTTCAGCTGTCTTCAGTTGTTGCTTGTTTGTGGGTCTTTCTGCCTTATGTTTTGTTTTAAGCAAGTGAAATGCATGCTTGATCGGGTTGAGATCTGGTGATTGACTCAGCCATTGCAGAATATTCCACTTATGGTAAATGGTAAATGGACCTGTACTTGTGTAGCGCCTTTCTAGTCTTCCGACCACTCAAAGCGCTTTTACACTACGTGCCACATTCACCCTTTCACACACATTCACTCATGGCAAAGCCCATCGAACAGAAACTAACGCATTTATACACATTCACACATCGATGCACAGCATCTGGAGCAATTCGGGGTTCAGTATCTTGCTCAAGAATACCTCAACAAAAACTCAGTAGTCAGTATGTTTTGGGTCATTCCATCTGTACTGGGAAGCACTGTCCAATCAACTTTGCTGCATTTGGCTGAATCTGAGTAGAGAGTATATCCCTATACACTTCACAATTCATCAGGCTGCTACTATCTCCTGTCATATCATCAATAAAACACTAGTGACCCAGTGCCATTAGAAGCCATGTATGCCCATGCCATCACACTGCCTCCACCGTGTTTTACAGCAGACGTGGTGTGCTTTGGATCATAGATCATTCCAAGCCTTCTCCATACTTTCTTCTTCCCATCATTCTGGTACAGGTTGATCTTAGTTTCATCTGTCCAAAAAATGCTGTTCCAGAACTGGGCTGGCTTCTTAAGATGTTATTTGGCAAAGTCTAATCTGGCCTTTCTATTTCTTCTCTTTATGGTAGACTTAGATACTGATGCACCTACTTCCTGTTGAGTGTTCTTCACTTGGGTGGATGTTGTTCTTCACCATGGAAAGGATCCTAGTATCATCCACCACTGTTGTTTTCCGTGGACGTTTTGAGTTCCTGAGCTCACTAGTGCGCTCTTTTTTTCTCAGGATGTACCAAACTGTTAATTTGGTCACTCCTAACATTTCAGCTTATCTCTGATGGGTTTCTTCTTTTTTTTTGCAGCCTAAGGATGGTCTGTTTCACTTCTATTGAGAGCTCCTTTGACCGCATGTATTGGGTTCACAGCAACAACTTCCAAATGCAAATGCCACACCTGGAATCAACTCCAGACCTTTTACCTGCTTAATTGATGATTGATTAATGAGGGAATTGCCCATAGAGCTCATTAAATAGCTTTTGAGTCAATTGTCCAATTAATCCATTTGATTTGCTGTATATCCACTACTTTTCCCTAATTACATTTGCTCACACCATTTGTGAGCATATGGATGATTAAAATGAGAGTTAACCATGTCTTCACACAGACATCCAACATGGGCAGATCGGATGTAGATTTATAAATGCTGCCGGTTGTCTCCTGCTCTTTGGAGAGTCACTCTTTTGTGCAGATCTCTCTTTTCTGCAGGATGTTCATCATAGACAGAACAGGCAACAAAACCATTACAATGGGTCCATTGAGACAAGTGGATGAGGAGACAAAAGACTCACTGGCTTCAGTGATTAACAATTACAGAGCTAAATATGATGTCACTCTGATGGTTCGGCCTACAGGAATTACTCAACAGACCAGTGGGGATGACTTTAATACCCATTGCTTCAACATGTCAGGTTGTCAGAAGGTGCAGGCAAAGGCGAAGGGAAATGTTTAGGACTTTGTTGTTGTTTTCGTTTGTGTGTAGTTGGCTTCCTTGGATGAAACTACAGACCAGCACAGTGTCTAGCCTCTGTGTGTGTGTGTGTGTGTGTGTGTGTGTGTGTGTGTGTGTGTGTGTGTGTGTGTGTGTGTGTGTGTGTGTGTGTGTGTGTGTGTGTGTGTGTGTGTGTGAAACAAAAGTTTTGTAGAGAACCCCTCCTACGTCTCACATTACACTGAACTGGCTGTGTCTGGTTGCAGGGGTGGAACAATCATTTGCTTGTGACCTGTCAGTGTGTATTCGTGTGTGGTGTGGTCAGTAGAGTTTGGAAGTTCCGCTGGTACGTGTTGATATGCTCACACTATAACTCAAATATGTGTGACAAACACATAGGGCACACTGCTTGTGTGTGTGGAGCCAGTGGGTGTGACATTGAGAACACTTCTAATACATAGAAAAGTTCAGCATAGAAGCAGAAGATCGTTCTTAGAGCTCCTACCAAAGCAGAAATCACTCACAGTTATCACTCTATAAAGAACCCTTTTTGGGGCAGCTGTGATTCAGAAGGCTAATTAGAAGGTTGGCGGTTCAATCCCAGGCTCCTTCTGCTACAAGTGTCTTTTAGCAAGATACTAAACCCCAAATTGCTCCAGATTCTGTGCATTGGTGTATAAATGTGAATGAGTAAGTTAGTTTCTGTTTGTGATGGCCTTTGCCATCACTGTATGAATGTGTGTGAATGGGTGAATGTTACATGTAGTGTAAAAGCACTTTGAGTGGTCAGAAGACTAGAAAGGCGCTATATAAGTACAGTCCTTTTGTCAACATACACTATCAGGTAATCGAAAAACGGAATAACAATGAATTCTTTTCTGTTTTATCAGATGATGAATCTTGATAATTCCTTTATTCCCTTCTGTCTCTTAGATCCAGAGGGAGACAGATGTTTTCTACCCTGCACAGCCCTGCCCTGAACCTAACACATTAGCAACATGTACAGGTAAGACTACTGTCAAACGCTTAATCCATTAGGGTGAAAAGAGAGCAAGAAGTCTGTATACATTAAAGTCAAACCTAGTCTCCTCTGAAGCTGTATGATGTTTTGTCTGTAAAGTCAGTTAGCATTCCCTGAACTGGGGCGGACTGAATTACCTCATGGGATGTAGATACCTACATTAAGTATTGTGGGGCTGATGTTATAACTATATTTGAGAATAGGCTTGACTGCTTCTGAAGCAAACTTCAACTGTAGAGTATATCTGCCAACAGAAGATTGACATAAAAGTAAAAAAATTGCTGAAATAAGACACGATTAGTCTGGGAAACGAACACCCACAGATTATATTTCACCCATTATAGACTTTGCTCGTTATAGATCAAGCATTTGATCCAGGATGTTTTCATTAGTGTATAATAACCTAAAAATAACAATTGTTACCTTAGAATGGGCAGTTTCTATGTACAGAGGAAGCAGGTCCTCTTCTACAGAGTCAACCATGTTGAATCACCATGTTTCTATAGCAACCCAGAACAGACAAACCAAACACTGGCTCTACAGGGCCTTTAATGTTTTTCAGTTGCTTGGTCACTGTAGTTTCTCCTCGCACTTGGAACGGGAGGCTGAGATGAGGGCATTGTCATTTGGAATTACACCGCTAAGCTATGAAGCCAAGCAACGAATAACAGTTAAAAAAACTTCTTTGTTCGTGCAAAGTAATATATTGAGTTAATCATTCGTGTGTTAGTAGTACATGAATTAATAAATTAACATACTGTAGCACTGAAGTCCCCCTTTACATTAAAATCAAGTTCCTTCAAGTTCCTACAGTTGAATGTTTGAGCTTCACTGTGCAGAATGATGTATATGCAGGCCAGGAGCCGGGTCCAGCCCACAGGGTGTCTTCTGCTACCTTTTTTCACTATTATTTCCTGTTACCCTATACCTTGGGTTATCACAAGTTGATAACAAGGATAAATGAGTTTCAACATTCACAATTACGAATATTACATTCCATTTCTGCCGATATAAAAGCTCACAGAAAGTTTAACAATAGGAATCATTTATACAACTAGATATACAGTAGATTTAATTATGTATATCTATAATCAAATCACAAATCTTGTTTAACCAATAGCCTATTGTGCCTCTGTCTATCTGACCATGTGTCCCTCTATGGTTACTTATATTCAGTGGGACACTCTTATCTCCCTAAAACACCTGAATGGGTTGTCATGGGATATATGCCACCTGCCTTGGCTTAAATGGTAAATAGACTGCACTTATGTAGCGCCTTTCTAGTCTTTCGACCACTCAATACGCTGTACACTACATGCCACACTCACCCCATTCACACACATTCATACACTGATGGCAGTGGCTTCCATGCAAGGTGCCAACTGCTCACCAGAACGGAAACTAATCATTCATACACACTCATACACCGATGCACAGCATCAGGAGCAATTTGGGGTTCAGTGTCCTGTTCAAGGACACTACGACATGCAGCGAGAGGAGCCGGGGATCAAACCGATTAGTGGACGACCCACTCTACCTCTGTGCCACAGCCGCCCCCAGTGGGGTTGGAAATGAGGTGGTTTCCTTATGACATTTTTTAAAATAAACTGCGACTGAAAAACAATGTTAAACCTTTTTCCTAGCATAAATAGTAGCGCACTACACATAAAAATCCCAGTAAATAAGAAAGTAAAAAGTTGAACTGTTATGCCTGATTTTAGGGGTACCCTTACCTCCATGGTTCAGTGGTTCACAACCTTTTTCCTTAAGGGAGCCCTTTTCTATCGTTGAGTAAACTGACAAGTCACGTATTTTATGGATATTTCCTACTATATTCATCAGACTGAAACCAAACTCAGATGGTGTATGATCCAGCTGAAGGCATCTGTTTGGTTCCTGTGTGTGGAGACTTTGCGTGAACAATGTCAGTACTGCGAATGATCAGTCACATGCATGTATGTCTCTGTACATACATCGGTTGTGGTATGAGTTTACCACATCATTATCCAACCCAGTCTCCCCCCAAGTCACCAAATACTGAAGCTCTGTCAGGCGCTCCGCCTCCAGACATTGACACTAGGGATCCCTGTAGCATTATTTATGCTCCCTCTCTAAAATTAATCTTTAATGTAATTCATTGGCATTATCACTATGCATATCCTATAATACAAAGGTTATGTTATTGTATATTTAGACCTACTAGTTAAAAATGTACAATGCAAAAGCAAAACAAAGGGACACCAAAATAAAGTGAGGAAAATATCACAACACAAGTGAACCACCAGTGCTGCTCCAAGGAGGCGGGCACACACTCACTGGAATCCCTGTGGTTTGGGTGATATGAGGTAAATTTTCTCTCTGTGGATTGCAACCTGCACTGCAATTCAGACATAGCACCACATATTCTGTTGAAGAATGAGAAGTTATATCTTTCAGTTACTCAGCAAGCAAAAAAATTATGCACTTTCCTTGATCACTGACCCAGGTGTTTTTGTCTCTGTCTCCTCTTCCCACTTTTCCATCCTCCTCTTTTTCTTTCCAGATGTCCATCCAGACAGAGAGGAGTGTGCGCCCATTTGTTTGTTGCACAGACACAAAGACAGTCCAAAAGACAATGCTGAACTGAATGACAGTGTCTTTAAAAAGGTACGAAAACTCCTAAAGGACACAGACATACATTTGTTTGCTTCTGGTTAAGAGCTTATATCTCTGGGGGTACTGTACACAAAGACTAGTGTCAGATGAGTTTAATGTCAGCACAGCAGCTGACATTCAGAACGCACTTTGTTCATGTCAAAATCAGAAATAACTGCTGCTCCAACTTTCTGCCTTTGCACTTTTCTAAAATTAACCAGGACGGGAAAACCTCTGGTGAAAGGAGTGTTACACAACAGACTGGGGAAACACTTTCCCCTCTGTTGCTTGGCAGGAACCAGAGGAAAACCAGTTGACTGGCTGTTTCACAAAACAACAACAAGGTGGATATGTAGCACCAAATAGTGTAGATAAAGACCACATAGACTTTACATTAGATTAATCTAAGTAACATTTTTACATTCACGAAAACTTGTGCACATTGCTGCAAAGTTTTTGAAATATTTGTGCGTGCTATTATAGGGAAACATTTTTGAAAGGGGGTTTAATAGCACATTAGTTGCTCGGTAGAACCCTGTTTGTTCAGAGTGTGATCAGTGCAGCTCAGTGTGAGTCATTTGTTCTGGAAGATGCCTTTTCCAATGAGTTTTCTCATAATCCTGCAACTCCAGAGACAAAGCTAAACTCTGCTATTTTCACCCAGAACCTTGTCTTACAGCATGCTTTGAAATCACATTTAAACAAATTATAGGATTTGGACAACAGTAGGTGGGGGCATAGGGTTGGGAGTGCTTGAGTGTGGAGTAATTGAGTTCTATAAAAACCAAATGCCCTCACAGGGGTAGAAATATCAGAAAAAATTGTGACGCTTTTTCTGATTTCCACTCGCATACTAAATATTTAGTATGAGATAAGTATTTTGAGTAGCTGAGAAGTCCTCAATAACATAGTAATATGAGCATGAGAGTGTTTTTCCAAGTGACTTCAGGTTGTTTTGGGCTGACTGTTTCATTGAGGGAAATTTTGTTTTTTAACTTCTTCATGTCTAAAAATCCATCACTTATCCCTTTTTTTTTCTTAGCCTGAAGACCCCCCCCCCTGTGTTGGACACAGGGTTTGTGTCTCCTGGTCTTCCACAGATGATGCACTGATACAGGGAGCCCTCAGTCCCAATGAGGGCACTATGTCAATGGGCACACCTGATGCTGTGATCTCTCTGAGCACCAGACTGTCCTGGAAGTCAGAAACGGAAGAGCGAGGTAAAGGTAAGGTTCTTTTATGTTTTCTAACAGAGAATTGTAATTATTTTTCAAAAGAAATCCAGGAATTGATTTACTCAATTTCAATATCGAAACTTAATGTTTCCCATTTTGCCTGTGAAATTGTACAGTAGTATATTCTGAGCTGTCTTTGCCACAAGAGGGCCCAGTTTACGGTAAACCCAGATTTGTGTGCCAGATTTAGTGGCATCTAGTGGTGTAAAGCTGGGGTAGGTAATGCATTTCAGAAGCATTTTTGTTATATATGTTGAAAGTTTCTTTAAATATTGATAGCAATCAATAAATCAAATGCTACAAAAGAAAAATCTATGTGGCATCTGTGGCTGTTGCAGGCCTGTTCGAATGAAAGGGTTGGCTGGCCTAACTGCCTGTCTACCTGGGAGAGAGGCTTTCGAGGGAAGCCTGGGGGGAGTGTTTTTTTAGTGTTGTTATTTATGTTTTTTTTTTTTTTTTAAGATAAGATATACCTTTATTTGAACCCTGTAGGAGAAATTAAAATTAGACACAGCAGCATAGGGGAATGTAGTGCAAAGAGTACAGAAGTGAAAGTACAATAAGATATCACAAAATAAGAATATTACAAAATATAATAGAAAATATAGACTATAGATGAAAAGTATATACACTATATATATACACTATATGCAATAAAGTTGTTGTGTAAAGCTGCCACTCTCTGCGGCGCCGGAAGTATCTGTTGGGTACTTTCAAAATCTAGCTATCTCTTTCTAGTTTCCCCAACGTTACCTACGCTATCTGAAATGAGTGTAAACATAAAATCCAGTTTAAAAATATTGAAAGTTCAGAATTTAGAATAACTTTATTGGCCAGGTATGGTACACATACATGTAATTTGACTCTGGTGTTATGTTCCTCTTAATGTACAAACAAAGACTAAGCATAAATAAACAGGACTTAACAAAATAGACATAAACTACTATGTACAGTTATACATATATACAAAAAATAAGAGAATTTGTAGACAGTGGATAATAGTGCAATGGTGCAGAGTCTCGGATGAGGCCGATGGCTGTTGTGTCGTCTGTGAACTTCAGAAGTTTGACAGACTGGTCTCTTGAGGTGCAGTCATTGGTGTAGAGGGAGAATAGCAGTGGGGAGAGCACACACTCCTGAGGGGCGCCAGTGCTATTTGTCCGGGTGCTGGATGTGATGTTCCCTAGACTCACCAGCTGCCTCCTGTTGGTCAGGAAGTTTGTAATCCACTGACAGGTGGAGGCTGGCACAGTGATGGATGTGTTTGGTGTCAAGGATGTCCGTGATAATGGTGTTGAATGCTGAGCTGAAGTCCACAAACATGATTCTTGCATTTGGGGACCGGGATGATGGTGGAGCAGATGCAGATCTGTTGAAGATCTGTGTGAAAATGAGAGCCAGCTGGTCACCATAGATTTTTATGCAGGATGGTGACACACAATCTGGTCCTGGTACCTTCCTGATGTTCTGTCTCTGAGAGAGCTGACACACATCCTCTTCACAGATCCTAAGTGCAGGTGGGGGGTCAGAAGAGAGGGGTGACAGAGTGTAGGTCGCTGTTTGTTGTTGGCCCGTGCCTCAGGGTGAGGACTTACTCAAAACACATCCATTATTACAAGCCTGTATGCCTACTTGCCTTATGTCAGCACATATAAGAACATATCACATCCAACCTCCACACACGCATCAAATCTGAATCTAATCTGCATTACCATGCGCAAAATAACCAATCAATGACACCACACACACGACCATCATAATTTTAAAAAATCGGCCAGGCTGCCTACAAGAGATCCAATCCTAAGCAACATCATATACAACAAAGTGCTAACAATTAATAATGCAGTTTATACAGATTAGTCCTTACCTTAAAACAAACGTATGACTGATAAGTGCGTGCCAATGACCTTTTCAGAAAGCAGAAGAGTTTTTGTGTCTTAATTGTGCATCCCAAATTTCCATCCTTAACAAACAGCCAGGTGTTGCGGGACTTCCATTCTCTCCACTGCTGGCTGGTCCAGTTAGCCGGGAGAGAGAGGCAGGTCATCAGTCATCAGCGGCCTCTGAGCTGTCGGCTGTTGGCGGGCTTTCATCGGCAGCAGTCCCTGCAAGTGCAGCGGTGGTGTCGGTTGTCCGCAAGCTAGCATCTGCCGAAGAACTCGCCTCTTGCTGCTCCTCAGAGTCATTCGTCTTCGAAACATGACAGTAAAAAAAAAAGTGACGTTTAAGACATAGCGCCCCCACACTTCAGTGGTGAGGACAAGAATTGCATGCAGGCCAGTATCTTTTATTAAAGTGAAATAGTGATAAATCACCCTCATGCGCAAATAATACATTAAAAATAGCCTAATTTTACACATGATCCATGATTATGACAATATGAAAAACAAAAAACTAAACAAAAAGGAAATGCATGGGAAAAAACAGCATTTTGCCAATATTTTAGAGACCCCCCCAAAATTTCACAAATCATGTTTTCAGGGGAGCTCATGTCTCAGTAAGGGGGCCTGAGACCGCCCCTGGCTCCAAGCTTCAAAAACATTCCAATCAGTGCAGTCAAAGCAGGCCTATAGTTCCAGCTGTGACTCGTTGGTCCATCTTCGCACAGTCTTGACCACAGGCTTTGCAGATTTAAGTTTCTGTCCATAGGTTGAGATACGATGAACCAGACAGTGATCAGAAGGCCCCAAGGCTGCACGTGGAACAGAGCGATAGGCATCCTTTATTGTGTTGTAACAGTGGTCCAGTGTGTTAGTATCCCTGGTGGGAAACTTAATATGCTGTCTATATTTTGGCATCTATCTAGTCCTGCAGCTTTGCCAACACATACACAAGAAATACACCAAACGTGTGGCTTGATTGGGAATGGTGTGTCAAGACTTTTCTCATTGATACCTTTCATAATTTCCTAAATATTTCCAGTTTTCTAGCCATTCTTCCCAATTCATTCCTTATGGAGAATTCCTAGTTTTTTATGAATTTTCAACTCTCATTCATACTTCCCATAGAGACTCCATTCAAACTTTAAAACATTCACAACAAGTAGGACTTTTAACATTAATTTAGCTTTGTCATGTCTTTCATGCTTTTCACACAATTGCAGTTCAAAATTAATAAAAATTTCAGTCCTTCTGGGACTTTTCCATTTGTGTGTATTGCACGTTCCACTTCAGAGCTAGAGTGGACAGAAGATTTGAAATCGTCTAAAAATCTTGTCTTCAAACAGACTTGCACTTTTGACTTTATGAGCTTCCAAGCGACAGGAGCACCAACCAACTGCCACATTAACTTCCATATTAGGTGGCAGAAGACATTTCTGGAGTGAAGCAGAAGCAGCCACTTCTTCCAACAACTATTTTGGTCACATTTTTGACTCTACACACACAAATATCAGCAAATGTGGTCAGCAGGCTCTTGTCTTGCTGACAATATCCACATTTTGATGACAGAACTCACGGTCTTGGCCCTTGAAGATTAATCATGAGAGGTGTGCCTCAGCTTTAATCTCTATGAAATGAAGGCTCTGACCCAGGAGACACACAGTAGGTGCCATCGCCCCCTAATTGGAGTTGGTAGCACACAGCTAATTGAGATGACCTAATTAACCCACTTTGACTTGCTTGCTTTAAACTAAATTCATCTTATAATATGTATCTTCTGTCTCTTGGGATAACAAGAGACAGCACACCAAGCATTCAGGCACACTCAAAATTTCTTGTTAGAGAAATGTTATTATATCATATTACTAATTTCACATATTTACAGTGTGATGCACCTGTAATACAGATCATAAGGTTATTTTCCCCCATTCATACAATAATTTTTTTTGTAACGTTTATAGCACAATAAAACAGATTTCTGTCCTTTTAAATTGCTTGTCATGTGTAGCGTACCAACAGGTACCGTTTGTACTTTGTATCTACTTCGTTCTACATGTACATTTTTTCACACCTTTTTATTTTGTTTTATTAGGGACCAAGCCAGTGTCAATTCAATTCAATTCAGAAGTTATCTCAGGACACTTTTCAAATAGAGCAGGTCTAGACCGAACTCTAACCGAACTAAAACATTAACAACACTGGGAGGACCCTATTGTAATTGCTCAGTTTATTATTATTATTAGCACCTTTCACTGCATTTTTGACCCCCTGAACATATAGTCCAGACTCATTTTATTGGCAAATTGGTCAGGCCTGGTGAAAGATTGGATATTCTATGCGTCACATTCAACTTGGCCACTAGGTGGCGCGACTATTAAGAAAAGTAGGTTTAGGCTAATAACTTCCGCATCGTTTGTCTCACATTCAAAAATCCATATCCACGCGTTCGGTGAATGGAGCTGCATCTCCCCATATAGGCCACGCCCACTTCCGCCTAGACTTTTTTTCGGCTAGAGCGCAAAATGTCCAAAAACTATGTTTTGGTGTTCCATCCATGCACATTTGTCTAATTCGCACGAAACTTTTCACGTAGCATCTGGAGACCGTCCTGACAAAAAAAGTAATTTAAAGTATTTTGATATTAGTATGTCGATTGACGCCAACCTTGGGTTAATAGTTCCTTATGTCTCCATTACGCCTTGTGCACAATTTCAGGCCATGGCCACAAGGCATATTTATATCTCCGCATCGGCAAGTGTGATTAAAACGAAACTTGGTACAATGATTGCCCATGGCTCCCTGAGGCTCACTTAAAAAAGAGAAAAAACCACACCACTGGGTTGCCCTCTGGTGGCATGGTAAATCACTCTGCGGAGACCGTAATAGTGATGAATATGAATTCACAGGACGCGTGTAGATTGGTGCCTGTAGCTCGAACACCACCGTGTTTGTAGCGCCCCCTACAGTGTTTCAACGTAGCAGCCGCAGCGCCACGTTTCACCAATATGTATAAAATTCGGTAGTCACATGTAAAGTGCCAAGACCTACAGAAAAGCCTCTTGGACCCATGCCCCAAAACCCACAGGAAGTCGGCTATTTTCATTTTCACTGTTGGCGGCCATTTTGTGGTCATTTTCACTTTTTTGGCTTGTATTTGAACGAAGTCCTCCTAGGGAATTTATCGGATCTGCTTCAAAATTGGTCAGTACAGTCAAAAAATGTTGCTGAATGAACGCCGTGCTTTTTGTGACTGTACGTTGAAGGGCGTGTCTGTGGCGTGCCGTCAAAGTTGGCCATTTTTAATTCTTTTGTCATTTTCAGTGAATTTTTTCCTTGTATTTGAACAAACTCCTCATAGGGGACTTATCTTTTTCTCTCAGACATTTTTATTAAAACTTAATCACAAATACAGAAATGTTCATACAATGTACATTTCTTTTTTCAAAGTGATAAAACACAAACACTTTCCACTCCCACTTGCCACATCTACAAACCATATTTTCTACAGAGTATTGTTCCTGGAGTATTATAGGAAACCGCTGGAAGTCAAGTATTAAATTGCAAGATAAATAGGGGACTTATCAAATCTACTTCAAAATTAGTCAATATAGTCAACATATGTTAAATATTTACTGTGCGTCAAACTGTGTGGCATGGCGCTGAATTTCCACCTTTCATAGTGAAGAGTCTCTGAAAGCGTAAGTCTTTGCAGTGTCTGAAACGTGTGACAACGTAGAGTGGTCTCCCTCAGCTTCTGGCGATGAGGGTTTGGGAGTGGGGTGACGTTAAAATTTTTGTTACGACGGCATGTGACGCGGCCATATCACGCCCCGAGTTGCGTGGAGTGCGAGGTCCCGCCCAATGCTGCTTGCAGCTTTAATTTTGTATTTCTTTTCTAAATCTCAGGAGGTGGAGAGACAGAAGAAGGAGGAGGAGGAGAAGAAGATGAGAAAAAAGACCATCTTCCAGAAAATCCCCTCTCATCTGCCATCATGCGAGCCTCTATCCATTCCTTGTCTCCGTTCCGTCGTCACAGCTGGGAGCCGGGCAGGAACAAAGCCACTGCAGAAAGTGACATCACACAGCACAGGTACTGGGTTTCCAAGTTAGGATTGCAAAATATCTAGTCCTCATGAGCACTTTGTAGGATTGGTTAGCCTTCAAAGAGCCATGAAGAAGCATCCGGTTTGACTTAGCCTGCTTGGCGCATCCTGGCTTAATTGGTTGCACGTTTGCTGAGCCAGGATTAAAAGGTGTGGCTATGTTAAGCCAGGTGTAGATAGTTGGGGTAAGTGCGTGTTCACGGCATACTGAAATAGACCTCGCGATCGCTCACAGAATCACCGATGGGAACATGGATAAGAGTCGCGCTTCATATTTCACGGTCGCTGAACAACAGCTCCTGATGGAGTTCTATGAAGAGATGAAAGATATCATAAGAAAAAAAGGCAATACCAATGCCATAATTAAAGAAAGAGAGAAAGCCTGGCAGACAATAGCGGACTGGCTTAATGCTTAAGTAGTCCAAAACTGTACAATTAATAAACAGTGCTCCACTGGAAGTGTCATAATTAGGCTACAATTAAAGGACTAAATGAGTTACTTTAAGTCCACTAATCAACTGTTGTACACTTTGCTTTAAATGTGGCAAGTAGAGGTTCATGTTACTCAGGAAATGTAGAGTATGATTAAGTGCAAACAATTATCCACAATGTGTGTAATTTAATCTATTTTTATCTATTTTATCTTTCTATCCTTCATAAAGAACAAACTTGTCTGGCCATAAAAGGACCTGGCAGCAAGTTAAAATAAATACAAGAACATTTTGCAGGCTGGAAAGTGACTATAAAGTAGATAACAGTGAACAAATGAGGTGAATAGATTAGGTGTCTGCTGACATGTTGAATGTCTGTATGATTGTAGCAGTTAAAAAAAAGCCCATAGAACTGGCACAGGGGGCGGCCCACCAAGCCAGGATATGTGCGGCAAATGGTTCCTTTATTAAGGTTCTCTGCATCCCCAACAGAATAAAGGAAGCTCCCACTTGCAAAACATCTCAATGTAACACAGACCTTCTGTGGTACAGTGAGAGCATGGCTTCCTGCCGTCTGGTGCTGTATTTTTGGACCCAGCAGCCTACATAAATATCTTAGTCCATCACCTGAGAATCTGTATCTCTCAATGAGATAGTCATCTCCAACAGCCAATGTGCCTGACCTGTCCCAGAAGACTCTTTCATGACTAAATGCTCGTCTGAGGATTAGGGCTTCCTCATTCCTCATCAGTACATCCTCCAACAAAGGACAAGCCATTATGAAGAAGGAACAGGTGTGAATTATATATATATATAGGTCCGCATCAGGTGCTAGGGAACCAGGGCAACCTGATGAGAAATGGGCTACTGGAACAAGACATAGATGGACAAGGGCGGAAAACACGGAACTGTTGGAATGCTACTACATGAGCAACCCCAGAGAGAAGGGATACATGCAGCAATTGTGGGACCATTGGTTACTTCGAAACCCACAATCAAGGCTAACAACGAAACAGCTGTTGGCCCAGTGTTCCAACATCCGCAATCGAAACCTCCTATCACAACTAGAGATCGATGAGATACAATAACGATGCTACGGCAAGGGGGCAAAGGCCTGGAGAATAAACAAGTTGTTCTCCACTGAACCAGCCAAGGTGTACTCTCAGTGGCAGGGAGGAAATAACAACAGGCCAGACCCACCAAGAGCTGAGGTGGAAGAATACTGGAAGGCCATATGGGAAAAAGAGGCATCACACAACACAGATGCCCAATGGCTAGTGGACCTAAGTGCAGACCACAGCAACCTCCCAGAACAAGAACCAGTAACCATCTCAATGGCAGACATCCAAGAAAGAGTGTCAAAGAATGAAGAGCTGGACAACACCAGGCCCCGATATGATCCATGCCTACTGGCTGAAGAAGCTAACAGCACTCCATGAACGCCTAGCAGCACAGATGAACCAGCTGCTAAGGGCTGGGTTCCACCCAGAGTGGGTAACCCAGGGCAGGACGGTCCTAATCCTGAAGGACCCTAAGAAGGGTCCCATCCCATCCAACTACCGGCCAATAACCTGTTTCTCCACAACATGGAAGGCTCTATCAGGTATCATCGCGGCTAAGATGAGTAAGCACGTAGCCCAATACATGAGCAGGGCTCAGAAGGGAATTGGTAGCAACACCAGAGGAGCCAAGCACCAGCTACTGGTCGATAGAGCAGTCGCCCGAGACTGTAAGAGTAGGAAGACCAACCTGTGCACCACCTGGATCGACTACAAGTAAGCTTACGACTCAATGCCCCACACGTGGATACTGGAATGTCTGGAACTGTATAAGATCGACAGGAACCTAAGGGCCTTCATCCAGAACTCTATGGGAATGTGGAAGACAACCCTAGAAGCCGACTCAAAGCCAATTGCCCAAGTCAACATCAAATGCGGCATATACCAAGGAGATGTGCTATCACCACTGTTGTTCTGCATAGGCCTGAACCCCCTCAGTCAGATCATCACAAAGAGTGGTTACGGGTACCAATTCCGAAGTGGAGCAACAATTAGCCACCTGCTCTACATGGATGACATCAACCTGTACGCCAGGAATGAGCGAGAAATCGACTCGCTGATCCACACCACCAGGACATAGGGATGTCATTCAGATTTGACAAGTGCGGCCAGATGGTCTCAAAGAGAGGCAAGATGATCAGAACTGAAGGGGTTGACCTACCAGAGGGCAACATAGGTGATATCCAAGACAGCTACAAGTACCTTGGTATCCCACAGGCTAATGGAAACCATGAGGAAGCCACAAGGAAGTCAACCACAACCAAATACCTCCAGAGAGTAAGGCAGGTCCTGAAAAGTCAGCTGAATGGCAGGAACAAGATCCAAGCCATGAACATGTACGCACTACCAGTCATCAGATACCCTGCTGGGATCATAAGCTGGCCAAAGGAGGAGATAGAAGCCACAGATATCAAGACAAGAAAGCTCCTCACCATGCACGGAGGGTTTCACCCCAAATCCACCACCCTGAGACTGTACGCTAAGCGGAAAGAGGGAGGCCGAGGACTAGTGAGCATCAAGGCCACTATCCAGGATGAAACATCAAAAATCCAAGAGTACATCAGTAAAATGGCCACAAAGGATGAACTGCTAAGTGAATGTCTCAGGCAACAGAAACCCGATAAGAGGGCAGAGGAAGAGGAGCAGACAACCTGGAGGGACAAGCCCCTACATGGCATGCACCACCGCCAAATTGAAGAAGTGGCTGATATCGAGAAGACCTACCAATGGCTGGAAAAGGCTGGACTCAGAGACAGCACAGAGGCACTGATCATGGCAGCACAAGAACAAGCCCTAGGTACAAGAGCCATAGAGGCCAAGATCTATAAGAGTAGATCTGACCCAAGGTGCAGACTATGCAAAGATGCCTCTGAGACAGTCCAGCACATATTAGCAGGGTGTAAGATGCTAGCCGGTTCAGCGTACATGGAGAGACACAACCAAGTGGCTGGAATAGTGTACAGGAACATCTGTACCCAGTATGGAATAGAAGTACCCAAATCCCAATGGGCCGCACCACAGAAGGTGGCTGAGAACAACAGGGCCAAGGTGCTGTGGGACTTCAGCTTCCAGACTGACAAACAGGTCCTGGCCAACCAACCGGACATAGTGGTGGTAGACAAGGAGCAGAAGAAAGCGGTTGTGATAGATGTGGCCATACCAGCAGACGCCAACATCAGAAAGAAGGAACACGAAAAGGTTGAAAAGTACCAAGGGTTGAAAGAACAGCTGGAGCAGATGTGGAAGGTCAAGGCGAGCGTGATCCCTGTGGTAGTAGGAGCACTCGGGGCAGTCACCCCCAAACTGGGGGAGTGGCTCCAACAGATCCCAGGAACAACATCAGAAGCCTCAGTCCAGAAGAGCGCAGTCCTAGGAACAGCTAAGATACTGCGCAGAACCCTCAAACTCCCAGGCCTCTGGTAGAGGACCCGAGCTTGAGGATGACACAGATACCACCCCAAGAGGGTGAGAGGGAAGTTTATATATTATGGCATGCCGTTTAGGAAATGAATCTTCGAATATATGGAATGAACCTTGAATATATGGAATGAACCTTGGATATATGGAATGAAGCTTTGAATATACTGATAAAAATGTGAGAATACTGAATGAAATTCAAAACATAGTTGTATCCTTTTCATCAAAGTGATAGCCTTCTGAATTAGCTGGTTTTACAAAATGGCATCAGTTGAAGTATTACAATACTTTCTTGAACTGGAAAACTTTTTTGCTTTTTCTGTCCTGTTGTAGTCGGCCTGCCACGATTAAAAAGGGAGTGAACTTCTTCGTCAGGAGAACGGTATTGGGCACGTGTATTATGGGAAGGATTTTGGCCCGTACAAGCACTTGCCAATGAGTAAATAATGTCCTCATTGCTCAGTATTGCTGCCACAAGGTTCCTGACTGACTCATTCTCACTTCTACAAGATGGCAGCAGTGCCTTGATGACCAGTCAAGTTTCATTCCATATATTCAAAGATTCATTCCATATATTCAAGGTTCATTCCATATATTCAAAGATTCATTCCATATATTCAAAGGTTCATTCCATATATTCAAAGATTCATTCCATATATTCAAAGTTTCATTCCATATATTCAGTTTCATTCTATATATTCAAAGATTAATTTCCTAAACGGCATGCCATAATATATATACTATATTGCCCTTGTCACAGATTTCATTGAAAACACCTTTGCAACTTCATCAGCTGTGTTTTGTAATCTCAATTACTGCAATAAAACACACATTTATGCAATTTGACAAGCAGTCTTCATTAGCATAGCAATATAACACTTGGCCTGAGTAATAATACTATCACTTGAATCAATATAAAAAGACTGTTGCAATTACAAACAGCCAACAGATTTAAATGAATTAAGAAATTACAACATATATGTAATATTTTAATGCAGGATAATTAAAATGATGCAACATACTTAGAAAGACCATGGACATGCTGTAAAACACATTAATTCGTCACAGGATTGACGATGGAAATACAGGTGAATCACTAGGATTAATCTTAGCCGGGCTGTTAGCCTGGTCTGGAGCAGGCTAGCTGCAGATGATAGATCACCATAGTAACTTGGCCGGGTTAAGTTTAACCTGCTTTCATGCAACCGACTTGAGGCTAAATTAAGCCAGGATAACCAACATATCCCGGCTTAATCCCTTATCCTGGGTTTGTGCAATACCCCTCAGGTCTCTCCCACAAATGGTCTTGTGAGCTGTGACTTACTCCTGACCCTAATTCTGTTGACCACTGCTGACCAACTGCTTCCTACCATAAAACACAACCCCCTGACCAGGACAATATACATTTACTACCCTCCTAATACTGTTTATTTACCACAGTGACACTTTATGGAACTCTTATTTTACTCAGAGCACAATGTACTGAGGCCTTTGTGCCTGTGTGTTTTGTCAGACCAGAGCACCAGCCTGGTGAAACTATATGTTCTAAAAAGAACAATTTGAGATGAAAACATTCACAAAAATCCCCTTATTTCCATTCTTTTGTTCAACTCTTTCAGGCTATCCCTCCCTTTTCTTTCCACTAACAGGTCATCTGTCTCTTCCTTCAGCTCATTGAAGAGCCTGTCAGGAGAGGCAAAGAGAGCCAAGTCCCCCCTCCACAGGAGAAGGTACCCCTTTCATCCATCACTTGCTTTACACACACATCACTCTGTTACTTAACATGTCTACATTCTTCTTCTTTTCACTGCTGTGTATTATGTGGTTAAGCAAATGGTCATAAAAGACATAGATGTCAGTGAGTCACTGTCCAGGCCCTTTACAGTAATTCAACTTTGAATTAATGGAGTTCTTTCACGCTCACATTTGTCACTATTGACTAGAGCAGCTCATTTCTTAGAAATCTTTCATTATTCGAACGTCTGTCTGTATAAAGATGAGTGTGTCCTGAATAACAAGTGAGTGAATCTGACAGTATTTAGTAACAATATTTTAAACTCTCAAAACATGATCAGAATATCATTCCTTCAGTCACATCAGGTGTAGTTTAGCATTCTTGTCTTTCATTCTGTAATTTTTAAGTCATCTTTCCAGTCTCAGCCTACTTATGTGCCAGTCTAGACAGGCACACAGACATGCACACACACCAAGTGCCTTGCATGGTATCCGATGGAAAAGTTATTCATGGAGTAAAAGAAGAAGCTCCACACCATCTGGAAAAACAGAGTGAGATGGAGTGAGGGTGGGGATGGAAAAATCATCTTTGATTCAGTCAGATATGGTGCAGTGATATGTGTCAGGTCCAGCTTATCAAAACCTCAACTGCTGGAGTCATCTGTCTGCATCAGGTGGACCTGTGGAATCTCACTTTCACAGCACTTTTCTCTCTTTGCTTCTCTATAGCACAAACTTCTCTCAGTGATTAGAGCATTACATTACTAAAATTGATGAATTGAGTGCTTTTATCCTAACACTAAGATCCAAATCCTTAAACTTTATATACCAACTGGGGCTAGGCACTTTAAGAATCAGAACTGGCAAGGAAGTTGACTCTGATGTTTTCCGTTGCTCTTAAAGTTACACACAGTTCCAAGACAATTCTCAGGATGATAAAAATATACAAGCTAAACGCAAGGACAACTAAGCTGATTAAAGATAGTGAACATACACATTAAACTATGATACAAGTAGGTAAAAAATAGGTATATGAATATGTGTAAAAAGCAACAGTGAACAACAACGTACAATGTCTATATACAAGTTAAAGTTTGTAGAACATTAATATAACAGCAACCAATTCCCATGTTTTCACATTTTGCATCATCCTTCATCCCTTAATCTTTCCATCTCTCCAGTATGAGTTGGTGTCCATCCAACCTGTGTCATCCTGATCAGGAGCAAATAGACAACAGAAGGTAATTACTTCTAGTTGCATTTCTGAAAGTTTCCTTCAGAGCACTGATTACTGAGCACTGTTTAAATTCAAGGACAAAACATACTGATACAACATACAAGTTGTGCTGCAAAGCATGTAAAAGGACATGATAAAATTCAGTTATATGTTTGTGTTATTTCCTTGCACCCAGCTACAGTCTGGAGGGTCTGGAGGTGGAAAGTGAAGCAGTCCAGGCTCAGTGTCCCAGCCTCAGTGATCAGAAGGACAGGACTGCAGGGAGAAGTTGTCTGGAGAGCCAGGAGAAAGGCTCACGGATCTCCCTCACTGAGGAGGAGCAGGAAGGAGATGGAAGCAGCATCGATAGCCAGGTGTGTGAGAGATGGACCTGACCTTCCCACCAGAATAAACTCTCATCAAGTTCCCATCTGTAAAATTTCACACAGCAAACATTCACAAGTGTTCATATATCACAGCTTCCTTCAGTGTAATGACTGTAGAAAGGACATACAGATACAAAAATTTTACCCTTTCAGAATAAAAGGTGAGAGGAGTAAACACAATGTTGTGCCAGATTAAGATTTATTCTTAATTTCTTTAGAACTGGAAAAAAAAACTGTGCCTTATCTGGTGGTTTCATTAAATGTCTAAATGAGAGAATTCTGCTGCACCTCGTCCCTGTTTTGTTTCACTTCCAAATATTTAACTAAACCAGGTCAGTTCAACCAGTCCCGTTCCAGTAAACCAATTGGATCTGCAACTGTTTTATCCATCAATTCATGTTTTTGATTCTTTTTTTTCATATCCAAATTCTCTGATTTATTTTCTTCTGGTTTCTGTAGTCCTATATGACAGTATACTGAATATATATTTGGGTTATGGATTATGGGCTTTGGTAAGCAGTGATCAACATTGTTCACCATTTTCTGACATTTTATGGACCAAACAAAAGAAAATGATCAACAGATCAATCAGTAATGAAAATAATTGTTAACTGCAACCCTAAAATACATATACAGTACATATGGAATATTTGTACAATGGAATGTACCCGGTCACAAATAGCAGTTTCAAGATCATAATCTAATTTTTCAAAAACTGATATATCAATATTCCTGTTGCTCATAATATTAATAATAGCGTTTTCCCCTTGTGTGTTTTGTAGACATCACATCAGCTACTGTCAGCGACAAACAGCTGTCCTACCATGTTCAATCACAAAACCCTCACTAAATCCATCTCCATGGTTACCATCAGTCACCGCGGTATAGATGGTGAGTTTCTTAACAATCTCTTTTTATTTTGTTTTATTATTCCCCTTTGATTTTTGTTTTCTCATCTTTTATTTGATTCTTTTCATCCTGTTATCTGTACTCTTGTAGTTGTGAAGTTAGATGTACTCTCGAACTTGTGCAATAAGCTTTTTTTTATTTCCCTGTTAATCCTGCCACAAACCATCAATACCCTTTAGTAAGTGGAGTTCCTCGATCAAAGCGACGAGTCAGCTTCTCCCTCAGTATCTCTCCGTTCCTCCCCAAAAATAGACGCTTCTTTTCTATTGGCTCTTCCTCCAGTGATGAGGAGGAGGAGGGAGAGAGTAAGTATGATGAATGTACCTGTAGTCCTGTGTTCCCTCTGTCAGTGTGGTGTCCAGTAACACTGCCCAACAAAACAAGTGCTCACTAAAATGTGTTCTCCTCATCCTGGAACAGTGCAGAATCAGATGAATAGAAAAGACAGTAACTGTTTCCACTTACTGTACGTAAGTACTGATTTTTCGTTTAGCCCATGTCCTGTCGGTCTGGCAATGCGCCATGATGTCAATCAGCAAGGTGCTGTGTTGGACAACCATGTACATGTAAGCACACATTCCTGGTGGAATAATTTCTAGAATGCTGTAAATCTACTGACTGCCCACTATGGAAACAACTTTTATATGGGTCAAACTTGTGAACTTTTGCATACATAAGTTCATTCTTGACCTTGGAAACAGTAGTCCAAGGTCCATTTACTAGCTTTTAACTGCAAATCATAGTCTCAGGTCAAAGTTTATTGTCAGCAAGGAAGTAAAGAAATCTGTTCAGTGAAACTCTAAATCAGCAATACAGAAATCTAAACTGAAAATATACAATCGAGTATGAGAGTAAAGCTATTAAGTATACAGTATAATATACAATAAAATACACACATATAGTATAGACCAGTGGTTCCCAACCTGGGGGTCACCAAAGCTTCATGGTGGGTCACAAGGCCGTCTTAATTTTAAGGGGTGTGAGACAAAAATGTACACAGTAGGGCTATATCTTAACATTTTGTTCAAACCTGTGAAGAAAACTAAATTAAATCATTATTTGTAAAATTTAGATTATTATTATAGACCTGAACACAAAAACAACCAAAGAACTAATAGAACAATGGCCAAGCGGCAGAGAGAAGAAAACACTGAAGTTTGTCTACAATGAAGCCTATTAATTATGTATGACTTTTAAAGATATAAATTAATATATTACTGAAGAAAAAAGAGAGAAAATGGTATAAAAAGTGTTATGATCTAGTGCAAGTGATCTCCTGTACCTTTTTGATTAGTGGTAATATCCTTGAGTCCACATGTCTTTCCTTCTTTGTTTCCCCCGGTCAACTTTGTAATGACTTTACTTCTATGTTAGCACTTTATTTCCACACTTAAACTGCCATTTTGCTTGAACAGGTTTCAATGAGTAAATTTAGATTATTATTATAGACCTGAACACAAAAGCAACCAAAGAACTAATAGAACAATGGCCAAGCGGCAGAGAGAAGAAAACACTGAAGTTTGTCTACAATGAAGCCTATTAATTATGTATGACTTTTAAAGATATAAATTAATATATTACTGAAGAAAAAAGAGAGAAAATGGTATAAAAAGTGTTATGATCTAGTGCAAGTGATCTCCTGTACCTTTTTGATTAGTGGTAATATCCTTGAGTCCACATGTCTTTCCTTCTTTGTTTCCCCCGGTCAACTTTGTAGTGTCTTTACTTCTATGTTAGCACTTTATTTCCACACTTAAACTGCATTTTGCTTGACCAGATTTCAATGAGTAAATTTGGCTTTGATAACTTTTTTGCAGGTATTATTATAATATATAGTATTGTAGTATTGTCATGCAAGTACAAGCTGTGTTGGTCTGATCAGATATCTGTCCCATTTGCTTCCTGTAGGGGTGAGCTCATTCTCCAGTAACTCCGGGTCACTGGAATACAGGTATGAATGTGTTAGGCAGTGTTGGGGTTAGAAAGAGAAACACAGAGATGTACAGCAATAACAATAGTAACAATCACAGCTACATTAGTAGAAATACGACTAATAATATGATATGATAATGATGATAACAGCCATAATAATAATGATGAATGATGAGTAATAAATAATAATGGTGATAATAATAATGACAATAATATTAGCAGTGGGCATCAAAAAGGTCCACAGCAGCAGTCCTAACCTTTCTGATAATTTAAGATCCAGACTTACTAGAGTCTTTTATAGCAAGCTGAATTATCCACAGAATTGTCCTCCTCTCTAAAATAAATGGACCTGTTGATAAAAACAGTTAAAAACACAGAATAAAACAGTGAGATCTTAAAACCCTTGTTTCTCTGAGGCTGTGCAGAAGACAAAGGATGTCCTGAAGGGGCTGTGAGCTGCTGCTGACATTAACTCAGCTTGTTTCTCTGATCCTTCATCTGGTTAAAATATAGAGTGAAAATATATAGTTAAAAGTCTAAACATTGTGTGGTAAAAATGTGGCCTAAAACTGGATACTTAATTACACTTAATGACAGCTTCTGGCAGACAACCACAGCATTGACACAAGCACAAATGAGATATGATTCACAACCACTGAAACACATTCTCTGGGTTTTAACATTGTTAAAAGTGCAAAACTCAACAAAATATGTAACATAGTTATATACTGTTAATAGACAGTAGTCTAATTAGTAAATGTTACATATTATATTTTTTTAATTTTTGGAACACGGACCAAAAAGGTGCGGGACATAGAATGGGTCAGTCTACAGCCTTTGTCTAAAACTTGTACTATAAAAGCATTTGAACATGGCTAACAATTATTCTTAAATTACTTAAGTTAATCATGTTACACTGCTGCGTTACTAAGAGAAGTAAAGAGATTGCTGTTGGTGATACTACCCACTAACAAAAAGTATTCACATGATGATGATTAACATGAGCAGACTTTTCACTCCTCTTTGCTTTGTGTGATAAAGCAAATTGGATTTATAATCACTGTGTGCTTGATAGTATTTCAGAGGAGGAGCCAGGCCCTCTGCGGACTGACACTGAGGGAAAAGGAGGACCTAAAATCAGTCGGACGTTTAGCTACCTCCGCAGCAAGATGAGCAAGAAAGGAAAGGTAAGAACATGTGCAAGTAACTTCTTGGTTTGTCTGTTCTGGGCTGTTGTTGTAACATGTTGTCTCAACGTGCCGATCTCCATAGAAGGGGACCCGTGGCATTGAATAAAAATGGCAAATTTTAAGGTAACAAAAAGATGATCATACACTAATTAAAACATACGAATGAGTATTAAATGTCATCTCTGCCAACAGCTCCTCCTAAATGTTACACACTGGACCTTTAAAGCTTCAGGAAGGAAGCTGTAGTGCTTCACAAAGGTCTGCTACTTGGTTTACATTAGAGAAAATCACAGTGATGATGATGAGCTCAACCCTACAGTAAGCACATTTTATTGCATTATTACCCCAGTGCTCACTTAGCGTGTGTCAGTGAGACACTTTTGGTGAAAACACTGGAGGTCTTCAGCACTTGTTAAAGGAAGCTGAAGTTGGTATTGCTGTACTTTAAGCTGATCATAAAATCTCTGATACATCTGACCATCATGTTAAAGGTGGTGTTAAACGATTCTGGAGAAATCCAATACCATGATAAATACAATGATATAGTGCAAATGCCAGTAATGTACCTAACATTAGCTTGCTACATTGTTGCTACAGTGGCTGCTGCACAGCTTACATGTAGGTAAGACGAGCCGTGTACCCGTGCTTCAAAACTCTTCCTCTCTGCCTCTGAGCGACAGGGCCGGCTGTGGCTCAGAGGCAGAGCGGGTCGTTCCTTAATCGGAAGATTGTGGGTTTGATCCCCACGATCCCCTGGTGCCACATGTGTAAGTATCCTTGAGCAAGATACTGAACCGGCGCTATACAAGTACAGGTCCATTACCATTACCATTCTTCTACCACAGCTAATAGTTCAATTCAATTCAGTTTTATTTGTATAGCGCCAATTCATAACAGAAGTTATCTCAGGACACTTTTCAAATAGAGCAGGTCTAGACCGAACTCTTTATAACACTATTTACAGAGACCCAACAGTACCACCATGAGCAAGCACTTGGCGACAAGGGCAAGGAAAAACTGCCTGTTAAAAGGCAGAAACCTAGGACAGATCCTTCGGCTCTAGGTGGGTGGTCGTCTGTCTCGACCAGTTGGGGTGAGAGAGAGAGAGAGAGACAGACAGGTGTACAGCAACAACAGTATTGGCAATGGCAATCTAGCAGGACCATGGCAGGAGGCTCCACCAGGATCGATAAGAACCTGCAAGAAAAGAAAACACAAGAACTCCTGGGAAGAAGTGAAGTTAGTAACATGCATTAATGGGACATGAATGAGTGCAGAAAGAGAGAGGAAGAGAGGAGCTCAGGGCACCATGGGAAATCCCCCGATAGTCTAGGCCTATAGCAGCATAACTAAGGGATGGTTCAGGACTCACCTGATCCAGCCCTAACTATAAGCTTTATCAAAGAGGAATGTCTTAAGCCTACTCTTGAATGTGGTGAGGGTGTCTGCCTCCCGAACCACAACTGGAAGCTGATTCCACAGGAGAGGAGCTTGGTAACTGAAGGCTATATTTTTGTAATATTACGTAAATGAAAGAAGGCAGGTTTGCTTTATGTGGGAATTAAATGACAAATCCTGATCAAAGATAACTCCAAGATTCCTGACAGTGGTGCTAGAGGCCAAGGTAATGCCATCTAGAGTAACTATGTCTTTAGACAGTGAGTCTCTAAAGTTTTTGGGGCCAAGAACATTTAACATCAGAAAATTGCAGCTCATCCAGGATTTTATGTCCTTAAGACATGTTTGTAATTTAGATAACTGATTAATTTCATCGGGCTTAATGGATAGATATAACTGTGTATCATCTGCATAACAGTGAAAGTTAATGGAGTGATTCCTAATAATGTTGCCTAAAGGGAGCATATATAAAGTAAATAGTATTGGTCCAAGTACAGAACCTTGTGGAACTCCATGACTAATTGTAGTATTTATTGAATTCATCGTTAACATGTACAAACTGCGAATGATCTGATAAATATGACTTAAACCAGCTTAGTGCGGTTCCTTTAATGCCAATTTGATGCTCAAGTCTCTGTAAAAGAATATCATGGTCAATGGTGTCAAATGCAGCACTAAGATCTAATAATACAAGTACAGAGACAAGTCCATTGTCAGAAGCAATCAGAAGGTCATTATTAACTTTAACCAGAGCTGTCTCTGTGCTATGATTAACTCTAAATCCTGACTGAAAATCCTCAAATAAACTTTTGTTATGTAGAAAGTCACACAACTCTTTGGCGACTACTTTCTCCAGAATCTTAGAGAGGAAGGGGAGGTTAGAGATTGGTCTATAGTTGGCTAAAACCCCTGGGTCAAGAGTGGGCTTTTTAAGAAGGGGTTTAATTACAGCTACTTTAAAGGACTGTGGTACATATCCTGATAATAAAGAAAGATTAATCATATCCAGTAAAGAAGTGCCAATTAAGTGAACAACTTCTTTAAGCAGCCTAGTTGGGATCGGGTCTAATAGACAGGTTGATGGCTTCGATGAAGAGATTATTGAAGTTAACTGATGATCGATAGCAGAGAAACAGTCTAAATATATATCTAAGTTTACATTAGTAAAAGTCCCTGAACTTGGAGAGCCACTGATAACTGTTGATGGCAGTTGGTGATTAATTTTCTCTCTAATAGTAATAATTTTATTATAAAAGAAGCTCATGAAGTCATTGCTACTTAAGTTTATGGGGATATGTGGCTCAATAGAGTTGTGACTCTCTGTCAGTCTGGCTACAGTGCTGAAGAGGAACCTAGGGTTATTCTTATTTTCTTCTATTAGTGCTGAGTAATAGGCTCCTCTGGCATTACAGAGGGCCTTAATAGTTAATAGCTAGTAACCTGAATGTCCATAGGCAAGGCAGTTAACGTTCCCTGACATACAAATGATGGTTGGAATAACAAGTTAGTCAGTCCAATTTACTTTGTTTCCCATTTTACGGAGTCTAAAGCTAGTCGACTTTGAGGCGATATTCACTGAATTTGACAAAAAGCATATTGGATTAAAATCACACTTCCTACAATCACTTTTAATGTCTGATTGGCCAACGAAATAACACTGCATCACACACTAATAAATACATGGGATTTTACCTGGCACATCTTCACATCAGAGACCAGGACTGAAAACAATGCACAACGCTGTTTTACAGTGATCTATATTTGAAATAAATGTAATAAATTAGATGATCACTTGTATTTGTAAGATTAATGAAATGCCCTGCAGCTGTACTTAAGCTGCTGGTAACTGTACAGCAGACCTCCATGGTAAATCCAGCTGTGTGACTGATTCAAGGATTCAGTGTTATTCAATCGTCATTTGCAACGCAGGATTATATGAAGATATTCAGATTGTAGTTCCTTTTGTTCTACTAGTAAAAACAAAAATATATATAAATACAAAAATGATTTACTTTAAAATTGATGAATAAGTCATGAACATAAAAAAAAAATATATGTAATTGAATTAATTGTATTGTAAATATCTTTTTATTAGTAAATCCATGTTATTTCACATCCATTGACAAGTACAAATACATTTACAATTATTGCCAGCAAAATTATACAGAGCCAAGAGTTTTTTTTCTGCAAAAGAATTTCTTGTTCCAAAAGTCTCCAGCCTTATGGCTGATCCATTGTCCATTTCCTTTAATTTAAAAGGATAACAATATAAGAAAGAACACACAATTGAACGTTTTACATCCATAGGTATAGGAGCAAAAAGTAAATACATAAAATGAATAAATGAATAAGAATATCTGCAGCAGTTTGGCTTCATTTAGTTGTGTTCACATGACTAAAACACAGCTGGTAACCCAAAAGAAATAATAAGCTTGTTATTTTGACAAAATCTGGTCTCAAAGGTCTAATAAACTGTACCCATCTTTCCCTGTGTTTCATGAATATGTCCAACTTCAGGTTGAGAGAAAAAGTAACCTTTTCCATAGTTTAAGTAAAGTAAGTATAGGATAAGATAAGATATTCCTTTATTGGTCCCCCTTAGGAGAAATTCAGATTGACACAGCAGCAAAAGGGCAAAGTAGTGCAAAAGAGAGTACAAAAAAATATCACAAAATAAAATATTACCGAAAAAATCAGACTATAAATGAAAGTATATACACTATGCATTGTTCAAGTAGGAATGGTGTGCAAATATATGAGCAGAAAATTAAACTGGACTTAAACTAAACTGTACATGGGGAAATTAAATATAAATAGTGCAAAAAGTCTGTGCGTAGGTTAGAGTTTAAACCAGTCTTAGTCTGTTGGAGGTACTGGGTGCTGTGGCGTTCTGGAGTCTGATGGCAGATGGAACAAACGAGCCTCCAAACCGCTTTGAGGTGGCTCGGACAGTCTTTGGCTGAAAGTGCTCCTGAGCTGCCTGAGCTCAGTGTGGAGAGGATGAGAGGGGTTGTCCATGATGGCTTTCAGCTTCCCTCTCATCCTCTTTTCAGTTACAGCCTCAGCTTGCTATATATCTATTGTCACATCTATCCAATTATCCGGTCTGCACTTGTATAGCGCCTTTCTAGTCTTCCAACCACTCAAAGCGCTTTTACACTACATTCCACATTCACACAGTGATGGCAAAGTCCATTGAAGAGAAACTAACATTCATACACATTCATTCATTCATTCATTCATACACATTCACATGCACTGCATCGGGAGCAATTTGGGGTTCAGTATCTTGCTCAAGGATATTTCAACATGTGGCACCAGGAGCCGGGGATCGAACCCACAACCTTCCGATTAGGGAGCGACCAGCTCTGCCTCTGAGCCACATCCATCTTTTAGTTTCCTGCACCCATTAAATATTTGTCAATAGCTATGAGTTCTGCTATCAGACTTAGAGACTTAGACTTAGACTTCTCTTTATTGATCGCTTTGGGATGACTGCCTCAAGGAAATTGGATTTCCAGCAGCTTACAAAACACACAGAAAATAAAAGAGGTATAAAAAAATACAGTATAAGATAAACAATAAACTCTTAGCTAAATATAGAAAGTAAACAATAAACAGTAAACAATAAACTCTTAGCTACATATAGAAAGTAAACAATAAACAGTAAACAATAAACTCTTAGCTAAATATAGAAAGTAGAGTTAAGAATAAAAGTAAAATAAAATTCAGGTACAATAAAATCAAATAAAATAAATGTAGAGAACTGTATAGAGGATAAATATAGATAAATAAAGATAAATATATAGGACTGTATATGGCATTGTGTTATTATACAGTGGATAAATGACATTAGCAGAAATTAGCAGTTAAGTTAAATTATTGCACTTAGTGGATTAAGTTATTGCACAAAAAAAGAAGAGTGTCCAGGTATGTATGAGTAGATTATTATTGCACAGTGAGTGGCTACCACTCCTTCCCTTCTGTCCTGTCCTGTCCCCCACCAGACTCCGATACTCCTCCTCTCTGTCACCCCTGATACACCCAACGATGGCTGTGTCATACAACCTCCCAGTTGTAACAAAAGTCCGAGGTGTACAGTGTGAAGAAAAGAGGGGCCAGCACTGTGCCCTGGGGGGCTCCAGTGCTGCTGACCACAGTGTCAGACGTGGTGTCCTTCAGCCTGACGTACTGTGGCCTGTCAGTGAGGTAATTGTTGATCCAGTCCACCAGATAGGGGTCCAGTCCCATCCTGTCAGTTTGTCCTGAAGCATAGTGGGCTGGATGGTATTAAAGGCACTGGAGAAGTCCAAGAAAAGAATCCTCACTGTGCCGCTTCCCTTATCCAGATGGGAGTAGACTCGGTGTAGCATGTAGAGGATGGCATCCTTCACACCAACATCCCAGTACATCAGTACATGATTTTGAAATCAAATGCTATATGTGTGTTAAGAACTTCTTGTATTGCTTGATGTATATCTTTCCAGTAACTTCGTATTTTTGGAGATTCCCAGAACACATGATAGTGACTTGCAATCTGACACCCACTGTTCCTCCAGCAAAGAGAATTACCATTATTTTGGTGTACGTTTCTGAGTGGAGTGATGAAATATCGAGGTACATTTTAACAGCAAAATTCCTTCCTAATTTTCAATTGAAACATTGCAATGTCCTCCTATTCCTCAGCCGTGATTCTCAGGCCTCCTTCCCTTTCCCACTTGTCCTGTATATATTTTGTTGAGGAAGTTTTCAAATTTTGCAGACTCTTATACAATTGGGAGATGACCCCTCTTTTAATGTTTGATTCATATGCATCAATAAATAGTTGGACAAAGGGTATACTGGCTGATTATAATAATGTTGTAGTTGAAATCTTGCTTTTGTAGTGACAAATTGTCCTTTTAAGTTTGAAAACGTATGATAACATCCTTTTGTATAATGTTGAATAGAGATGTGTTGGGATCCAAGGATAACTTTAAACATGAACTTGTTCATTTGAAGTGTTTAACTGAACGAAAGGGAACATGTTGGAATCTGGCCACTAAGAAATTGTCATTACTACAGTCGGGCCTGTATATAAGAAAAAAAGCCTACTTGTAGTGACTAAAGACAAAGGAAAAGGGCCTGTCAGTAAACAGACCCCTCAGTGGGGGTACAGGAATGCGGTCAAGGTGTGGACTGAAAACAATAAACGCCCAGACTCGTCATCCCTATTTAAGCCAGAGAGACGCTCTTCTCTCTCTCTTCTCTTCTCCCTTCGCACCTCGCTCGCCCACACTGGGTGATAAGATTTGGACCTTGGCGCGCACTGCTAACGGGAGTCAACATCTGCAGCTTTAAACAGAAAGTCTGCCAGCTGACTTTACCAGAGCAACGCGACATTAACGCAGAGTCATTAACTCTGCAGAGCAACAAGCGAAACGCCTTTCCTCTTGCTATCTGCGCCAGCGGACATCGCACAGCAGAGACAGTTTTGACTTTAGAACCACAATTCTGATCAGCCTGGCTTACAAGACCGCCAGCTGATCCACGCAGCTCACCCGCAACTCTTCTTCATCTCCATTAGACTATCTGTGACTTACTGGGCATAGACAGATAACTTAACAGAGTTAATGGCTAAACAAGGACTGTTTAATTACTGTTAATGTTACAGATGTGTTTTATTCAGCTTATTGTATTGTGATGTTGATTTAATTAACTCAGGTTACTGTAATAACTGTAGTCTTTCGGACAGTGCTATAGTGATGTTGGGTTAATGTTATGCTTTACATAGACACCATCTTTGCATGCAACTAACTCCCTTTTTATGGCACCGTTAATCTAAGATCACACACACATATTCGGCCTAAACCTCAGCACATACACAAGGAGAGGGATTCAAACCCTCCCGCTTTCTCCATGCTCTTTGTCTCTCACCAACATGTGTTTCTGAAACATCTGGTCAGAGGACAAAGGACATAAACTTTTTTGGCGCGCAACCTCCATGCACACGCACACACACACACACACACACACACACCTTTTTCCTCTAGCTTAGTTCCTTTAAGATTGTATGTAGTTGTGTGAAGTTCTCCTATTTTCAAATATGTTATTTTGTCTCCTACTATTTTATATTGTTGGGAGTTCATAGCGCCCTCTAGCGGCAGCAGTCCACCTTGTATTTTTTTCCCTCTGTGATTATTCTTACTTGCTGTGCTGGTGAAGCTGAGCTGGTGAGTTAATATGTATACAAAGTGACTGTAACTTATGTTAAATATCATAAATATGTCCGTGCCATTAACGTAGTGATGTTGTTTATATTTTGTGTTTTCCAGTTGATTACCTGCTGACGGCACGATCACTGTTTAGGTGCTGAAAGAAAAGCATGTGTGGAGTTGCTGATAAAAAGAAATAAACACGTGAAAAAGACAGAGATTGAGTGTCGGAGCTGAGTGTGACACTGTTTCGCCAGTCAAACGCACCCCATGCGGTGGGATTTATTAGGTTAACACAGTTAGTTTAATAAAACCGTACAATAGTGTATTTTCCTCTGTTTGCTTTTATTATATCTCTTTAATAAATTCTTGTGTTTACATATGCTGGCCTATTTAATTTCGTACAAGAGTAAGTGATAACAACCTCTTATTATTAATCTGACTTCTGAATTAATAGTGTATTTTCATGAGACTGATCAATCGATTATTGGTTATCGTTTCCCTTATTTAAGGGTGGTGCCCCGAGGATCTTTAATATTAATTAAAGTCATTTTCTATTATCTTTTGACAATTATACATTTTGATAACCATTAATTGATTAAACTAATACAGTTAGACCACTGTAACACCCTACGATGTGGAGCCTGACATATGTAATGCCTATTTTAATCCAAACTTTCAAATCGTTAGGTAAAATCACTCCCACGTTTCCTTTAGTTTTTCACATGGGCTAAAATTATATGCAAGAGTTTCAGTTTCATTGACATTCAGTTTATATCCTGATTTGGAACCAACGTTTTTTAAGAAAGCCATGACTTCCGGCAGGGACGTTTCAAGTTTGTTAAGGTACAAGAGGACATCGTCTGCATAGCAAACTATTTTATGTTCTACTTTGTTAATTCCAATTCTGTCAATTTTGTCATTCTGTCTAATGTGTTGGGCTAGTGGTTTGAAAAATGGTGCAAAGAGAAGTGGAGACCAGGCACAGCCTTGTCTCACTCCACTATGTAACAGGAGTGGTGTTTTGTAAATTGACCTGTACTTGTATAACCTTACCTGTACCTTTCTAGTCTTCAGAATACTCAAAGCGCTTTAACATGCCACATTCCACAGTGATGGCAAAGTCCATCGAACAGAAACTAATTCATTCATTCACATTCACACACTGATGACGCAGCATTGGGAGCAACTTGGGGTTCAATATCTTGCTCAAGGACACTTCGACATGCAGCGGGAGGATTCTTTTAGCCATTATATATATATATATATATATATATATATATACAGTAATCAACATTAAGTATTGAAATCGGCCTGTATGACCCACATTCAGTCTTGTCTTTCCCCTCTTTACGTATAAGAGTAATAATGGCCTCTTTCCAGGAAGGTGGGGTCTCTGCTTTGCACAAAGCAAAAAGGGGTGGGGCTTAGGATGGGTCAGTTGCTGACATGAATGCCAGTGGAGGCAATGTCTTGTCAAACAATGTCTGTTATTTTTACTGTTGTATATACAGTATATATATATAAGGGTTGGGCGCAATATTACAGTTTATAGCATGAGATGTTACCATAGGGTATTTTATCCAGTAACAAAAGACTATTTACTCAATTAATTGTCTGTTTTTCTATATTTTTTTGCTTGTAGGAGAAAGAGAAGGAGAGGAGGGGAGAGAGGGAGCGAGAGAGTAAAGAGAGAGAAAAGAAGAGTTCCAACGGTCATCTCTTTATCCCAGTCAGTCCGTCTCCTTCCGCAGCCTGTCAGCACTGCACCAAACCTCTGCATAATAAGGAAACTTTCCTCTGCAACAGTAAGACTCACCACCACCCCTTTAGCTTTTCTCTCCTTCTCTGTGGCCACTTCTTCCTCTTGTAGTCTTCTCCTTTATAGTTTCACTGTGATGCATCAGTCTCATTTCCCTTTAACTCTTAGTTTCTCACAGAGGGAAGTCATATTAACACTCGCTTGAATGATGAAGTGAATGATGGACTTTCACCAGTTAACAGGGTCTGTAAAAAGAACACATTCAGGATGTCACATAATGGCAGTTTAGAAGACAAGTATTTAATATTCTCACTTGAGATACATACAATGAACAATAATAATAGTAATTAAAGCTGCAAGCAGCGTTGGGCGGGACCTCGCACTCCACGCAACTCGGGGCGTGCTGCGGCCGCGTCACGTGCCATCGTTACACGTGCGGACCAAAACATGAAATTTCACGTAAATCAGCTCAAAATTGCCACGCAGTGCTTACTTCCTGTTGCCAGTAGGTGGCGCTATCACTATGTCTTAATATTGTCATGTAGACAAGTTCAGGGCGGGACTGTTATAACACATGTGAAGTTTCATTGAGATTGGACCACATACGCTGAAGTTATGAGGACGTGTTCAGGGTGGGACTGTACACTGAAGATATGATTACTATCTGTTTGATGGCCAATCGGTGGAATTCGACACGTCGTCACGGGCACACGGTTAAACATACAGTCACAAATAGCACAACTTTTGATAACCAATGTGTGTAGATTGAAGTGATCGAATTTGAAGTCAGTCTGATAAAATCTGTAGGAGGAGTTAGTTAAAACAGAAGCCCTTAAATGCCGGAAATAGCATCACAGTTTGACATTCGATTCAACCTGGCCAACTGTGAGGGAACGCACGGACACACCCTTTAACGTACAGTCACAAATAGCACAACTTTTAATCAGCACCATTTTTTGACTGTACTGACTAATTTTGAAGCAGATCTGATAAATTCTCTAAGAGGAGTTCGTTCAAATACAATGCAAAAAAAGGCTGAAAATCATTGCAAAATGCCGGAAATGGCATCACAGTTTGACATTTGATTCAACCTGGCCAATTTTGAGGGCACGCCACGGACACGCCCTTTAATATACATGCACAAATAGCACAACTTTTAATCAGTAATGTTTTTTGACTGTACTGACCAATTTTGAAGTAGATACGATAAATTCCCTAGGAGGAGTACGTTCAAATACGAGGCGGAAAATTCACCGAAAATGACCACGGAATTCAGAATGGCCAACTTTGACGGCACGCCACGGACACGCCCTTCAACGTACATGCACAATTCACATTTGGTATGTGAGTTACAGGCACCAGTCTACACGTGCCCTGTAAATTTCATATTCATAACTATTACGGTCTCCGCACAGTGATTTACCCTGCCACCAGAGTGCCACCTAGTGGCGGATTGTTGACAAGTTTTTTAGCGAGCCTCAGGGAGCCATGGGCAAGCATTGTACCAAGTTTCATTTTAATCACACGTGCCAATGCTGAGATATAAACTTCTTCATTTTAAAGAGTGCCAACTTGTGGCGATGGCTGGAAATTGTGCACAATGCCTAAGGAAGACTATGGACCCAAGCTTGGTGTCAATCGGACATACCAATGTAGAGAAATGCCCGACTTCCTGTTTTGACGATAAAATCTACAGGAAGTCCTAATTTTATAGCGTGCTTATTTTTTGAAATATCAAAATTCTTCAAATTATTTTGCCAGGTGCTATGTGACAAATTTTGTGCGAATGGGACAAAGCGTATAGGAGGAACACGAAAAAGTAGTTTATGGACATTTCGCACTCTAACGGAAAGAAATTATAGGCGGAAGTGGGCGGGGCCTATATGGTGAGATTCAGCTCCATTCACCAATGTGAATGTGCGACAAACTATGCAGAAGTTATTAGCCTGAACGCACTTCTCATGATAGTAGCGCCACCTAGTGGCCAACCCAAAAGCGTTGCATAGAATATAAGATTTTTCACCACCACTGACATGTGCGTTGCTTTTCATGAGTTTTCGAGCACGGGAAAGCCTCCAAATATGAGATTTAAAAGTTACTAAAATGGGAGTCACGTGAGCACGCTGAGGAACATGGCCGACTAGAACAGAGCTCCCAACAGAACAACCCAAAACCTCGAAATGTGATAAATAGAGTTTTCTCTAAAGTGATAAAAGTGTGATTGAGAACTTTCCTTTGGCACGGTGTAACAAATATAAGTTTTAGATGGCAACGGGGCAAAGTCAACGGCCCCCTAGAACGCTGCGAAGTAACGCTAATAACATGGCGGACATACAGGACGGCGACAAGCAAGAAGAAGAAACGAAAGAACGAAGCATGGATACAAGCGTCCTGTCTGCTATGCAAAAATCGCTCGGAAAAGCTACGGACGAGCTTGGGCATGTTAGTGAGTTACTACTGGTATTGCAAGCTAATATTGACCAAGTTAAAAAGGACAATGCGGGACTCCGCACGGATGTTAATGGTGTCATACAGTGTCTGGAGGCAGCTGAAAGTAGGATATCTGATTTGGAAGATGAAAACGTTGGCCTTCGGCAAATAGTGGAGAGAAATGTAAAGCAGTGCTCAGTGCTTGACGTGGCCCAGCAGGATGCCAACTTTCGGGACAGACGCCAGAATCTGGTTCTGGTTGGTTTGAAAGAGAAGTTGGAAGAGGGCAACCCGGAGATATGTGTGAGGAACATCATTGTCGAGGCTCTGGGTGTGCCAGTGGACCAAACACAGCTACAGAGAGTGCATCGGGTCCCTGGCGGACCAGTGGTGGATGAAAATCGCTCACCGAGACCTATTGTCATCCGCTTCTTGTGCTTCTTGGAGAAGGAAAAAGTGTTTGCTGCCGCAAAACGGAAGTATAGGGAAGGGCAAGGAGTGGAGTGGAAAGGGTGCAAGCTTTCTTTTTTCCAAGACCTGCCACGGGAGTGGGCGGAGAAGAGGAAAAAGTTTTCGGAGGTGAGGGAAAAGTTGCACTCTCTGGACGTGCGGTTTACTGTGGCACCACCGGCACAAATGCGCTTCACCTGGAAAGGAAAGAGGATGAGATTTGACGACCACCGCAAAGCACTGGTATTCCTGAATGAAGAGGCTGCTGGAGCCTCCAGCACCAGTGACCCGCAGGATGGAGAAGAACAAGAATAAATATGCCAAATGGATGACGGACTGTTGACAGGCTGCCCGATGATGGATATAGGCTACCTGGTTCTGTTTTTACCTGAGACATAAGGGAAGGACGTGTTGAAACATGAAAGACCAGTATCATGGTAGGAGAGAATGTGTTCTTAATGACCTGTGGGAAACAGTAAATAGGTAAATGTACACATTTTTTTCCCTTTAGGATAACAGGGAGGTAGGAGTGAAGGTTTTTGCATCTATTGTTTTTTAGGTGGATGGTTTTTTCCCCACCCATGGATGTTTTGTTGGTTTGGTTGGTTTTGTGGTAGAGTGTTATATGTGCAAAATGTGGGGCACATTACATGTCTTTGTTTTATTTTTGTTTGGTAAGGTTGGCAGTTGGACAACACCCTAAATGGTTAGTATTAAGTGATTGATTGTGTAATGTGTAGGTTTTGGATAACTCAATATGCTGGAGTATAAATGGTCTTAAGATATGGTTAATTTTTTTAGGTTTATTAGTTGGAATATAAATGTATCACATAACCCTGCTAAAAGGTAGAGGTGGGCGATATATATCGTTTGCGATAATATCGTCATTGTTGTTTTGACGATGTGCAAATTTCCATTATCGAGTATTTAAATTACTTCGACAAAAACAATGAAACGCCCGCGGAAACTCCTCACATCCATTAATACACAGTGCAGCAGCGCTCTCTACAGCATGGCAGGATTCAGCCACACAACTAGTGGGCCTACGTGATCACATGACGTGATCACGTGACCTCTCGCTAGCATCCTCCTTGCAACAGTTTAGCAGCGCGTTGTGATGGTAGAGAGAAAATGCAAACACCTCCAGTCCCTGAAGCTACCGGTACTTCAGATGATTTAGTGCCGAGACGTGGGTCCTATGGGCTTCAGCGTTCAGAGCGCTAAGCGCCTTCAGCGGTAAAAAGATGTCAGCGGAGACGTTTTTTTTAGCGCAGCGCTCAGAGCGCTTCAAGTTGAAATCTGTTCAACTTTTAACACCGCTGGGCGCTCGGAAAATGAGTTTTTGAGCTCTCTCAGCGCTGTAAACGCGTTTGGTGGACACAAGTACAGTTCAGACAATTCTAATCACATTTTAAAGGATATCGACTGATTATCGTTATCGCCAAAATCCCAAAAAATATTGAGATATTATTTTTTGCCCATATCGCCCACCCCTACTAAAAGGAAGAAATGTTTGTCCTATCTTAGATCCCAACAAGCAGATGTGGCCCTGTTACAAGAGACACATCTGGTGGATACAGAAATAGCTAAATTTAAGACAGGATGGGTGGGACAGGTATACCATAGCTTTTATACTAGCAATAAATGTGGGATTGCACTACTTACACATAAAAATCATGTTGAAACAACATAAGGATAATGAAGGAAGGCTAATATGTGTTGAGGCTAAAATAAATGAAGTTAAGTGAACATATGTAATATATATGCCCCAAATAAAGAAGAGCCGGCCTTTTTTCATAAGGTTAATAAAATGATGGGGGAAATAGTGGACGGCCACACTATAATCTCTGGCGACTATAACCAGGTACAAGATGGGGTTTTGGATAAAACGTCTTTCACAAATAGTGTGCCGAGAGACAGAAGAACCATAAATCTAATGATGAGAGACCTGGGCCTGGTGGATATTTGGAGGCTAGAACATCCCAGGGATAGAGAATATACGTTTTATTCAAATATGCATAAAAGTCACAGCCGCTTAGATTATTTCCTGATATCCAAAGACCTGGTAGAAGGAACGGTAGACTGTACAAGTGGACCCATTGCATTAACGGACCATACTACTGTGCAATGTGGGGTACATTTTGGTTTAGACGTTATTAAATCTAATAGATGGAGGATGAATGTTTCATTGCTCAGAATTAAACTTTTGCCAATTTATTAGGGGAAGATCTTAAAATGTTTTTTGGCACTAACATAGGATCAACTAAGAGATTAGGCTCAGTGTGGGAGGCCTCTAAGGCCTATATAAGCGGCAAAATAATACAAAGTAAGAAGAAACAAGACAAAAAAACAAGTGCTGGGATTAGAATCCCAGTTGAAGGTTGCAGAAAAAGAACTGGCGGATTAACAAGGATTAATATTAAAAAGCTATGTACTACTAGGGAAAATGGGGGCTTGGCCCTTCCAAATGTAGAAATATATAATTTAGCTTTCGGAATTGGCTAAGCTGGTGAGGCACTGGGCTTACTATGGTTCTCAACCGGATTGGATAAATATAGAAATGGCCATGGTGGCTCCCTCCAGACCCATACAGGCTCTCTCTCAGATTAAAGTGGTAGAGGGGGGAAAAAATCCCATTCTGAAGCACTCTCAATAGATGTGGTCTGAGGTGCATAGGTTGATGGGGAAATCACAATACAAGCAGGGGTATTCTTCCGTATGGGATAACCCACGTATCGTGATAGGTAAACACTAATTTTGTTGGGATCCTTGGCAGAGGAACGGTATATGTGTGATTGATGATCTATATAAGGTGTAGTTTTTAAGTCATATCAGGAGCTCGTGGATCAATTTCTTTTGGAGGGAAGGGGTGAATTTTGGAAATATCTACAACTAAGGAGCAGTGTGCGAAGTGTTTTCCCACTTTACAGAAGTATAGAGGAATCTAATATGTTGCAAAACCTTTTTGATTTGCCAAGTACAATGCATAGTGCTTCAATATTTTACAAAAATATAATGGAATTACAAAGTGTGAATACTGAGAATCTTAGATTAATATGGCAAAGAGATTTAGAATGTGAAATAGGTAAGGAGAAATGGCATAGTTTCCAAGGTTTGCTGGGCCACTAGGATTAGAAGAAAATTTACCCATTACAAAATCATACATAGATACTACTATACTCCTATGAAGCTTTTCAGAATGGGCTTAGTAGAAGACAAAAGGTGTTGGAAGTGTAAGGGAGAAAATGGTAAATTTTTACATGCCTTTTGGGAATGTCCTGTGGCATTACCTTTCTGGAAAGAAGTATTAAGGAAACTGGGAGATTGGTTGGGACAAAGGTTACCGGAATCTCCACTGTTCTGTCTCCTGGGAGATAGCACACTTTTGCCACAAGGAGTCAACAAAGGATAGCATGCGCTAATAACCACAGGCCTCATCACTGCAGCAAGGCTGATACTGAGGAACTGGAAGAGCACACAGGGCTCGCAGATTGGACTCAACTGATGACGGAGACTGAATCCTACGAATATTTGATTGCCAGGAAGAACAATATTAAAGGGAAGTTCCATTAAGTATGGGACTATTTCTTTGTATATATTAAGGGCTCGATACATTAAGCATGTGTTGAAACACATTGCAGTTGATATAATCACAAACAATACAGTGATACAGAGGGGTGTAGAGAGGTGTTGTCCTTTAAGTTTAGTTTTGGCTGCCTTTTTGTGGGTTTTTTTTTTTGTTTTGTTGTCATTTGTAAGTTGTTTGTATTATTTGTTGAAAAATAAATAAATACTTTAATGGCAAAAAAAAAGTTACTGAAATAATAACCTTTACAGGTACAATAGGGCCTTCGCACGATTTGTGCTCGGGCCCTAATAATATTGATAATTACAATAATATCAGTACTATTAGCAGCACCACCAGGAGCCATGAGAACCTGCGAGATGAGAAACCACAAAAACTCAGCGGAATAAGTGAAGTAATGGGACATGACGTTTAACCCTTTAACCAGTGCTGTCTCTGTGCTATGATCTATGTCTAAATCCTAACTGAAAATCCTCTGAGCTGTTGCTATGTAGAAATTTACTGAAGTTAGAAATGGGTCTATAGTTGGCTAAAACCCCTGGGTCAAGAGTGGGCTTTTTAAGAAGGGGTTAAATTACAGCTACTTTAAAGGACTGTGGTACATAGCCTGAAAATGAAGGAAGATTGATCATATCCGGTAAAGAAGTGCCAACTAAGGGTAAGACTTCTTTAAGCAGCCTACTTGGGATGGGGTCTAACAGACAGGTTAATGGCTTTGATGAAGAAATGATTAAAGTTAGTTGATAAAGATTGATAGCGGAAAAGCAGTCTAAATATATATCTGGTTTTACAGTTAAAATTCCTGTATTTGGAGAGACAACGATACCTGTTGAGGGCAGTTGGTGATTAATTAATTATTGGTAATAATTTTATCATTAAAGAAACTTTAATTTAAAAATAAAAGGTGTTGCTACTGAGGGTTACGGCTCAATAGAGCTGTCAGCCTAGCAGTGCTGAAGAGGAACCTGGGGTTGTTCTTATTTTCTTCTATTAATGTTGAATAATAGGTTGCTCTGGCATTACCGAGGGCCTTTCTATATGTTTTAAAACTATCTTGCCAGATTGAATGTGATTCTGCCAGTTTGGAAGAGTCTATTAATGAGATAAATGCATTACAAAGGCAATCAATCAAACACATGAATAATAAAATCACCTACAATAATTGCTGGTGTGTGTGTGTGTGTGTGTGTGTGTGTGTGTGTGTGTGTGTGTGTGTGTGTGTGTGTGTGTGTGTGTGTGTGTGTGTGTGTGTGTGTGTGTGTGTGTGTGTGTGTGTGTGTGTGTGTGTGTGTGTGTGTGTGTGTGTGTGTGTGGGGCTTATCCTCACATATTATTTGCCGTTAACACTTTGTTTCTACTGATCGTCATGTGTTGTTTGCAGACTGTGGAGTCCATGTCCATAAGAGCTGCAGAGAGAGTCTGTCTGGCTGTACAAAGAGCAAAACAAAGGTAGGTTCAATACCCACCTTGGGCCTGTTATTTCTGCTTTTATTTCTTTAAAAATGTTCTAAAAATAACCATCACCAAGCCAAACACAAGTTGAACTAGTTATTTATTGATTTATATACAGTTTTATGACTTAGAGGGAGTCAAATTAATAGTAGTAATCTGTGTCTGCTTGCAGCAGGAATTGTAACAACTTGCAGATGTGTGAGGACATGAAATCCAGATTATAAAACTAAATGAATCTGCTTTGTCTGCTTTTTTTTAAGAAGTGAAATTTGTGATATATTATTTATTTTATCTAGAAGAGCGCACATGCACATTTGTATTACTCAGTATGGGTGTTAGAACATGACAGTAGCTGTACTGTATTTTGGTCAAAGACCAAAAGTAACATACTTACCAATATGTCAAGTTTTACCTTTAACTAAAATTGTCCTGTGTTTATTTCTTGCAGTCACTGGTGCCAGACGCTGTTCCTGGGTCAGTTGTTAACATGAGGAGTAAATGTAAGAACATATACAAACTCTTGTTGAACATGTTACTTTGATGATGCACCTGACTGAGCAGCCAACAACATGAAACCAGTAGATTCAAGACTATTGTAAATCTGTCCCAAACAATCAGTGTCAGTCCTAATTGGTCTGCAGCTTGGAGAATGGCCTCCGGATAGCTGATGATAGTCTTTAAGCCTGTCCACATTGGGCTTCAGGGTTATAAACTCATGGTGTTTCTGTAAATGATATTAGGAAGAATAAGGTGTAGAACTGCACATATGAAAAGTGTCCTGAGATAAGTTCTGTTAGGATTTGGCGCTATATAAATAACTTTTAATTTAATTTAATTCAAATTTAAATGTATATTCTTAGCAGGACAGACATGGATTTAAATAATAATAATATTACTTTATTAATATATTAATATAGATTTGATTTTGGCACACAGTCTATTTATTTTGTGAGATGTAGTGGAGTATAAGTATAAAGTAGTTTAAAATATAAGTACTCCAGTACTAGTACAAGTGTATCAAAATTGTACTTAAGTACCGTAGTTGAGTAAATGTATTCAATGTAAACTGTAAGTGAGGTAATGTTGACACTCGGGGGGAGTTTTTAAAGTAAAGAGAATAGAAATGGAGAACTTTATAATACTAATTAATCAGAGGCAAGAAGCTCAGAGGTAGAGCAGGTCATCCCCTAATCAGAAGGTTATTGGTTTGATCCCATGCTGCATGTTGAAGTATCCTTGAGCAAGATACTGAACCCCAAATAGCTTCCGATGCTGCGTCATCGGTGTGTGAATGGAATGAATGAGTTAGTTTCTGTTCGATGTGCTTTGCCATCACTGTGTGAATGTGTGTGAAAGGGCGAATGTGGCACGTAGTGTAAAAGCACTTTGAGTGGTGGAGAGACTAAAAAGGCTATACAAATACAGTCAATTTACCATTTAGGGTCAAATAAATGAAGAAAGCAGAAAGAATCAACTACTAGCTTTTTATTAAACTAAGGAAATGGTGTCTTTGTAGCATATAGATATGTGTCTCAGACATTATGAAGATCTGAAAAACCTTTTGTTATTGAGGTGTTTTCCTACAAAATGTTAAGAGAACATTCATACTATGACTGATTTAAACATTTTCAATAGATTTGAGCATAGCTAGATATATGCAATCTCCATTTGTAATGAGAGGGAATAGGTTAAACAAACTTGATTTGGTACACCATTACTGTTGCATGTAGCTGTAGTTAGAAGGGACAAGAGCAGAGTGAAGAAATAATAGACGCCAGTATTCTGTTGAGAAAGATATCTCCGTCTCAGTGAGAATTTTATAGTATACATTAATATTTAATATTATATTTATATCCTAATAAACTATGCATGGGAGTCTACTTCTGGTATATTAAGTCCTAAATGTGCACTTTGATGTTTATACCTAGCTACATCTTCAGCATCATCTGTTTCATCCACATCCTCCTCATCATCACGGGAACGCTGGTCTACAGTAACCACCCCTGATGACCAGCTGCCTGTGGTTTTTCCACGGAGACACCCTAGCATCTTCAATCCACACAGCAACCTGGCCAAGAGCATTTCCACCAGCAACATAGCAGGGTGAGAAACCTCTCTCTCACTCACAAACACACAGTCCATGGGGCTATTTTTATAAAGGCAGAATTCAGAAAATCTATCCATTGTTGATTGACTTCCTTTCATAATTTGTGTATACTTATTCCCTGACTTGATTTGTATGTTTTCCTTGTCCTCAGTAAGAAACAAAAATATTTGAAAAAATCCAGGATAACTTAAAAAGCAAGGTTTGACCTTGTCTAGTCAATTCAATTCAATTCAATTTTATTTGTATAGCGCCAATTCATAACAGAAGTTATCTCAGGACACTTAAGTTAACTTAACACTCTGTAAATGTTATAAGGAGTTCGGTCTAGACCTGCTCTATTTGAAAGAGACCCAACAGTACCACCATGAGCAAGCACTTGGCAAGGGAAAAAAAGTCAGAGCTTAAGTAATTTGGATAAGTGCACATTCACAGCTTTCTTGAACAGCCCAAAAGGTCGATCAGAGATTTACTGATGCAGACCACAAGGTCAATCACAGATTTACTAATGCTGAAATGTCACAAACTATACATAATGGGGGTTTATGTAAAGCATACTGTTTATTATTTAAAAAAGGAAATATGGCCACAGTAATAAAACAGCTAGAAAATCATGGCAAACAATAATGTAGTATTGTGTGTAGTAGTGTGTAAGTAGTAGTTTTATAAGGGGTTTTATTGCCTTTATATGATAGTGACAGCTGTAGTCAGACAGGAAAGGGGGGCACAGAGAGGGGGATGACACGCAGCAAAGGGCCGCAGGTCGGATTTGAACCCTGGGCTGCTACAGCAAGGACTCAGCCTCAGTACATTGGTGCTCTACTCACTGAGCTACCTGGGCCTGTGTAAGTAGTTGTTTGTTTCCACAGCGGTATCCACTTTATGCTATGTGGGTGCGGATAACAGGGTGAAGAGATATCATCTTTTAACCAATATTTGATGGCATTTGACATAAATGGATTTTTTGTTGTATGTGAAAATTAATTTACAACGTTTGGATTTTTAAGTGTGTTAAATAAATGATTTAGATTTTTGAAGTGACAAAAAAGGGATAAAGGAGTTGGAACCGACCACTTATTCAGTGCCAGTGGCTTTTAATAAATATAATCTTGATCAACACAATACAACAGTAACAATATCATATGGATAATTATGAAAACAATAATGGTCACAATGTTCAAATAATAACAGTACTTAACTGAATGGCATCATGTAGGTCTACCTGTGGTATTTTGTTAAAATAATAATGACAATATGCATCTGTGACAGCAGACTGAACAGATAAGGCTCCAGGATGAAACAAGCCTGGCTGTTAGCCTGGTCTGGAGCAGGCTAGCTGCACAGAATAAATCTCCATGGTAAATTATGTGCCACTGCTTTCACGAAACTGGAAAATAATGCTTTAATCTGCTATCTAGGTTTTATGAAATAGCCATCAGGTTGTATACAACAATTTGTTTTGATTTTACTGTGTATATTCATAAAGCATGGTTGAAGCTGAGTGGTTAGGGGGTCAGTCCTGTATCTTCACCATACTGTTCCCACCTGCTCACACTGGCTGCGCTGATCAACAAATATAAATATAGCTCTTTAATCCCCCAATCACTATTTTATTATATAAGGTCATTTATTTTGATGTTAGTATAAGAAATAATAGACTAAAAAGTCCCCCTCCACTCAAAAATTAGTTTTTCTTTTTGTTCCTACAGTTTGAGCTGCACTGTGTGGAATGTTGTACACTGATCAGCCATAACATTATGAGCACTGACAGGTGAAGTGAATAACACTGATTATCTCGTTATCATGGGCACCTTGGTGATTTGAGCAACTTTGACAAGGCCCAAATTGTGATGGCTCCTGAGATAGCTTCTGTTATGAATTGGCGCTATACAAATAAAATTGAATTGAATTGAATTAGACAACTGGGTGGGAGCATCTCCAAAACTGCAGCTCTTGTGGGGTGTTCCCGGTTTGCAGTGGTCAGTACCTATTAAAATTGGTCCAAGGAAGGAAAAGTGGCGACACATGGCACCGCATGGTGTTGAAAGCAGAGCTGAAGTCTACAAACAGGATCCTGGCATAGGTTCCTGGGGAGTCCAGATGCTGGAGGGTGAAGTGCAGGGCCATGTTTACTTCATCGTCTACAGACCTGTTGACTCTGTAGGCGAACTGCACTGGGTCCAGGAGTGGGTCCGTACTGGCTTTGAGGTGGGAAAGCACAAGGCACTCAAAAGACTTCATGACCACAGAGGTGAGGGCAACAGGTCTGTAGTCAGTCCTGTGGAACTTGTTTTTTGGGGACAGGGATGAGGGTGGATGCTTTGAAGCAGGCTGGCACATGACATGTCTCCAGTGAGGTATTGAAGATGTCCGTGAACACCGGAGACAGCTGGTCAGCAGCTGGTCAGCAGCTGGTCAGCACAGCACAAGCAGCCGGACCAGAGTCTGGTCAGGCTGCTTTGCGGGGGTTCTGCCTTTTAAAGAGCCTGTTGACGTCACTGTGGGGGAGGAGGAGGGATTCACAGAGTTGTGGAGTTGTGAAGTGGCCCCGGCTATTGCTGAGCTGGGGAGGGGGAACTGGTGAGGGGTGTCACGGAGGATGGTGTCAGGACTGCTCCTTTGTCTGTCGAAGCGACAATAGAACTCATTCAGCTCGTTTGCTGGGCGCAAGTCGCTGATGGAGTGGGGGGTTTTAGGTTTGTAGTTGGTTATCTGTCTGAGCCCCTTCCGGACGGGAACCAGAGTCGTTGGCTGAGAACTGATGTTTGAGTTTCTCAGAGTACTGTCGTTTAGCTTCTCTCACTACTTTGCTAAACTTGTACTTTGAGTCCTTAAACCTGTCCCTGTCCTCACTCCTGAACGCTTGTTTGGCTGTTAACCAGGGCTTGTCTTTGTTATATCTCACCCTGGTGCGTGATGGTATATAGCAGTCATCACAGAAGCTGATGTATGACGTCACAGCCTCTGTGTACCAGACTGTTGGTAGCAGTCCTGAAAACATCCCAGTCAGTACAAACACGCCTGAAGATCCCCTGTAGCTTCACTGGTCCACTGCTTTGATGTCCTCACAACAGGTTTACAGAGCTTTAATTTCTGCCTGTATGTAGGATTCAGGTGGACCATGACGTGGTCAGAGAGGCCTAGTGCGGCGCAGGGGATGGCGTGATAAGCTCTGCTGACTGTAGTGTAACAGTTATCCAGTGTGATCTCCTCTCTGGTCGGGCATTTAATAAACTGTCTGTATTTGGGGAGTTCGTGGCTGAGGTTTCCTTTGTTAAAGTCACCAAGGACAATAACTAAAGAGTCCGGGTCAGTCCGCTCCACACACAATATCTGGTCGGCGAGCATGCACTGTGCCTCCTGCACGTTGGCCTGCGTTGGAAGGTAAACACGACCAGAATGAATGAAACAAACTCACCGGTGGAGTAAAAAGGTTTACAGTTAATGAAGAAAGATTCCAGATTAGGAGAGCAGAAGTTTGTGGAAGTGGAAACAGGAGACAAACAAGTCAGATCCATAGAGGCCCCACCTCACAGCTTAAAGGACTTAAAGGATCTGCTGCTAACGTGTTGGTACCAGATACCACAGCACACCTTCATAGGTCTAGTGGAGTCCATGCCTCAACGGGTCAGGGCTGTTTTGGTGGCAGAAGGGGGACCTAAAAAATATTAGGCAGGTCGCTATAATGTATGTATAATGGCTGATTCGTGTTTGTGCTGAGTTTGACACTAGAATGATGTTTTCACATTCATCTGTTTTCTGTGCTAATTGAAAATTCTCACACTGAAATATATGCATTAAGTAATGTGTTTTGTGCTTGTCTGTTTTTAATTAATTTCTTCCATCTGTATCGATTAAACCACTTTTTGGTTCTCATTCTTACTGTTATTTAATTGTTGGCAGGGTCTTAAAAAGTCTAAAATCAAATAATCTGTGTTTTGAGTCTTAAAATTAATTAAAATGTCTTGTATATGATTTGATGATATAATTAATGAAGATAACATTACTTGTATAAAATTATATTTGACATTCTCTCTTTTAAATGTGTTTTTGGGAAGAAATTGTTTCGATCATGCTGCAACTACTACAAAACAAAACCGACATTCAATTCAATTCAATTTTATTTGTATAGCACCAATTCATAACAGAAGTTATCTCAGGACTAACCCTCAAATAGAGCAGGTCTAGACCGAACTCTTTAAAACATTATTTACAGAGACCCAACAGTACCAACATGAGCAAGCACTAGGCGACAAGGGCAAGGAAAAACTGCCTGTTAAAAGGCAGAAACCTAGGAAGGACAGATCCTTCGGCTATAGGTGGGTGGTCGTCTGTCTCAACCAGTTGGGGTGAGAGAGAGAGAGACAGAGAGAGAGAGAGAGAGAGAGACAGACAGGTGCACAGCAACAACAGTATTGGCAATGGCAATCTAGCAGGACCATGGCAGGAGGCTCCACCAGGATCGATAAGAACCTGCGAGACGAGAAAGCACAAGAACTCTGGAGAAGAAGTGAAGTTAGTAACATGCATTAATGGAACATGAATGAGTGCAGAAAGAGAGGAAGAGAGGAGCTCAGTGCACCATGGGAAATCCCCTGATAGTCTAGGCCTATAGCAGCATAACTAAGGGATGGTTCAGGACTCACCTGATCCAGCCCTAACTATAAGCTTTATCAAAGAGGAATGTCTTAAGCCTACTCTTGAATGTGGAGAGGGTGTCTACCTCCCGAACCACAACTGGAAGCTGGTTCCACAGAAGAGGAGCTTGGTAACTGAAGGCTCTGGCTCCTGTACTTTTTGAGACTATAGGAACCACAAGTAGCCCAGCATTCAGAGAACGTAGTGTTCTAGTGGGGTAATAGGGTACTATGAGCTCTTTAAGATATGAAGAGGCCTGACCATGAAGAGCTTTATAGGTGAGGAGGAGGATTTTAAATTCTATTCTACATTTTACAGGGAGCCAGTGCAGAGAAGCTAGTACAGGAGAGATGTGATCTCTTTTTCTAGTTCCTGTCAGTACTCGTGCTGCAGCGTTCTGAATTAATTGGAGCGTTTTAATGGACTTACTGGGGCAACCTGATAATAAAGAGTTGCAGTAATCCAGCCTTGAAGTAACAAATGCATGGATTAGTTTTTCTGCATCTGTCTGTGATAGTATGTGTCTAATTTTTGTAATATTACGTAAATGAAAGAAGGCAGTCCTAGAGGTCTGCTTCATGTGGGAGTTAAAAGACAAATCCTGATCAAAGATAACTCCAAGATTCCTGACAGTGGTGCTAGAGGCCAAGGTAATGCCATCTAGAGTAACTATATCTTTAGACAGTGAGTCTCTAAGGTTTTTGGGGCCAAGAACAAGAATTTCGTTTTTTTGAGTTTAACATCAGAAAATTGCAGCTCATCCAGGATTTTATGTCCTTAAGACATGTTTGTAATTTAGATAATTGATTAATTTCATCAGGCTTGATCGATAGATATAACTGCGTATCATCTGCATAACAGTGAAAGTTAATGGAGTGATTCCTAATAATGTTGCCTAAAGGGAGCATATATAGAGTAAATAGTATTGGTCCAAGTACAGAACCTTGTGGAACTCCATGACTAACTGTAGTATTTATTGAAGATTCATCATTAACATGTACAAACTGCGATCTGATAAATATGACTTAAACCAGCTTAGTGCGGTTCCTTTAATGCCAATTTGATGCTCAAGTCTCTGTAAAAGAATATCATGGTCAATGGTGTCAAATGCAGCACTAAGATCTAATAATACAAGTACAAAGACAAGTCCATTGTCAGAAGCAATCAGAAGGTCATTATTAACTTTAACCAGAGCTGTCTCTGTGCTATGATGAACTCTAAATCCTGACTGAAAATCCTCAAATAAACTATTGTTATGTAGAAAGTCACACAACTCTTTGGCGACTACTTTCTCCAGAATATTAGACATGTCACCAATATTGTTTTTCCGTCATATCCTTTGTACTTTTTTTGCCATTATGGACGTAAAATAGGTCTTAAATTGGATTCATAATGGTTAAATTTAAGACTTTTTAGTCTTAAATTTAACCTGCCAAACTTGCAGAAAACCCTTTTTTCTTCCGCTCTTTGTGTTGAAAGCTGCCTGTACAATTAAAGGTTGTTATTGATGTTTGTAGTAAGTGGACCTATGTAAACTCTTCCATGTTAATTTTTTCCTTTTAGGTTAGACGATGTTCCACTGAGAGGCTTAAAGTTTCTGTCCCAGTCCACCGACTCTCTCCATCAAGGGACCAAAGTTAATGCTTCGACTGAGTCACTCACTGATGAAGGTACCATCAACACACACACACAAACTGTGAACACACAGAAAAACTGGAGAAAGCATATTTCATTGTGTGTCAGACAAAGCTGATCAACAGAAAGTTGTCTTTTATGTGGAAGCAGATGTTCCCTCCTAATTGTGTGTGTGTGTGTGTGTGTGTGTGTGTGTGTGTGTGTGTGTGTGTGTGTGTGTGTGTGTGTGTGTGTGTGTAGGTACTGAGATGATGGACAGTCAGCTGATGGGAGAGTTTGAGTTTGATGTTAAAGATCTGGAAGCTGATTCTTGGAGCGGCACGGTGGATAAGAAGTTCTTGAAAGCATTGAAGAAAGATGAAATCAAGAGACAAGACGTCATCTATGGTAAAATATATCGGTATCTGCGCCTATCAAGGCATTTTTTAACTGATTGGTATCAGTATTGGCTGCTTTTACCCGGGCTGCATTGGTGCATGGTGCAGCCATCGTTGACTCTCCACTGTCTCTTTCCTCAACTCTGTTGAGCTGCATTCGTGTGAGTGCAATGGCAGCCCCGTCTGCTGTGGAGTTTCACCGCGGGAGGGGCTGCTTCTGCTCAGAGGAGAGTAGCAGTAGAGATCTGACACAATCACACTCAACAAGCCACTGCAAGTGCAACAAAAATCCTGCAAACAAATAGCCAATGAGAGTAATTAATTAATGTAATTCACGCAAAAGATATACTTATCAGAATAGGTTACAGTTCATTCAGTTAACTTAGGCAGAGGCTGCACTGAAGCACCAAAGACTGGAGAGAGAAACAAGGACAAAACCAAAAAGATTATAGAAAGTTTGTTATTTGATACTTTATTATGTAAACATGTTTTATAAAAACATTAAGCCACAGCTTTGATGCAGGTATTTTTTTCTTGATGCATTGCAGAGCTATTTTACAGAAGCATATTGTATTCACTTGAAAAAAAATGCTGTCTTTGTCTGAAATAATGACTTATGTCATAATTCTGAGATATTTTCCATGCAAAAAACGAGATACCTCCAGCACCCTTTCAGCACCCCTGAGCCTAACCCAATTCTTGTATCTAGGCTCCGCTGAGGAACCGGAGGGAGGAAGGGAGGTTGGTGAGGTCCGTGCCCATGTACAGTGCCTAATCTTGTCGACTGATGTCAACTGTTTTTTTTGCCGTGAAAGTCTCTCATAATTATGACATAATGAATTAATTCAGAAAAACAAGTGAATGCAATACCCTTCCGTAGCTATTCAATTGTCAAGCATATATATTGGATTAATTTAACTAATTTTAATGTACTTGAAGTGTGCACTGTGCACCTGTTTTATCTAAAACAATATACACGTATCAGATCAAGACTCAGTATCAGCCAATACTCAATATTAAACGACTCAAATTGGATCCAGGCTAAAAAACCTTGATCAGGACATCCATACATACTAATTTTGGGAGGAAGATAAATTTTAGGTGTAAATGCTCCTGTCATGTTCCTACATATGGCGATAAGAGTCTTTTCTCTACTCAGAGTTGTACCAGACAGAGTTCCACCATGTGAGGACACTGAAGATCATGTCTGAAGTATACTATAAAGGCCTACAGAAGGAGCTGCAGCTTGACACTCACACTCTGGACAAGGTGATGCATGTGCTGTTTCACCTACAGTTGTGCATAAATGCAATATTAGAAACAAAAACATTGAATTGACACATTAAAGGCAAGTCTATCGATGATTCCCTGTAGATTTTCCCTGTTTTGGACAATCTGTTGGACATGCACACACATTTCCTCACCCTACTCCTGGAAAGAAAAAGAGCTTCATCATCTGAGGGACAGAACAATAACAGCTTCCTCATCTGTAGCATCGGGGATGTCCTTGTCAACCAGGTGAGTAAGATGAAGAAAAGTAGCTGCAGTGATTAAAACACCACCTACTCTGGGCCAGTGTTTGTGTGTATACTATATTTATGCTCAACCATGTTGTGATACATTTATATTCAGTTATGTCCAGGGTGGAGTGTTATAATTCCCTCTACAGCACTTAAAGCTCATCCTCATGTGTTAGGTGGGTTTCTTGAAGGGATACTATATTAGACTGTAATGTTTTAATCCTGTTCATAACTTGCTTGACCTTTTTTGTTTTTTGTAACCCTCTGCAGTTCTAGGATGTAATTCTAATCTTAAGATCAACAGACATATGGACCAAATGTTTTGAATCAACACTTTCAGTAATTTCAGACTAAACAAAGAAGAGAAAGAACAAAAAACAAAATTATTCCCCTCGGCCATCATTAATCCACCTGGATATTACCCCGTCAGGTGTTCCCCACCTTCATATATTGGACCTCCAGATAGCAAAAAGCTGGTCCACACAGCGTGAGGATCAGTATAGCTATGCTGATGTAAGAATCAAAAATAAAAACAACCAACAGAATAAGCGTAACTACTCTGCTACTGCGATTCAGAAAATTCTTTTAAAGCAACCCAGCAATGAAAAACGCTTCCACATTTGCTTAATTAAACAGTGCATATTAAACCAAAGAATTGTTCCTTATCATAGACCGGGGATGGAGAGCGATCAGAACTCAGTGTAACAACTTAACTAACTTTCACTGTACTCTCCACTCCCGTCTACATTGTATCAAAATATCAGAACAATGTTCCATCAGTAGTTTTAGATTACGTTTCCGACGGTGTCATCTGTTCATCAATACCTCCGTCCGGATGATTATCCGACTGGATCTTTTTAACGAACCGTTCGGCTTCGTCGGCGCTGTTGAAGATGTGTGAGCGCTCCTTGTAGGTTACAATACGCCGGGCAGGAGGGATCGTACCGTACCGGAGCCCCAGTGAACGGAGTTGTCACCTCACCTCCTCTAACTCTTTTGGCTTCTTGTGCGTCTCCGCCATCATGTCTTGGTAGAACCTCACCGGCTGATTCTTGTAGAGGACCTGCCTTTTCGCCCGCGCCGCTCTCATCACCGCTTCTTTGTCTTTGTAATTCAGAAATTTCATTATGAGGGTTCTGGGTGTGGAGCCCGTGTTATGTTGTCTTCTTGGTCCAAGCCTGTGTGCTCTTTCCACCGTAATTTTCCCCCGGAGCGGTGCTAGCTCCAGCGCCTCCGGTATCCAGCTCTCCAGGAATCCACAGGTGTCTTCACCTTCTGCGCCCTCAGGCAGATTAGCCAGCCGTACATTGGAGCGACGTGAACGAGTTTCCAGGTCAAGCAGTTTCTCTTCCAAGTCTTTATTTTTCCCCTCTAGATTTTTCACCTTATCTTGGAGTGCAGTCACATCGTCCTCTGTTGTTGAGATTCTCTTCCGAGCAGTCTGTAATGTCTCTCCTTACATTTTCAATCGCAGACATGATGTTATCGAATTTGGACGAGACCTCAGACTTCATGGTTTTAATAGCTGCCAGTATTGTTGTCAAAGAGGTACCGGACTCTTCCCTGGCAGTAGTAGTGTCTCCCTCCGGCTGTTACTCGGGGCCAGAGCTAGCATCGGGGGCAGCGCTAACGCTAACTTCCATGGTCTCGTTGTTAGCAGTGAGCTTGGCCTTGGCAGTTGAAGTTGTGAAATTAGTCAGGTCGGTTGGTTGTGTCCAGCCGTGATTTGTCTTCCTTAGTTTCATCGGTATTTTCTTGAGCCTTGATGTTGCAGTTGGGCTGAATGACGCATAGAATGAAGCTTTTAGAAAGGATTTGAAGGGTCGAGTAGCGAAGCAGTCTTACACGCCTCTACTCAGCAAGCCGCCATAACCGGAAGTTCTAAAATATAAACTTTTTAAAAATCTGAGCACAAGCTGTATTGACAGATCATTCACTCTCTGCTTAACCAACTTGTCTTGCATTAGAAAAGGTTAAACAACCAAAAAACTAATAGAATAATGGCCAAGTGTCAGGGAGAAGACCAGTGCATTTGTATGATTGTTAGGAATTAAGAAAATACAAAATACAGACGGAGAATTGTATAAAAAATTCAGAAACATATCAGCTCAAAATTCATCCAAATCATTTATTTGACACAAACTTGGGTTCATTGTAAAGTTGTTCTGTGCTGTTATTGTTATGCATTTCACTTGGTTGTCGTTCAATTTCAATAATATGTGCTTTGATCCAATGTAAATATTATTTAATATGATACTTGACTTGATTTGCTCTTTTTTATTTTGTCATGTGTCTTGGCAATTTCCACAGCAGATTTTGTGTTTCCACCTCTAGCACAAAAAAATAAGTGGGATTTTTCAGTAATGGGTTAACAATAATACATGGGGGTTTCCCATTAATTACTTAGATAATGGCACCAATGGTCTAATTTCCCCTGTCGCCACAGTCTCCTCCCCAAAAAACAAAACAAAACAAAACAAAACACCTGTCACACTGCTCTGCAGAGAAACACACACAGGGACAGACACTCTAGGTAAACCAGGTAAAGTCCTGATGTCATCCGTTACCAGGCTGTTTTCGATCGTTTCAACAACTCACCTGCTGTTGTAAAAACGGAATCGATGGTTGTGCTTTTTGGGTGACTTTACTGTTGAAAAAATCCACAGAGATATATACAATATGATTAAAGTAGTTAGAGAGTTAAGTAATAATAATAATAATAATAAATTATATTTATAGAGCGCTTTTCTAGGACACTTCACATAAGGTAATTAATACAACACACTAAAAACATATATATATATATATATGTGTGTGTATATATATATACATATATATGTGTGTATATATATGTGTATATATATACATATATATTTGTGTATATATATACATATATATCTATAACACTCAACAAAGAATCATCAACATTAAAAGCTGTTCTGAAAAGGTGGGTTTTGGTCAGTGATTTGAAGGTGGATGGATCAGTATAGTCTTGGATTTGTTTGTGGAGAGAGTTCCAGAGGGAGGGGGCAGCAATGGAGAAGGCTCTGTCACCCCAGGTACGATGCTTGGTCCTCAGTGGTGGAGACAGGCGGTTGGCATCAGAAGAGCGGAGGCCTCTGCAAGGACTGTGGCGATAGAGCAGGTCTATGAGGTAGGAGGGGGCCTGGTTGTGGAAGGCTTTGTGAGTTAGGAGAAGGACTTAATATTGGATCCGTGTTAGACAGGGAGCCAGTGGAGGTTCTGTAGGACAGGGGTAATGTGGGTACAGGTGAGCTGCATATGTTGTTACAATAGTCTATTTTGGATGTGATGAAAGTGTGGATGAGGGTCTCAGCAGCAGAGGAGAGTGAGGGCGGAGGCGCGCAATGTCAGGTGGAAGAAGGCAGTTCTGGTGATTTGGTTGACATGGTGTTCAAAGGAGAGGTTGCTGTCAATGATAACTCTGAGGTTGTGGATGTGTGAGGAGGGAGACAGAGTGGTGTTGTTAAGGGTGAGACCGAAGTTGTTTGTGTTGTTGGTAAGGGATTTGGGAATTTATATTTCAGATTTGTCACAGTTGAGTTTGAGGAAGTTGCATGCATCCATGATGGTGGTTTTGGATTTAGTGGAGATGTAGAGCTGGATGTCATCAGCATAACAGTGGAAGCGGAGACCATGACGGCGTATGAGGTTACCAATGGGGAGAATGTACAGGATGAACAAGAGGGGGCCAAGCACTGAACCCTGAGGGATGCTTTGGGACAGGAGTGGACAAGGTTTATTGATATTGATGAACTGTTGTGTGTTTGTGGGATATGACCTTAGCCAGGAGAGGGCAGCACCAGTGATGTTGAGGGAGGACTCAAGGTGGGAGAGAAGAATGGTGTGGTTGATAGTGTCAAAAGCTGCAGTGAGGTCCAGAAGGATGAGAATGTTGAGGTGACCAAAGTCTGAGGAGAGGAGGAGGTTGTTGGGGACTTTGAGGAGGGCTGTTTCTGTGCTGTGTTGTGAAATGGTTCAAACAGGTCATTGGAAATGAGGTGGGCTTTGTGTTGGGAGGCAACAACATGTTCCAGTATTTTTGACAGAAAGGGAAGATTGGAGATGGGCCGGAAAGTGCTCATGGTGTCAGGATTAAGACTAGTTTTTTTGAGGATGGGGGTAACAGCAGCCAGTTTGAGTGTTTTGGGGACAGAACTAGTGCTGAAGGAGGAGTTAATGATTTCTATGACGACTGAGGAGATGACTGAGAGACATTCCTTGACAAGATTGGATCGTACAGGATCTAGGGTGCAAGTGGAGCTCTTCATTCCTACCATGAAAAGTAGGATAGCTCCATGGGGGAAACAGGGGGAAACTGAGGCAGGGGCTGAGTGGTAAGGGGAGGTGGGGAGGTGTAGAAGGCAGGGGAGGTGGTGATGCTGCTGTAGATTGGATCAATTTAAAAAAACAAAAAAAAAGTAAGTAGTGAAATTACTTTATTTAAACTGTTATTAGCATCATTGGCCTTAGCAGTATTCAGGCAGAAGAAAGGTCAAGGGGTTTATTATCTGGCAACTCCAATACAACTTCAATTTAATTTTGCCTTCCTCATATTTTAATGTTTTTGATTTCAGTTTTCAGGCTCCAGTGCTGATAGTATGAACAAAGTTTATGGGAAGTTCTGCAGTCGACACAATGAAGCTGTCAATCTCTACAAAGACCTGTATGCCAAAGATAAACGCTTCCAGGCTTTCATCAAGGTCAGCACTCATCTGACACCAGCTCATTTCTATATTTTCAGCAGTGCTGTGGTTCATCTGCATGTTATTTGCTTCTGAACTGACCTTTGTGTATCTTTGTGCTTGTGCAGAAGACAATGAGCAGCAGCATTGTGCGGAGGCTCAGTATTCCAGAGTGCATTTTGTTGGTTACTCAAAGGATCACCAAGTATCCTGTTCTGATCCAGAGGATACTCCAGCATACTAAAGGTTAGGGTGAAGATACCTGTAACATGTCTCTGAAAATCTCCACAGTCAACACTCTCTTGTGGACATTGTATTGTTTATTTGGAATAAGTGTAAAAACTGCCATCATAGTGTGTGTGAGATAGAGTTTTGTACTCTTTCTCAACCTGATTGGACCTGACCCAACTCGTCGGGTTAAGGCCAAGTTGGGGCCCAAAACTGCTGTCATAGCTCGGGCTCAAGTCAGGCTTGAACAAAATAGATTTTTTATATATATACATATATTTAATATTTTAATAATAATGTCACTGTAATAGTTGGGGAAGGTCTAATTTTTTAAGTTACCTTACAAACCATTTATTCATTAACAATAAACAGCGATTAATAATCTGATCTAATGCATGTATTAATCGGAATTAAGTATATAATAAATGGAGTAGAGACAGAATTGTTCGCCACAGTATCATACAGTACATGGGATAATGAAACAAAATAAGAGGAACAGTGTTTTATGTGGTAACCTCTCTGCTATGACAGACTCAGATGAAGACCACAGCTGTGTTTGTGAAGCACTTCGCTGTGTCAAGGAGCTGATCACAGCTGTGGACAGTAAAGTCAATGAGCAGGAGAAGAAACAGAGACTGAGGGAGGTCTACAGGTAAACTACATACTGTATAATAGCTGTGCTGGGGAAAAATGTTTGTTATGTTTAATGTATGTATGTATCAGCTTCTAGATTTGCAGATGGGAAGGATTTAACTCATCAAAGCAGTACAATATACAGAACTGGCTAGTAATACTAATACTGTTTTCTTTTCTCTCTGTGACTCTGTGACAAATAGGTGAAAGGCCACATATGTCACAGAGAGTCTAAAATAAAATCATAAAAGCTGAGGTTCAAAGCTAATTATGGTTCTTGGAAACAGCAGTTGAGTGTATTTACTGAAGAGCAGGCAATATGATAGATTTCCTTATACTCATTTCTTTCCTCTTGTTAATTGCTGCATATTGTATGGTTTCCCAATTTATCCTCTCCTAATGTGGAAATTAACCTTTCTCAGTTGTGTCACATTATATGAATATATATATATATATATATATAATATGTAATAAATATATACATATATATATATATATACAAGCAGAACAAAAGTTTACAGATTTAAGCACCTGGAACCTTTTCTCAATCCAAATGTGTTTGACCAATGCACTTCTTTGTAACTCAGTGACTACTTCTCATGCACAAAATATTCTGGGTTTTGCCCTTATTCTGAAAATATCCCTCCCTCTTTCATTTGTATTTTTTAATGTGTTTTATGACTTTTTCTTTCTCCCTGACCCACCAGAACAGCACCGTCTCAGTTTGCAGGGACCTGCTGATATATGCTGATAATGAGATAGTGATGAGTTAGTTATTTTTTTCAGCTCAGGTGTCAAAATCAGCAGGGGAAGGCACGTAGAAACAGCTGTTTAGCTACCTGTGCTCTCTCTCCAGGCCCAGGAGAGATGCTATTTTATTTATAATTCTAATGTACCTCATAGTCTCCTTCATAAACAAGCAGAATATAGAGAAAATAACTGACCAAACTTATGTGTATTATATAGAGGTCTGTATGATTACACTGTAGCAGCCTTCTGTCATATTCAGGTGATTTAAAAATAAAGGTTAATTCATTATACGCAATACACAACTGTGCATAACAGCACTGTAGTGTGTGCTCATTCTTCTTTAACCGCACAAAACTGAATCACGGTTAAAAGTTCCGTTTACAACCACAAAAAGCAGGACAGTCTGTTTGTCGGATGGTCTGTCTGTCTGTCTCTGTTTATTGATCACCTCTGCTTTCAGTAATATGGACAGCACCGCAGAACCACTTACATCAAGAAAGCTCAGTGTGTTTTCACCACTATTCCACTTCTACCCCCACTTCCAGATATGGTTAATGAGCTTTCTTGAAATAACTTCCAGGTTAGGCATCCAGGCATTGAGGCATTTGTTGCAGCTCACCAAAAACGTGAGCTCCACTCACAATGCATAACTGCACGCACGCCTAGCTATTTATCTGAGACTATGGTGTAGTGGGTTGATTTGACTTAAGTGTACATTTGAGATTACACATACAGGCAGGTGTGCCATATGTTGCACTAAATCATTTGTAGCGTATGTTACACACACACGCTGTGTCAATTCATGTAAACACCTTATCTAAATGAAGCAACCAGCACGACACCTATGTCACCTATGTGTAATGCCTATGTGCCCATTGTGAGTGTATGTAAATTCAATTCAATTCAATTCAATTTTATTTGTATAGCGCCAATTCATAACAGAAGTTATCTCAGGACACTTTTCAAATAGAGCAGGTCTAGACCGAACTCTTTAACATTAATTACAGAGACCCAACAGTACCACCATGAGCAAGCACTTTGTTGCCATGCATTCATACATTTGGTCAGATCTTTAGTAGTAGGCGTTTGTTGTTCCCTGTTCCCTGAATGGTGTCTTTTTTATTCAGGTATAGCGTGTAGATATGGCATTTCCTACAGTTTGCCAAAGTACACGTGTACATGTATATGTGCAGGTACGCATATGAGGAATGCAGTGAATGTACTGCATGTTAGTTGGCTAAATTGTTCTGCACCTCATCTCCTTGGGAGAGGGGGCTGTAACCGACATACATGCTTCTAAAAGATCAGTAGGCAGTTCACAAACAGCTGAGAGCTCACAAACTATTAAACTGTATGCTTTCATAACATGACAACTTTGGCCCACAGAATCCTTTTCAGAGACAAAAATGTTCTAAAAATAGGCTTATAAATTGTAATAAAGGTACACTGCAGGGCAGCAGCTTTGAATGAACAATTAACCTACCTTACTGCAGTCACACTCTTATTGCCTACTCCAAAAGAGACCTCAATATTTCTAAAATCCTGGCTATGGACTTGCCCTTATGAAAAGCTAATATTTAGAATAGTGGAAAATGAAATTAGTGTGCATTGAAACGTAGTCAGTGTGGACAAGAGATACATGTCTGAAAAGTAAACACATTTTATTTGATCTCCAGTCGCACTGATAGCAAGTCCATCATGAGGATGAAGAGTGGTCAGATGTTTGCTAAAGAAGACCTGATCAGAGGGAGGAAGCTATTGCATGATGGAGCGCTGCAGCTGAAAAACACGGCTGGACGACTCAAAGGTTTAAGATGTTTCCAGTCTTCATGCAACTTTAAACACATGCTTTCCTTGTTTTGTTCTTCAGTCCTCTCACAGCAGACAGGAAGTTACTATCATCTTTGTTTCTTGGTGTTGCAGATGTCCATGCCATGCTCCTGTCTGACGTACTGGTCTTTCTTCAGGAAAAAGACCAGAAATATGTGTTTGCCTCACTGGTAAGTAGCATGTTGCATTTTTTATATCTAACAATGGTGTATACGACTTTCAGACTCCATGTCACACTAGAGCACCAGCATCTCAGACCTAAACAAATAATTTTATCTTCCAGATCATAAAACACTCACAAAATAAAATGGTAAATGGACTGTATTCATATAGCGCCTTTCTAGTCTTTTCACCACCAAGTTCCAACTGCTCACCGGAACGGAAACTAATCATTCATACATACACATTCATACACCGATGCATAGGGAGCAATTTGGAGTTCAGTGTCTTACTCAAGGACACTTCGACATGCAGCGAGAGGGGATCAAACCGCCAACCTTCCAATTATTGGACAACCCGCTCTACCGCTGAGCCACAGCCGCCCTGGCTCACCAAGACAATTTTTGTCAGTCCTAACATTCGCCAACTCTGGTTCGGTAGAAATAAATCCTTAATTCACAGAAGTAGATGAGAAAAACAGTAATTTCAGTTGCTATTCTCAAAGGCAACAGCTGCAAACATCACTCACACTCACACTAACATGCACATGCGGCTGGACCGGGGAAGTAAACAATGCTCAGGGATCAACTAGGGAGACTCCACTAAATATTTACATAGCAAATACTTGTTTGCTGCTATATTAATGTTCTATATCTCGTTTGTATAACCTTTAATTTAAATAAACAGTGAATGCTCAGTCCATCCATATTTTCATGAAGATTCAGTTTGACTTGGAACTCTCTGTCCTTAGGACCAGCGCTCTACAGTTATCTCTTTACAGAATCTGATTGTCAGAGAAGTGGCTAATGAGGAGCGAGGTCAGTCATTTTCTTTCTCTCCTATGTTGCATTTGTTTTGTGATTTTCTTTTCTTTTTATACACTGTGTTACATCCTTTTCTTAGACTTTAAACAACTCAGTTGGTCATGTTGGATGTTGGACAAACAGTATGGTTATGTTCAACCAGCACTCAATTCTAATTTATTGCTCAGATCTGATTTGTTTGGCTGTTCACTGTTTTTTAAATGTGGCCCATATCAGATTCCAGTGTGAACAGGTCAGGCTCCTGGAGCGCCCCGCATGACAACCGTAGGTCTAGAATGACGTAAAAGTTACATGTATTCTGATGACTGTTCATGCTGAAGTCACATTGCAAAAACATATGAAAGTGGCCCAAATCAGAAAAGAAAGAGATTCCATGTGGTTTGTCCTGTTCACACAGTCATAAAAAATCTGATCTGTCACATATGAGTCTAAACGTGGCCCATGATACAAATAAACCTGACAATGTACGTATTGTATGTAAGTGTATGTATGTGTGTGTATATGGATGTATGTGTATATGTGTGTATATATGTCAATCAATTATGTCAATCAGTGAATTGGGTAAATACAGACATTCAGTTGTTCATGGGAAAAACACTGATGCAGGTTTTGTCTCCTGCAGGTCTCTTTCTGATCACAGCTGGTACAGACAGACCAGAGATGGTGGAGGTGTTGGCCAGCAGTAAGGAGGAGCGCAACACATGGAGGGCCATTATACAGGACGCCATGCACTGCATGTGAGGACACACACAATATATTCTGTTCTCATTCTTATTACTGTGACTAACTATGCATGTGTAGGACCCCCTTTTACAGCCAAAGCAGCCCTGACCCATCAAGCCATGGACTCCACTAGACCTCTGAAGGTGCACTGTGGTATCTGATACCAACACGTTAGCAGCAGATCCTTTAAGTCCTGTACGTTTATCCTCCATGTATCAGATATGTTTGTCCAGCACATCCCACAGATGCTTGATTGGATTGAGATCTGGGGAATTTTGAGGCCAAGTCAATACATTGAACTTGTTGTTGTGTTCCTCAAACCATTCCTAAACCCTTTTTGCTTTGTGGCACAGCGAATTATCCTGCTGAAAGAGGTCACTGCCATCAGGGAATACTGTTTCCATGAAAGAGTGCACATGGTCTGCAACAATGCTTAGATAGGTGTCATGTGTCATCCACATGAATGGCAGGACCCAAGGTTTACCGACCAAACATCACCCCAAAGCATTACACTGCCTCTGCCGGAGTGCCTGTCGCCGGTTCACCAGTTTTCTTTCCTTGGATCACTTTTGATAGGCACTGACCACTGGTGACCGGGAACACCCCACAAGAGCTGCAATTTTAGAGATGCTCTGACCCAGTCGTAAAGCCATCACAACTTGACCCTTGTCAAAGTCGCTCAAATCCTCACGCTTGCCCATTTTTCAAACACATCAGTTTTGAGGACAAAATGTTAACTTGCTGTGAGTGAACTGTACTCAGTAACGAAGGGTGACAGGAAAGATATGATAGACTTTATTGATCCCACACTGGGGAAATTCACTGGGGGAAGAGAGAAGAGGACAACACACAGCAAAGAGCCATAGGTTGGAGTTGAACCCATGGCCACTGCAACCAAAAATCTAGTCAATGAAGTCAGTGAGCAAAATGTTATCTTAAAGAATAGGAATGATGCCCAAAGTTAGAAAAAAAAGAAAAAGTGGTCTGATTGTCCCAACAGATACTCAACTCTGACATAATGCACTGCAGCAATTTAACAGTTCTTTAAATGTTACAGTTCAACAGTTGTGTCTTTCAAAGACGGCTTAATTTTGGGAAATATTTGAACATCCTACTTGGGGTTTGTTGACAGTGAGAAAGAAGAGGATGAGGGAGTTCCTAGTGAAACAGAAGAAGACAGGAGACAGCAGGACAACAGAGCAAAGGAGATCCGAGGTGAACACCCACAGATCTTACTATATTGTATCATATTGTGTTCTGTCCTTGCATTAATTTAATGGTATATGAAAATATTGATACACTTCAGTATCATAATGTTTTTTGTGATATTGTATATTTTTTATATTTATGACTGTATTGATTTTTGTGTTAAACCCCCAACCGCTAGATAGCAGTGTTGTAAATGTAAACTGAGTGCTATGATGATATATGTTACAAATGCAGATCCCGCTCTTCTGATTGCATAAAGAAAGTTAACTTTGTTTACTCAGTGTTATTTTTATGCATATGGGAGTATGTTTTTTATACTATGACAGTTTTCCTAAAATGAATTTTTTTTAAATCGCAATATATCACTTGGCCTACACTATTACATTGTACAGTATCGCCATATATTTAATCATAATGATGCATATCGTATTGCCAGATTCTTCCCAATACACAGCACTATCAGTCATACATGAATTTGTGTTTTGCTCCAGAGCTTCTACGAAGGAAAGATGAACAAATCATCTCTTTATTGGAGGAGAAGGTCCACATCTTCAGAGACCTGAGTGACTATAATCCCACACTCAATGATATAAACCCACCAGTCAGGGAGCGGATGTTGTTCAGGGCCACACCTGATGATGTCACAAAGGGGGAGCCAATCATAAAGGATGCCCTGAGGGAAAGTAAGCAGGGTTTTGAGGTTATGTCATACTCTGTGTGTCCAAGAGATCAAATGAGTATAATCATTTTTTCCATCTCTCTCTTCTTAGTGGAGACCTTGCATGCTTTGGTAAGCAGTTGTGTTGGTGGAGCAGGTTGCAGTGTTCCAGTTGGCCTGGCAGGGGGCAGTGTGGGACCAGTCTCTCTGCCCAGGAGAGCTGAGACTTTTGGAGGCTTTGACAGTCATCAGATGAACAGCAGCAAGAGTAAGACACATACAGGCATGCACAGGGATATAATTTTCCTTTGAGGAATGATTTTATCTTGACAATATGGCAGCAGGTTTATCCCATATGTTAGCTGATGATTACCTGCTGTGATAAAAACTCCTCTTTTGTTCTCTATCCTCAGATGGAGAGAAGGAAGAGGGAGATGAATCACTGGACCTCCGAAGGACTGAGTCAGACAGTGTGTTGAAGAAGGTGTGCGTGCGTGTGTGTTTGTTTTTGTGTATCCACAATGCATTATTTATGAATGCATTTTGTTCCCAGATCTCTTTTGAAAAATCTATCTCAGTGTACCTGATAAACAACTATAACTATAATAATTATAATTATAATAGAAATGACTGATGATGATGACGACAACAGCCACAACGATGGGGGACGATGGACATTAATAATAATAATTACATTTATAATAATCTTAATAATAATAATAATAATTATAATATCAGTAATATTAGCTACGTGCCACATTTGCCCTTTCATACACATTAACAAAGTGATGGCAGTCCATCTAACAGAAACTAACTCATTCATACACATTCACACACCGATGTAAAGCATTCAGTATCTTGCTCAAGGATACTTCGACAGGGTGTCCGGTCAGCTCAGTCTGTAGAGCTGGCGACCCATGTACTGAGGCTGAGTCCCTGCTGCAGCGGCCCATGGTTCGAATACGACCTGCGGCCCTTTGCTGCGTGTCATCCCCACTCTCTCTACCCCCCTTTCCTGTCTATCTTCATCTGTCCCTATCAAATAAAGGTAATAAAAAGGCGGGAGGAGTCGGGGATTGAACCGACAACCTGCCAAAGATGGTTGTCACACAAGGCTTACTTCCTATTGCCAGATGGTAGCACTGTGACTATGACTGAAGAATATATTAGTATGTCAGTGTGTTCAGACTGGGATTGATCATCATTTAATGGCGACACATCAACATTTTGACACATCTCTATGGGAATACCATTCAATGAAAACTCACACGCTTCAAGGTCTTAAGGGTCTTTCAAGCTGGATCTGGTCAACAGGAGGAGCATGTCAAAGTATATAACAACTTTCTATTGCCAGTAGGTGGCGCTAGGAGTATGACAATTTTAAAGCAATTTTTATACATGTTGGTGAAACGTATCGCAGGTTTTTTAGGGGGGAATTTTCTGTTTTTTGCAATTAGTTAGCTAATTCTAATTACTTTAATTGCCCAGCGTGCAACTCTTAGCAACCAAAATTAATCACAACTGCTAAGCCTATAGATGACATTCAAATTCTAAAAGTTCATGCTCGGTTTCATATAGGCCATAGGAGTTTACAGTAGACTATATTGAAGGGATTGACATGACATTTGCAAAGTTCAGACATTCATGAGGTCACACTGTTCAGTTATTCTGTGTCAGTATCTATCTCTACATCATACATACATCTACCATCATAAACATTTTACCTGCTAAACATCAGCGTGGTAACATTGCTATTGTGAGCATGTTAGAATTTTCTTATTAGCAGTTTGCTGGTTTGGAAATCCCTTTCAAATAGTTAAAATCAACTCATGTTCCTAATTCCACTCACTAGTAGAAATGTAATAAAGAGGATGTTGGAAGTTTTCTTACAGCCCCTATCTAATGACCGTGAGAAGAAGTGCAGCTTCCAGCCATACTGTCAATGCTTCCAGCACAGATGTCATTGCTAATACCACTGAAAGGGCCAGCAGCAGACAAAGATGACACAACAATGTATCATTTTGTGTGTGTGTGTGTGTGTGTGTGTGTGTGTGTGTGCGCGCCCCTCAGGGAGCCACTTCCAGCCTTCAGATGCTGCTGAAAAGAAACAGTGAGGTAAGTATGTGGGCTTCTTGTTACAGCCCTGCCCAACCCACTGCCCTGTTTATAACAGTCACTGCATAGTTAATTGAGTCACCACCACTAAACTTCCTTGTTAGGTCTAAAGTTTGAGTTACAATAGTTTGCAAGAGTGCGAGTATAAACGCAATACACAGACTGCAAAGGGGGACTAGTGAGTAGATAGTGCTCTGTGTTTTAACATCACCGACAACCTATGTAGTCTCATTTAGCCACTTGTTAGCAACCACCTTTTCTAAGACACATAAAAGCTTCAACATTCCCAGGTGGGGTATCCAATGACATCTTCAATGAAATCTTTTAAGCTTGTGTTAACCACAGACCCTATTTCAGGTATCTAGCCAAAAACTGAAGGCTTGTTGACCCAAATTACAAAAAAAAATAAACATATTTTCCCAATTACAAAAATACAAATCCTCATTAAAGAAATATATTATTCTTTGAACATTATACTGAAAAGTGTGGTGTTATTTCTTTGTTTAATTCCAATCTACCATCTGGAGTCTTTTATGTTGGTTGGCCCTTACTGTCTGACTTTTCCACTGTAACTGTCTTTATAATCTTAAATGACTATGCTGCAATTTTTAGCGTTGCTACAGTTAAGTTTTATGATTTTGATCTACTGTGTCCAGTGTTTGACATTCATTACCCAGCAGGCATTGTCACATGAGTACAAATCTGTAAATTAATATTATGTGAGAATGAAAGTAGAGATGAACACAGTTGTTGGTATAATTCTTTGGAGAAATGGACTAAAATACCTTTCTTTCATAAGATCTGACTGTGATATCATATCATGCCTACATCAAGTAGTTTCTGGGTCTTAAAATAGTTTTAACTGTTATTACTGAAAATGTTATTTAATGCTGCGTTTCTCCAGCAGGTCCAAAACAGTGTGACAAATCTTCACGACCTGCTGATTTCACTGCAGGTGCCAGAAACACACGTACAGTTCCTCTACAGTAAAACGATGTCTGTATTTAACTTTCACTTTTGTTATAAAACCATCTTCTCCTGCCTCTAGGCTGTGGTGGTCCAGCAGGACTCGTTCATCGAGGACCAGCGGCAGGCCCTGAGCGACCGGCTCACCGCAAACTCTTCCAGACATTCGTCCTCTACCTCACTTTCTTCCTCTTCTTCCTCCCGCCCCTCCTCCCTCATCGAGCAGGAGAAACACAGGAGTCTGGAGAGACAGCGACAGGAGGCAGCCAGCCTGCAGGTTTACTTTCACTGCTGCTTCCTTTTCACATAATGAATCATGGCTGCAGTGAAATTAGATTTGCAATATATTTATCTTTAGGATTATCTGTACTTTACATTTATTTTAATCAATTTAATAAAATTTTCCACGCCCAAACCCCAGACTTCACTCATTATAACATCTACATACCTTTTGTGGTTTGTTTCAGAAACAGCAGGCTGCACACCAGGAAGAAAAGAGAAGGAGAGAGAAGGTATGGGAGTTGAAAGAGAAAGGACTGGCAGAGCGGGAGGAGAGGCTAAGGGTTGAGGAGGAGGAGACCAGGAGGAGAGGTCAGGAGCTGATGGAGGAGAGAGAGACCCTGCAGAGGAAGAAAGAGGAGTACCAGAGAGACCTGGAAAGGCTGAGGGAGGCTCAGAGGAGGCTGGAGAGAGACAAGGAGGCTCTGAGGAGAGACACAGAGAGACTGGAGGCTATGAAGAGAGATGAGGTCAGAGTCCATTTATGATGCGGGCAGGCTAATGAAGCTAAACTGGGCTCAAAATGAGCCTATTTCTGTAATCAAAGCCAAGGTACAGCTCCTCTCCTCTGGTCCACCAAAGTCCATGAATCATTTGTTCTTTTTAAATTCAATCTAGAAAACCATTATTTTTGTTATTCATTTATGAATCCAACACAAAAAACATATACTGGCTTCTTTTTCGTGCCTTCTATTCAATGCACACGTCACACATTTCTGCCAATAGATCCTCTTCTTAAATGTTATCCACTGGACCTTTAAGCCACGTCCGTAGCTGCCAGTAGTTTCTCAAAGGATGCTGGTTCTTCCGCATAGCAAGTGCATTGCTTGAACCCTGGCAAGATGGATTTGTGATCTTGGGAATCCAGCTCAATGTTCAGTTTTAACTTTAATGTGTGTTTTTTTTAGTGATCTGTGATCTCAGGTGCCTGCTATCCTTGTGTGGAATACAATGCTATTTATACTGATAGCCACAGATACAAAAATAGCCCTAAAATTGTAATAGACCTTAGTTTACCCTTAAGTATCTACAATGCTACGAGTAATAGTTACAGATTGATTGATTAATTGATTTGTCAGATTGTAACTTGTAAACATGGATTGATAGAATTCATTTCAAATTAATAGGACCGCAAAACACTTTGCAAAATGATGAATCATATCTTGACATGGATACAGATATCATTCGTGACCCTTTTTACAGCCGGACAGCCTAATAGGAAAAGAAAGCTGATATTGTTAGACTGCCCATAATTATTTGGGTAAGGCTGTAGAGTGCATTCAGTAAACAGAGGTACTCTTCTAGAGAAACGGAGAAACAGCGTATTCACTTCCGTTTTCAAAATAAAGGTATTAAGAACAGTAAGCTATAATTCAAACCTACATTTAAAATAAAATGTTACATTAAAGTGTTTCATGTGACCATGTTGAATAAAAACATACTTAATATCAAGCATTTTTACTGCACCAATTTGGAGAAATTCAACAATAAAAGTCCATATTTGTACAACCAACAACCGAAGCTTGATTGTCAGCCTGGTGAAAGCAACTGTGCAGGGGTGTTGTGGCTAATCAACACATGGCTCATTTGAATATTAAAATTAGCCATGTGTCTTGCTTAAGGCTGCGCCTGTATCTAGTGAGCACTAGATAGTATCTAGTGAGCACGAGATAAGTATCTTGTGCACACGAGATAAGTATCTAGTGCACACGAGATAGTATCTAGTGCTCATGAGATGCTATCTTGTGCCCAGACCCAAAAGACATGAAGAAGAAGAATATTATAATACTATAAAAGATTACGGCCAAGTGTTTAAAAAAGACAAAGGAAAACGTACCTTTTTACTCTCCACTCCAAAACTTAGCCAACTTTCTTCTTCTTCTTCTTCTTCTTCTTCTTCTTCTTCTTCTTCTTCTTCTTCTTCTTCTTCTTATGTCTTTCGGGTTTGGTCCCACGGGACTGGTCCATCCCTCAGGTCGGGTCCACCTAGTGGCCTGGCGCACTTCCGTTTTGTGGAGCGAATTTGCAGTGTGTCTCTTGCAGTTGTTTTGGGGTTTTGTGTGTTTTTGGTATTTGCAGCATTTTTCTTTGGCATTTGTTTTGTGGGTTTGTAAGTTTTTGCTTCTGCTTCGTTTCTTTGATTGCAGCATTTTTCTGTTGCTGCGTTTTATGTGTCTGTGTGTTTTTGGTTTTGCATCATTCCAGTGTTTGCAGCGTTGCAAAAAAACCTTGGTAGTACTCTTTTACCTGTCATCATATTGTATATATTCTCATTTCTCTATGCATTATTTACAGTCGGTGCAGCTTCAGAGGTACCAGCGGACTCCCTCCACCACCTCTGAAGAATCCATAAGATTCCACAGCTCTGGGTCTTTGGATCTGGATTCAAAAGAAGCAGCAGAACAGCCAAAAGAGGTACAGATAAAGTCCTCATAAGAAAATTATTCAAAAAAGGAAAAACAAATAAGTGTGTTTGTTGTTGTTTAGCAGGCTGCCTACTACAACTAAAAGAATTCCCCTTTTGTTGGATGTTTCTAGGTGGAGCTCTCATCCTCTGCCCCAACCAAAGAACCTTTCCTCCGCATTGGATCCAAGAGGATGGGCAAAAACTTTAACCCCTTCTCCTCCTCGTCCTCCTCTAAGCCTCAGGGAGCAGAGAAGGAGTCCCAGCTACCCACCAGACTACTTCAGCTGGCTAAATCCAAAGAGAAGAAAGACAAAAAGAAGAAGACCGGAAAGGGGGGGGAGCAGACACAGAAAGGTACAATGAACAAAGTTTATCCTGACATTAGCAGTTTACAGTTTATTCACCTGTAATTTATCTGTAGATTAGGGGAAGAATGTCTTTGCTTCTTAAAGTCTGTTTGACAACATGGATGCCATTGAAAATACTACGCAATGAAGAAATGGTAAATGGTAAATGGCCCTGCACTTATATAGCGCCTTTCTAGCCTTCCGACCACTCAAAGCGCCTTTACACTACATGCCACATTCGCCCTTTCACACTAAAGGTTAATTAGAGCTTCTTTTCCTTACTGCTGACTCTCATGTCTGTACAGTAAGTATGAAGCTACAACCAGGAGATCCTTAGCCTATCCTAGCATTTAGACTGGTAACGGGGGAACAGCTTGCCTGGCTCTGCCCAAAGGTAACAAAATCCTCCTACCGGCACCTCTAGCTCACTGACTAACAACTGTACAATATGTGTAAAACCAATAATTCACAGTTTAACAGTGTGCCAGAGTATTTATTGACTATTTATATTTATAATAACTTGTGTCTTAATGTCCCTTTAGATAGTACAGTGATGTTGGATCATCAGAATGATGGAGACATCTTCTTCTGCTGAGGACCTGCACTTGAAATTCTAACCAGACAACTGGACAGTGCAGCAAACAGGACCCACATTGTTCATTAACTCTATATTTGGGAATAAAATGTGTCTTTGCTGACAGTCTGGCCTCTGGACACTGTCTCTGCCTTCTTGTCAGACCATCATAGAGAGAATCCAGCTGGGTTCACAGGCTGACAGTCTGACTTTACCTGCTTGTGTCCCAGGTAAACAAAGGTAAAGACCTCTCAGAGACACCAGATGAAGTTATGTGGAGTGGATGATTCAGTCAGGAGGACTTTATTGACAAATGTGCTAAGAATGTTCTCTAAAACCTTTCATCATTTAGAGATGTGATTGAAAGCCAAGGAGGATCAAACAAGCAGTGTGAGGAACACAAGAGGAAAGCAGATTCTTGATTTCTTCCATCTCTCAATCAGAGATCATGTGTTAGACATGGTCTTTAAAGTCTTTAGATTGTAAACTGTAACAAACCTAAGCTTCTACATCGAACAATAGCGAGTGCCATTTTTGCGAATGCTAACTTTGAATGCTGTTGACTCCTCAGTTTTTTTATTGCCTTTTTTAAATTGATAGTGACAGCTGAAGGTAGACAGGAAAGGGGGCAGAGAGAGAGGGGATGACACGCAGCAAAGGGCCGCAGGTCGGATTTGAACCCTGGGCTACTGCAGCAATTTGGTACATGGTCGCCAGCTCTACCAGGTGAGCTAACCGGGCACCAACTCAATGAACTGTTAATCTAATGTGTGATTTCTGTGTCCCTACAATTTAAATCTGTTTTTTATCAGTCAAGCTGACAAATAAGACATAAGAGAGTAACAGATGCCACATGACATAGTGTTTGTAACAGTTAGAAACCCTTTAGGCTACTATTTCTTACTGTCAACATTTTCTGCTGAGGTCAGTGTGCACAACAAGGCTACAGACTTCCACACAAAATCTATCAATGACACATCAGCTAGCAGAGAAAATGGTTGAATCTATAGAAACAGGCATGTTTCATTGTCAATGGTCAGGACACAAGACGATAGTGAGAATGCTCAGCAAAGACTCAGTGGCCCTGTCCCCAAGTGCATGTTCAAATCAGATGTTTTCAATCCTAATGTTGTCAGTATGGACAATAGAACTCAGTATGAGCTAAAATCTTTAATTGTCATTTAATGTGACAGTCATGGCAGTGTAATTGTCACTGAAGCACAACAAGATCAGGAATACAAAAACTTCAACAACTTTAAAAATGCACTTTACATGAGAGAGTGATGTTGTATTTTACTGGTCTGTCATTTCCTAATAATTTAAACAAATTAATTTAATTCAATTAATAATAAATTTTCAGTGACTTGGTACTAATTACAGGGAGAATCCTTGAAATATAAGTAATTCTAATCAAATTAAAATTAATTGATTAATTAATTAGTGCAAAAGTGTACCAGTTGAAACTGTATCTGTTCACTATAATTCATATCAAATGACAGTTCCTTGTAGGAAAACTAGTAAATGACAAGAAAATGATGTGGAAGTGACAGAACCGTAGAATAAAGCATTACCCATGACAGCAGCAGTAGTTATGTTGTTGTGGGACTGGGTCAGAATTCAATATTATTGAATATAGACTTTACTAGATTTATATTGAGATGATATTGAGGTGTTATTGTTTTTACTAACTTCTGATCAGAACTAATGATTCCAAGCACATATAAATGAAACCTTCCATTTATGAGCAGTCAATAAAATTTTTTGAAATGAATCTGAATCAGAAACAAATTACCAAATTTAAAGAGAAATGTAAGCTGTTACAAACCCTATTAATTTATTACTTTTTTTGTATGTATTTAATGTGTTGAATCAGGATGTTTTTAATGCTTGACCTCTGTTATTTTTACAAAATAAAAAAATATATATTTTGAAATTCCTACAGATAAATGGTGGATCACATATAGTGTAATGCTATTTGTAAATGAAACACCTTAAGCTGTCTAAAAGATTAACTAATTAAGCACACAGTACAAATCTGTTCACCTTCTTGAAAAAGAAACCTTTTTATTTTTCAACACTACATTTCAAGCAAAAGGTACAAAGGTTTGGGGTTGTGATGTTTTCTTAGTGTAAAACACAGCAGTAGTGCCACCTGTTAGCAGCTAGTGCCATGCTGTGAAGAGGGAAATTAGTTTAAATACCAATTTAAAGTTTTTCCTGGGGATGGACCAGGAGAGGGGGGCAGAGAGAGGGGATGACACGCAGCAACGGGCTGCAGGTCGGATTCAAACACTAGGCCGCTGCAGCAAAGACTCAGCCTCGGCACATGGGACGCCAGCTCCACCAACTGGTTTTAAAGAGTTCGGTCTAGACCTACTCTATTTGAAAAGTGTTCTGAGATAACTTCTGTTATGAATTGGCGCTATGCAAATAAAATTGAATTGAATTGAACTGAGCTAACTGGGCACCCAGTATAAATACCAATTTACATTTATCATCTGCCCCCCCTTGATCGAGACAATCCCCCAAAATGATGTCCTTCAGTGGGTTTGACTAAAAAGACATTTCACTGCAGTTTTATTTAGTGGAAATAAAATGCAGGGACATTCTCAATTGTTTTACCCTTGTACAGTTAAATACACAATCTGAAGCTGTTGGATCCCTAAAACATAACAAGCTCAATCACAAACACAATGTTTGAACATATAGTTTATTGTTTTGAGGAGGAAATGAAACCTGAAATCTTAAGTTTTGCTGAGAACTGAGCATGCTTGGAGGCCTGGCTGTCATCTCCTCCACATTGTTCCCATTCAATCCGCACTGTTAACTAACACCATTAAGACATTTTACAAACTCACATCCAACCTTAAAGTTTTTGCACTGTGAGCTTTCTGACATGTTTGTACTGAAGACAGAAGGTAAAAAGTTGATTTTTTTTCCTCTCATTTTATGTACAAAGGGCAAAGCAACAAATTTTGTAAATATATTTTATGTACACATTTGAACTTTAGTATTGATTGATTGTGGATTTTGTTTAGTTGGTAAATTTTAAAAAAATAAATAAAGCTTTATTTATCGGTCTTGTTCCTATTTTGAAATTGTACAGTAATTTTTCTCTCTTCAATAAAAAAAGCTGTTTGTCATGTGTCATGTGTCATTGTGTGGTTCTTTTGATGGAGGGAGAACACAGGACGAATACACACAAATTAGTGCTGGCTAGCTAACTACATTGTCATCTTTAGTAAGTGCAACATACTTCAATGCCCTTGTAGAGGTGAGAAGAGGAGTATAAGTATTATGTAACTGGCCAGATGTAGCCAAGGAATTATTGCTGGAAACTAATGTGTTAGAAGCAGGAGAAATTGATATGGATGTGAGCAACTTTGACATGGGCCAAATTGTGATGGCTAGACGACTGGGTCAGAGCATCTCCAAAATTGCGGAAATGTTCCCGGTCTCCAGTACCTATTAAAAGCTGTCCAGGAAAGGTAAAACCGGTGAACCGGCAACAAGGTCACGGGCAGCCAAGGCTTATTGATGCACGTGTGGCAGGAAGGCTGACCCGTGTGGTCCGATCTAACAGACAAGCTACTGTAGCTCAAATTGCTAGTTCTGATAAAAAGGTTTCAGAACACACAGTGCATTGCAGTTTGTTGCATATGGGGCTACGTAACTGCAGACCAGTCAGGGTGCCCATGCTGACCCCTGTCCACTACCGAAAGTGCCTATAATGGGCATGTGAGCATCAGAACTGGACCACGGAGCGATGGAAGAAGGTGGCCTGGTCTGATGAATCACGTTCTCTTTTACATCTTGTGGATGATTGGGTGCATGTCCATCGTTTACCTAGGGAGCACATTGCACCAGGATGCACAAAAGGGAAGAAGGTAAGCCGGCGGAGGCAGTGCGATGCTTTGGGCAATGTTTGGCAGGGAAACCTTGAGTCCTGCGATTCATGTGGATGTTACAGAGAATGGAAGCCCAAATCTGTAGGAAAGGTCTCTGTTGATGAGTCTGACATTCATTCAAATGAAAAGGAGGTGATTCTCCCAGCTTTTAACCCACCCTTAAACACAAGTGCGTTTCTTTACACAATATTCAACAGCCACATGAAAACCTGCAAAGACTAAACCAGTAAAAGAGCTTGAGTCCTTTTATAAAGTCAAACCCAAAATTTTAATGCTGCTCCTTCAGCTTTTGGCTTCTATTCTCTTCCTGTGTTCCTTTCCAGTTTCATGGTCATCACAGAGCTGGTTGAACAGCAAGTTAAGTTGGTCCATCTTCTCCAATATTCTCCCATTTCTGATAGATGCCACCAGGGTGGAGGGTTTCTGAAGACCAGGCCTCAGTGATTACTATACAAAAGCACACAACCTTTATAACTTACTGTAGCAGGTCTTCCTGAAACCATGGGTTCCCCCAGAACACAACAGATCAATTATCCAACAAAAATTTATTCTTTTTTCAGATGCATACACTGTCAACACAAATACTCACCACAAAGACTAACTCCAGCAGTCCTCTCTGGTGTGTGTGTGTGTCACAGCCATCTCAGGTCCAGCACACGACTGCATTTAGAAAAGTAAGAGTGATTACTCGCTGAGCACCAGCTGAGACCATCAACTCACGTGGCACTGCTCTCACAATCCATCTCCACATCTCTCTCCCTCCTGCAGCTAAGTGTAAACCACACCCACGTCCACACTTATCTTCACTACTTTCCTGTGGGGCTGGTATCAGGAACCTTACTTGAGCTTCATCATGCTTTCTATTTCTTTCTTTCTTTCTTTCTTTCTTATCTGAGATAAACAGTAAAGCATGGTCAAGTTGCATAGATGTAGAAGTAAATTCAGTGTGGGGGTTGGGAAGTAGCCTTATCTTCACATAACATAACTACCTTAGTTTTTGTACACACACACACATACACACACACGAACCTCAGTATTTGGATGGAGCATTTATTTAAAAATGCATATTGTTTCTAATTTCAAAAGAGATGGTAGTTTGATATATTCCATAATGTGTATTACCACATTACCTGGCTACTCACAAGCCTAACTCTTGAAAAAGGGCATCATTATGTAATCATGTATGTTTGTACCACTACCAAAGACTGCCAGTGTAAAATCTGTAAATGCATTGATTGAGTTTTAACTGTATGCCTTAAGCGTGAAGTGTGCGTGGTGCCTTTCGTTCCAATCATTACCTTTGTTCAAAGTCATCCCTGTTGGCTATAATTTCTGATATTATTTCATTTCATCAAAGAAAATTAGCTAGATATTAATCTAAGTGACCTAAGATGAATATTTGTACATTAGTAAGATGCTTGTGAACTACTTAAATCTGTATGGTCGAGCATGCTTAGTTGATATTTCCTGGAAGTCTTACATCTGAAATCATTCATTTTCAAGCTTTTGTCCACAGTGGTGAGACTACCTTAAATTAAGACACTGCAATTAATCTGATTAAGTATTTATTACATTATACATTAACAGAAGACTTTTAAACTCACTGTAATTAATATTTTTTTGTGAAGAATTAATCTTCAATTCTCTTCAAAAAAGAGTTAGGCTAAGTGGTCCTGATCCACTAATAATTTTATCATTATTATTATGATTTCTATTCTGCTAACACAGTGAGAAAAGGGAAAAGTTGTATTACAAAAAAGGAGAGGTGGTCAGGACCAGTAATTTTAGTGCCCTTTGTGCCAGGGAGCAGCTGGTCCGTTGGTATGTGCCAGTAAGAAGCTGGTCATGATGACCACTGTGCCACTGGTCGCGACCAGTGTCTTTAGCGCACCTAGTGGTAGTGACCACTGGTCCGTGCCAGAGACCATGGTCCCTGGACAGACCACGGAATCGGCTACAATCTCTGCTGCATTTTAATTGTCAAAATACCACCTACTCTGAGTTGACGTGTTTCATTGGTTTTGGTGGTCCACGCGGGTTTGGTGTAATGGTGCTATCCATTTGCCTCGTAAATCCCCCGGCCAAGTTGGAAAGTGTTTGTCGGCCGCTAAAGGCTTATTGTAATTGCCAGCGCTAATGAAAACCCCGAGCACCACAATGATGAAAAGACAAGCCAGCCTCGGCGGATTTCACTTTAACCCTTGTACTATCTAATAAAAAATGCTTCAATAAAAGATAAAGACAAGAGAGGTTTGACGATATTAAACATAGATGTTTTCATATATAATGAAGTGTATAGTAATTGAATATACTATTGGTTTATTGACTCTATTTTCTTCCTTTTGACAGTGAGTTGGACCTCTTTCAAATCTGCCTCCAGAAAAATCTGAGGGCAGAGGCCACCAAAAGGCTTCAGGACTTTGAAATAAAAATGAGAAAAGCCCTCCAATCAGAAACATTTCTGAAAAAAGATTGTACATTTTTGTTGTTGTTGTTGTTGTTGCTAAATGCAAGTTCTTACTGTACCATTAAGGATAGATATTTAATAAAGATGAGCAGTTCTGGTCTCAAATAGTTTTATTTTTCTTCTGCAGAGGGATCAGTTCTTACACAGCATGTGGATTTTTGTGAGAAATGACATATCCAACTGAGTGAGTGAGGGTTTTATAGTATAGACCAAACAATTGGTTCTTTTGTTATTTATATTATCTTTTTTTTATATAGAAATGATATACATGGGCACGGAGGTCCTTTTGTGACTTTTTCCCCTATAAATCTGGATTTTCATGAGAAATTAGACTTACATTTTCTGATTGGTCAATGTCTTGTGGGTAAATTTATTTAACACAAAATTCCTTCATTTGATTCTCTGATGTGCAGTTCCCTTGATGATCCTCTGGATCTTTTAAAAAGTAGGCTAAACCTGATCTAATGAACACACTTTTTTGTTATTGGTTACATTTATGTAATAAAAGGAAAACGTGTAGGCTATAATATCCGTCTCTGTACATAAACTACAGGAACACAGGAAAGATTAAGATGTTGGAAGTAATGGTAGCCTAAAGACCACGTTGAAATTATTATTGTCAGTTTTACCAGAGAATGTGTTTTACTAAACGATTTATCATAATGGGAAGTAGTGTTTTTAATTTTAATTTGAAAAAACTTCCGGTATGCTACGTAATGCTACGTCACTTCCGTCATGCCAGGGGCTTGTGTCACGTCAGGGCTTCTGCTCCGGGCTGCAGCTGGATAGTATTGGAGTGTACAGTTGACGCTGTAGCCCATAGCCCGCCAGAAAAGAAGAAGAAGAAGAAGAAGAAGAAGAAGAAGAAGAAGAAGAAGAAGAAGAAGAAGAAGAAGAAGAAGGTTGACACTGAGGATTGGTTAGAAAGACGTCAGTCACGATTAAATCAAAAGCCATTGGTTGTTGGTCCCAGTGCAGTTTTAATGGTATGCTTAAACCAGAAATACAGGCAGACGGTCAGACGCAACGCCAGTCCAGGTTTTCTCACAGAAATATGTTTTTACCCACGAAGCCGATGCTCTACATTCTTTGGATTTAATTTACACCTACAAGTATTACGTTATAAATGTGAGTAAAATGCCTGTTGTTTGTATTTATTATGCGGGCAGTCAGCTACCTGCAGACACTGTTTAGCTATCTTAACTATATTGTCAGAGAAATTACCTGTTTTATCAGCTGAAGACTACTTCAGATCACCACATATACTATATTTAACGTTACTCCTCAAAGTTTTGTTTCGTGACTACTTACCACAGTTTGCGAATTTGTTTGCTGTAAGCTGTAAATGGAAGTGGTTCAGTATGGCCATCATCAACACAACATAGCAAAGCTAGGTCAGCCTCCTTTACTGTGTAACTGTGGGGCTAAATTTGTTTGTTATTTCCCAATTGAAAATATGGACATGGCTAACTATCTAAGGCACACTGTGGTACGTTTAACTATCGAAAACGTTGTTGGTTACATATTCAGTGTAATTCACTAACCACAACCAGACGCAGGTATTGCTGCTCGAATGCAATAAGAGCAAATTATTAATTGTTATTAGCTTGAAAGCTAACTAATGCTAGCTAATTTCTAATGGCCGGGAGATTGCTTACAGTCTGAATCAACTTGTGGGACTAAAACCTATTGGTTGTAACATTAAGGTTCCCTAATGTAAGCAGATGCAGGGCTGCCAACTTAACTTACTTATTTTCCAGGGAGATTTGGTATCGGTGAAGTCGGTGCATTTTATAGGGAGGCCTTATACCACCGTAACCCATTACCATTACCCACCGCAGTGGTCACTACTCCTGTCTTTTTTTTTTTTTTTTTTTAAGTTCAGCAGCCAAATTAACAATTAAAGCAATAATTAAGGTCAATGAATCAAGTTTACAAAGTTCTAGTGAATTTATTGAGTACTTGTGTTGCATAAATGGGGAGTCGGGAGGACAAAGGGGAAGGGGGGCATTGAAAATAGGACTCTTTGGTGAATTTGGAGAGGTTAGCAATAGCAAAGTAGGTCAGTCAGTAACATTGTATGAAAAGTAAATGAAGGCGTGGACAGCAAAAAAAGATACATTATTACAGAAATAAGGACATTATCCATTATTAGTATATTTTGTATCTCAGCATTCACATCATTTGACAAAATGTTTTTCTTGGCACCCAGATAGCTCACCTAGTAGAGCTGGCCCAATGTTCATGCTGCAGCAGTGGTTTGACTCCTACCTGTGCCCCTTTTGTTGCGTGTCTCTCCCTCTTTTCCTTCCACTCTTCAGCTGCCACTATCAATTATAGACAGAGATTAAGTCTGCAATGTAATCACTCACTACTGACAAAGCACCTGGGGTTGAATACTATGGATATTAAGTGAACTGGTCAGCATCCTGTTGCTCAAGCTCGTGTTCCATACGCAGTCCATAGGTGCGAGCAAGCAACATCCTGGGTATTCGCCAAACTGACAAACACAGACTGACACATTCATAGATAGAACGCTAGAAAATATATTCGGATCATATTTTGAAATGTTACTTGGCCAACCCCAATTTAACTTAGGCTAACATACTGTTAGTTTGATGCCCCTGCCACAAATGTTTGTAACAGAGATAGTTCATAAAGTTGCCTCTTTTTTTTTTCACAAACCGCGCGCCATTCCCAGCAAAAATGGACAGTGAAAATCGTTTGTTATATATAGTCATATCAACATATACACCTTTCACCATAGTTTCAATGTCTACATCTGTAGAATATGCCACATACATGGAACAAAAGTATATATATATTTTTTTTAAACTCAACACCCCATTTCAGATTAAAAGCTCTTTGGCATTTCTATAGGCCGAGTCCATTCATATGTTAACAAGGATTTTATTATATTGTATTTATCAAAGGCAAACTAAGTATAGAAAGATAGTCCTGGCAGCAGCAGCTCTGCAGCAGCTGATTCAATGTTTGTGTAAACACCTTACAGCACTGTAGCTGTTACATTCTGTTCAGGTGGGCAGTGTGAACCAGGGCTAGCAGAGGGGTAGTTACGCTACTTTAGTCAGCCGTGCGCAGAAAATCTCAGGTTGCCAAACAATAGTTATTGTATGTTGTGTTTTCTGCCAAAGAAAATAAATACAAAGTCCCTGTTAAAGTAACAGTGCTTTGGCGTCTTTCTGTAGCCTAACTTTTTACAGCAGTTCAATTTAACTTTATTTGTATAGTGCCAATTCATAACAGAAGTTATCTCAGGACACTTTAAAGAGAGAGAGATAGATAGATAGAGATAAATAAAGAGACAGCAGACTGTAAGAAGGTAACGCCTGCTAGTTAGAGCTTTGAGTCTGACTAAAGATAATAAAAACCAGATTGCTAACGGCTAACTAGCTAACCCTTCACACACCGATGACACAGCATCGGGATCGATTTGGGTTTCAGTATCTTGCTCAAGGATTCTTCGACATGCAGCCAGAGGAGCCAGGGATCGAACCACCAACCTTCCGATTAGTGGACGACCCGCTCTATCTCTGAGTCTCATTTGTTTTTCTGAGACCATCTGACTAATATTGGGTTGACTAAGACTCTTCTCAGCAACTAACGATTAAGTTAACTATTAGGGGGAAGCCCTAGAAATAGAAATAAAATGGAAAGTTCTGGTTTCTCTCTATACTTACTCTACACGCACTTACCTTTACCTCAGGCAATCTTCTGTTACAGTCTTACTTTTTGATATTATCAAAGGAAACCTGAATATGGTAATTACATATCCACGTCTTAAAATTAGATAAAGGAATTTTCACAAAAGTTTAATAATTTAGTTTTAAGACTTCCCCAGACATGACCACCTTTTCAATGCATTGTCTTATCACACTCCATAGCTCTCTTACTCAGTCACACACACACACACACACACACAAACAAACACTGAGTGACCCTGGGCAACAAATCTAGTGGTGCAGGTATGCTAGCTGTGGGTAAACAAGCTCAGGCCTGCTGACGACCAGCGTCTCTACAAGGCAGTCTATTCAACTGCTCTGTTAATATTCCACTGGTGAGCTGTGCAACTGCAAGACAGTAGTATAGTGATACACGGGATAGTCTGTGTGTCTGCATATGCGCTTGTAGAGGGAAGGTAATGTCGTCTTTTCTGTATTTGCTTGTATCTGAAACAGCTTTATTTATGAGGAGGTGATCTATAATATAACAATACATAATATTGTCTTATTCTTGTCCGAAACCGAAAATGAGGAAACCAAGGCCGAAAACCGAAACACCGAAATAAATTGTTATGCCAATTATTAGTACCATTGCATTTATGGCTATGACTGTGTACTAACCTCACTTAAGTCAAGGCATTGCAATTCAAAGAATAAATCAATTACAAAAGTATGAAAATATTTATTTAGCACTGACATTATAACAATGCACAATATAAAATAAAATTCAAAATAAAATGTTTAACTTGACCCCACTCAGGTGTACATTAAATAAATAATAATGTGCAGGCCTATAACTGACTGGCCTACTGAAAGATTGTAAAATTAAATATGCATTTAAGTCAAGTGCATTTTAAAATTTTCTCTGTAGGACTACTACAACAAAGTGCATTCAGAACAAGACTGCAACTGCTGGAAGAAATAACAATATTTTCTCTGTAGGCCTACAACATAACAGTGTATCAGAACAAAGATTGCCATAGCCCATATGTTAACCGTAGGCCTTTAACAACAACAAATGCACCAAGAATTGCAGATGTGCAAAGTGGAAAACAAATATTTAAACACTAGACACAAGCCCATTCTACTTCTTCAGGTAAAGTGGCAGGTTTTTCTTGATGAAGAGTAGCTTCTCTGCTTTATCACAGTGAAGTCTGTTCCTCTTCTCATCGAGAATATGAGCTGCAGCACTGAACAGTCTCTCGCTGTCAGGGCTTGTGCACGGAGCAGACAAGTACTTGCGTGCCATCTTTGCCAGGTCAGGAAAGCGGCCTTTGTTATTTCTCCAGTAGGCAAGAGGGTTATCACTTCTGGGGATGGGGACTTCAGACAGATAACCATCTAACTGTTGAGTGGTTGAGCTTGTCCTCTGCCTGACATTTGATAAAGATAAATAGGCCCAGTGCATAAATAAACATTTTTGTCAAATAAAATAAAAAATGTCTAGCAGAAAAATAAAATCATCTGATAGTCACATATATAGTAAGTCAGAGCAGAATAGCCTACCTATTATTATTTTGTGCACTCTCTTGCAGGATCTCATTGAACATATTGGACAACGAGGGTGCATGCCCCTCATCCGGTGCAGAGAGACGAGTCCTTTTTTCTGCGCTCTGGTCTCTTTCTCCTGTGCTTGTGCGCTTCTCCGTCTCCAAGCGGGTTCTCCGCATCCATCGCGGCCTGGATCATTTCTCGTGCGCGCTGCTTTAATCCCACATCCAAGTAATGATCTTTATAACGCGGATCAAGTACAGTCCCGATGAAGTGCAGAGGATCCGAATAGATCTCAGTGAAACGTGTGCTGACAGACTGTACTTTTCATTGTTTTCACTCTGTGGTCCGTCTCAACCTCTTTGCTTAGAAGACGCTTTAGTGCTGCAATTAAAGGAATAACGTCTGCTACAGATGCATCAGAGGAGCTGATCTCTTTAGTTAGCTGCTCAAAGGGGGCAAGAAGAGAGAGAATGTTCTATTAAGACCCACTGGTGTGAAGTGAATGTCACGGGGAGCTTGTGATCTGTGCTGTATGCAGCCAAGACTCACTTTTGTGCAAAGACGCTTTCCAGCATGTAATAAGTGCTGTTCCACCGTGTACTCACGTCTTGTTGGAACCGTTTTATTGGTGTTCCAAACTGATCTTGCGTAGACTGTAAGTGGGAATAGGCCAGCTGAGAATGTTTAAAGTGGCCAACAATTCTTCTGCCTATAGCCAATACGTCTTTTACGCTGCGTTGAGACAACACTTCCTCGTTCACAGCCAGATGTGGTGTGTGGGCCATGCACCGTATTCCTTTCAGCTGGCTTTCTTCTATCGCTTTTGCCATTTTTCTTGCATTTTCACTGACTATGGCATGCACTTTAGATGGGTCGATATGCCAGGTGTCGAACATATTGGCGAATGCATCATCTCTCAGCCTACGAAATCCCACATCCAGGCAATAAATTCCATAATTTTTTGTGTAATGCCCTTTGCCTTGGCACCATCACTGGAAAACTTTCTTGCCTTTTCAAAAACGTCCGCCACAGACGGAGTGGGCGTGCTTGGATTGATTTTCCTTTTATGTGCCACATTCTTCTCATATTCAGAATGCAGGGCTCCAGACTAACTTTTTGCATTGGTTGCACTGGTGCGCCTAACTTTTTTTTTTTTTTTTTTAAGGTGCACCAGCACAAAATTTAGGTGCACCCAAATTTTTCATTGCGTCGCCTTTAACGCCATAAGGTCACCTTTTTATCGCTCTTCATAACTTTCATATAATGTGAATGATTTTTAAACAAGGATAAGGTATAGAGAAATACTTGTCTTTATTTGAAGCACAAATATATATATATATATATATATATAATATAAAGAAAATAAAGTGTTTAAAGTGCTTCACTGAGCTGAAATTGAACATTTCAAACTAAAACACTATGCAAAATAAAACATTTGCACTAACTAACTAACACGAATGCACTATTTCCGGCCATATTCTGACCACACAGTGCATTGCGTTATGTCCTTTGTTGTACCTCAGCCAGGGAAATTGTTTCAGCCAGTCCTGTCTGCAGGAATACAGTGGGTACGGAAAGTATTCAGACCCCTTAAAATGTTTCACTCTTTGTTTCATTGCAGCCATTTGCTAAAATCAAAAGTTCATTTTATTTCTCAATAATGTACACTCAGCACCCCATCTTGACAGAAAAAAACAGAAATGTAAAGTTGTTGAGTCCTTTGTCTTACAGCTGTAGGAGTTTGGTTGGTTTACCCTCACTTGGATACTCAAAATTACTATTTGCAAATGGCTTCAAAACTGTATCATTTGAGGGCATCCTGGTGGGTCACCTGGTAGAGCTGAGCCCTTGCTGCAGCAGCCATGAGTTTGAATTTGACCTGTGGCCCTTTGCTAGGAGAAGGAATGGTCTAACAGGATAACCCTTCACTTCCAGGCCAAGTTGAACAGGCGTTGCTCTGTCAAATCTTATGCAATCAACAACATGGTGTGTGCCAGCCTACAGTTAATTGTATGAATGTGTATGCAAGTGCATGCTTATCATCTTTTGTTAAGGGTTCTTGTTGAGCCTGCATTGTGATCTGTAAAACAGACTCTAAACACTGAACACACCATGACTGATCTGTTGTGACTCTGCTCTAAAACTGCACATCAGCAAATGTAGATGGATGCACTCATTCACACACAAATAAAAACAATGTTGAGGCTGCTGAAACAGCCTTTTATCTGTGGTATGGTGTAGTGTTGATGGCTGCATTTATTCATCTAGAGCCAGACTTTCAGTTCTGAGTTAATGTGGAAACATGGCAGTTCAACATGGCGGCCTCCACGACCTGTCCTCTTTAGATAAAAACAGCTCCCAGGGGACAATGGAAGCAATATCCTGGAAAGGGGGGCATTGAGGTGCTCCTGCGGGGCATTTTGTTTTCATCAAAAATTCACAACAAGACAAGTTGAAATGTTCAACTACTTGAAAATGAATGGGGTCTGTAACATTGAGGGCTCTATCTCAAGCAATTGACTTTGTACACTGGCGCTTGTATAATTCCTATTTTGCACTCAACGCACATTGGAATTTTCCCTCCACCGACGCACGTCCTTAGGGAATGAACTTGCGCTCCGGGGGGGCGGTTCAGCGAAAAGAGGAGGCGTGTTCCGGCACAGACTTTCCCTGATGCTATTTTGCTGTTTCAGAAAACAATTCCACCACAGACCAAGAAAAACCTTGTCTAAAGTCAGTGGCGCTTATTCAGATGCTATTTTAAGGGTGCAGACTTGAGGGGATGCCCCTGAGAGGCAGCAGCAACATCGCCACCCGGTCAAGACGGGCATTAATACTTTGCCGCATCCCGGACAGCTCCTGCTCTAGCATGTCAAACCCGGTTTGCTGCAGGAAGGGGTGGTCCTCCGGCGTGTAGTGGGTCTGGATCCTCTGCACCTTGGTGTTTGCGCTGCTCCCTCCTCAGCTGGCCCGTGCGCACTGCTCCCGAGGCCAGGGTCTTCTTCCTGCGAAGCTACATTACATTGTTTTGATTTATTGTATGGCTGTGTTACATTTATTTCATGTCAATAATGTCACTTCTCGTTTTTTTACGGCCCTGACGAGAATGTCGGTCTCCTTGGCTATGAACCGCTCCTGGCGTGCGCCCGGCAAATCTGCCGTTATAATAGCAGTCCGCCATGGAACAAGCGCGCCTGCTTTTAAAGGGAATGTGAGATGACACTCTGATTGGTTTATTGCACGTTACGCCTAAACCACACCTATGACTAATGTAGCTACTTCAGACCAACCCATTTTAGATTTGCGCCGGGCACAAGAGTCATTTATCCCGCCTGCATAATAGCAACAGCACCCGAGATCCGCCCACAAAGCTACTTGCGTTTTGTGTTTGATACTTGCGTTTCAGATCGGCAAGTTAGGGCCCTAAAACTTGGTAGTTTACACCACTGTGACTAGACAAGACAGTGTATGGTTTCTATAGCAGCATCTCTTCAGTGTTTCTTTCAGTTTTATGTAGCTCACCTCCATGCTGCCGTCATAGGATCAGGATGGTAAATGGTAAATATACCTGTACTTGTATAGTGCTTTCTAGTCTTCCGACCAATCGGCGCTTTTACACTATGTGCCACATTCACCCTTTCAAACACATTCACACAGCGATGGCAAAGCCCATCGAACAGAAACTAATGCATTCACACACATTCACGGCATCGCAATTCGGGGTTCAGTATCTTGCTCAAGGATACTTCGACTGATTGAACCAACAACCTTCCGATTAGGGGACGACCCGCTCTGCCTCTGCACCACAATGAGATAGATTTTATAGATGTCACCATATCATCTATAAAATTTAATTTCAACATGGCCTTTACTTTACTGTCTGCTCGAGAAAATTTATGCTCTCTTTCTCTGTATTATCCATTAAGGAGAATTTTCCTCTCAAAAGCATTCATATCTGCTTTCAGGGAAAATACCTGGCTGATTATTCTTAGTTCCCTTATAACATATCTCTAGTAGTTGAGCAGGAATTCACTACACGTGCAGCCTTTTTTTTCTGTTGGAACAATTAATAATATTGTTAATTAGTTTGATGTTAAATTAAAATGTTTATGTCAAATTACTAATGGTTTCTGATTGGCTGCTGTTTGTGATTCCCAATTAAAGGCTGGATGTCAAATTTCTAACCTATGTGTTTTTATAACACTCAAATATAATTTCTATTCACATGGATTTTTTTTCTCCCAGAGACATTAATGATATTGCAACTTTTAGTTAAATAAAAAGTGTTATTTGGCATTTATTATGATGATGATCATCATAATAATCAACATTCATATTAATTGGAAACAATTAGCATTATTTTGTTTGATGGGGGGCTATTAGAGACTAAGATAATAGATTGGGGATGCTGGCCCCAAAAAAGAGAACCACTGTTATTTTCACCAATTAATATTATATTCTGTTTCTGCAAAAAGATCCTCCTACATTTTATACACTGGACCTTTTTAAGTGATAACTTTGATAAAGATTACGATAGAGATAATACCAAATACCACAACTGTTCAGCCAGGTGAACCAAGACAGTAACATTTCCAACAAAACTGCTGATCTACTACTAAAATGAGTCTTGTCAGAAGAATGAAAGTGCTGTGGTGAAACATATGAATATATTATTGAAGGAATCTGATAGCAACACTGAAAAGGGGCGAGGCTTTCAAACCAGTATTTGGACTTTAGCACTGTGGGTTGTAATGAACAATGCAACCTGATATTAATTATTGGTATTAATTAACAGGTCTGAAATGAAGCCATATTTAGGGAAAGACCACTTTTGCTTTTGATAAATACAAATTTAATTGGGCATCACAGACAAAACGGAGGACACCAAGGCCAACAGTATTAGGGTTGCACAATTTATCAAAATATTACCAAAAAGTGCCATATCCAAATCGCATTTTTTTTGGAACAGTAAAATGTGTTAAGAAACAGCATTATAATAAGTACTGTAGTTCTACAGAGATGCCCTGGCCTACATATCTGGTTCTCCAGTTGTAAGAAAATCAAAGAATCAGGGTGGCTATGGCTCAGGAGGTAGAGTGGGTCGTCCAGTTATCATAAGTTTGGTGGTTAATTCTGGTTATGATAGAAAGGTGTCAGGACACAGTGCATTGCAGTTTTCTGCGTATGGGGTGGCATAACATTATGACCACCAGGGTGCCCAGGTGGTCATAATGTTATGGCTGATGTAAGATATAATTGCTGCTGATGTACATTGTGACTTCCTTTTACTGTCTTTGTGTTTGAGAGATTGTTTCAAGTGACTTCCTGGAGGTGCAAAACATAGCCGCCATGTCGGTGACTGTTCATGAGAATCGCAAATCCCGCACCAGCACAGGCTCCATGAACATCTCATTGTTCCATAAGCCTTCACATCCTGACAGTGTCCTGACCCAACTGAACACAATGAGGAAACACTGCATGTTCACTGATGTCACTCTGTGGGCTGGGGACCGCTCCTTTCCATGCCATAGGTAAACACATGCTAACATTTGTGCATTTTAATGGTATCTTTCTCTGGACTTATGAGCTCAACATTTTTGGTCTCTGACAAAAGAATGTTTTTGTGTCTCGCAGGGCTGTCTTGGCAGCGTGCAGTCGTTATTTTGAGGCAATGTTCAGCGGAGGGCTACGAGAAAGTCTGGACAGTGACGTCAATTTCAGAGACAGTATTCACCCAGAGGTACTGCCATTGTTACTAGAGACAGTATGCCTAATTTATCCTATTGCTATAAGCTTCTGTGTGCTTCACAATAATGTTCGGTATTAGTTATGTTTAATTGCATCAGAAAGCTCTTTGAATAAATGCAGTCAAGAGAGTTGTTTTGTTATGTCATCCACTAATCAGAAAGTTGGCTGATCGATCCCTGGCTTCTTCTACTGCATGTCAAAGTTTCCTTGAGCAAGATACTGAACCTTAAATTGCTCCCAATTTGGAGCCATAAGTGTATGAATGTGTGTGAATGGGTGGCATTTGATCGGGGATCGATCCAACAACCTTTTGATTAGAGGACGAATCAGAAATCCCTAAGGCCCAGGAAATGTGCTTATAACTGGAGATCTGAATAGACTTAGTAACCCTTCTGGCACTGCAGAGTGGCAGCTGGACACAACAGCTCCCGCTCCCCCCTTTCTATTTTTTGCATTGTGTGTGAAAAGGCAAAACACAGACGAATGGTCTGATCAAGAATGCAAGACCAGAAATGCCTTAGGTATTAGGTGTAATGAAACATTAAACAAATACAAACATACAATTATGATCAAAAAACAATATTATCACAGTTGATATTGAGACCAATCAAAATCCATGTCTAGGTCCCTAAAAAAGCATGGTGTACAGGGTAAAACATACAATATAATTTAATCAATGTATTCTGGTAATATGTGCAGCGTAAAAATTATGATAATGCAAGTTTTCTTTCTGAAAAACCAGCAAACTTAAATTAGTAAAGAAAATTGTGGAAAAAACTAGTTACCTAACAAGCTAACTGGTAAGAGCACTAACTGCCATGGAATGTCAGACCTAAACCAGGAGAAAGCAGCAAAGGAAGAACAAAAGAAACAAAAATCGTAAGTAAAGGAAATAAAGTAGAACAAAGAAGCAAAAACAAGAAGAGGGCTTAACTATAGAACATTTTCAGAAAAACGGGACATCTAGTACATTCATTTAAAAAAATAAACCATAGCTGAACAAGCTTGGCTTTAAAGAATGTGAACACATCTGTGATCTTCTTCAACTGGAATATGGACCAAAAACATTACCTCAGAATGTGTAGAACTAAACAGGGTCAACATCGCCCATCACCCTACTCTGACATTTTGAGCCCCTGTATGACCATGGTCCATCTACCCCGTGACGACATGGATGTTTGCTGAGGAAATGAGAATGACAACAGCCAACAAAGAGCCTCCAATCCCACACGCCACCACAGGGCTCAGAGGTAGAGTGGCACCGGCTCCTCTCACTGCATGTTGAAGCGTCCTTGAGCAAGAACCCTGAAGCGCACCCTGAAGAGCACCCTGAAGAGGTTGCTGTGCACACAGTGTGTGAATGTGTATGAATGTGTTAGTTTCCGTTCTGGTAGCTAGCAGTTGGCACCTTGCATGGCAACCACTGCCATCAGTGTATAAATGTGTGTGTGAATGGGGTGAGTGTGGCATGTAGTATACAGGGTATTCCTGCCTCAAGAACATATCTGGAGAAGCATACCATGCAGAAGCACAGTCTGACATGGTTCACTCCATGCCACCCCATGAGATGCATCCTACATATGCCTACATAAGCCAACTATTCAGACAGAGAGGTGAAACAACTGTTGGAACACTTTTTTTAAGATTCTTTGTTTAGTTCTGGATTTTATCTGACTTTATTCTGTATTGAATCATTGTAGAACTGCATTTAAATTTTCATGTACAAATAAAACAGTATATTTAATAAAACATATATATTAAAGGCATACTATGCAGTTTTCCGGTTTTGTCAAACAGTTACCCCTAGAGTCGCTGCTGAGTACTTGTATTTAGCGTTAACTGTCGTAAATACCACTCACAAGAGCCGTCTCTATATACGGCTCTGCCTCTCTATATACGGCTCTGCGTCTCTATATACAGCTCTGGGTCTCTATATACAGCTCTGCGTCTCTGCACTCGAAACTAGGTATGAATTCCTGGGTTCCATAACTCGGTAAGATATAATTGACTCTTAAAAATCACAATTTCAAGTAAAGGTACAGTCGAGAGTTCACTGTTAGCCAGCTAAAGTTTGCATAAGCACAGTTCACAATCCATACGAAATAGGTCCAGACAAAGGACTACGTGCTTTCTTCGCCAAATCTGCCATGATTCACATCTGAGTGAATGCCTGCTAGTGTTTTCAATTGATGTTGTATTGTGATTATGTTGCTGATGTATGTCACGTCGTGCCGTAAAGCAATTTGTGATTCTCGCGAGATTTGGCGGCATGCCAATTTCAGACTTGCATTGCTGGTTCTGCCAACATTGTCCCTCCCCAGCTTTGCTATGGGGATGATTCGCTACACTACGAGTTCGTTTACCATGGAAATGACTTCGAAGCTGTTATATTAAGGTACAAATCTTGCATAGTGTGCCTTTAATATATGAATTCAATCTCTATCAGTTAGTTCATGGAACATCCAGGGTCTGTACTCTGTATCTTTGGACTACAAATACTATCGGGAGTGCAGCATATTATGTCTGACGGAGACATGGCTGAATGACATTACGCCAGACTGTTCAGTGGAACTAGCCAGCTCTTCACTAGTTTGGGCAGACAGGAAGAAACAAGAGTGGTAAAAAGTCTGGATTCATTCATACACTCACACACCGATGCACAGCATCGGGAGCAATTTGGGGTTCAGTATCTTGCTCAAGGATACTTCGACATGTGGCACCAGGAGCCGGGGATCGAACCCACAACTTTCCGATTAAGGAACGACCCGCTCTTCCTCTGAGCCACAGCCTGTAACCCTGGACATGTTGTCAAGAAGGCAGAAATCTGCACACCTGATATTGGACTTCTGGCCATAGGGTTAAGGCCATACTATGTGCCCCGTGAGTTTACGGCCACTATTGTCGTCACTGTTTACATTCCTTCATCGGCAGTAGTGGCGCACGCCTGTGACGTCATCCACTCCACCCTTGCAGACCTGCAGACACGTCATCCCAGGGAAGCTGAAAGCCATCATGGACAACACCTGTCATCCTCTTCATGCTGAGCTGAGGCAGCTCAGGAGCATCTTCAGCTACAGACTGACCCAGCCCCGAGCCTCAAAGCGGTTTGGAGGCTCATTTGTACCATCTGCCATCAGACTCCACAACGCCACAGCTCCCAGTTCCTCCAACCCCAGCAGATAAAGACTGGTTTAGAACTCCTACCTACAACGCACAAACCTTTTGCACTATTTATATTTCATTTTCCACTTTAGTAGTTTGGTAGTTTTAGTTTAGTTTTAGTTTTTTAGTTTTAGTCAAGTTTAATTTTCTGCTCATATTTTGGACTCCATTTCCTACTTGAACAACAAATAATGTATATACTTTAATTTATAGTTTTTAAATCTCCTAATATTAATAATATTCGCAATATTTTTACTGTGATATTTATTCTATTTCTATTGTATTCTTTGTTTTCTGTTTTTGCGTTGCTTTGCCCTATTGCTGCTGTGTCAAAATTAATTTCTCCTTAGGGGGATAAATAAAGGAATTATCTTATTATCGTATCTTATCCAATTGGTGTAGGGGGTAAACGTAATTAAGTCAATGTATGTCAGTAATAAATGTGAAGTAAAAATTGGCAACCAAACTACAGATCTCTTAACTCAAGGGAAAGGCATCAGGGCAACAGCTTGTCTCTAGCTCTATTTAACATCTACAATAATGATCCTCTAGTACTGTTGGAGTAATCTGGAACCCCTGGCCTAACCCTTCAGAGTAAGGAAGTTGCACTGCAGCCCCATACGCAACTGTGATGCACTGTGTGTTCTGACACTTTTCTATCAGAGCCAGCATGAACTTTTTCCGCAATGAGCCTGTTGCCGGTTCACAGGTTTTTCTTCCTTGGACGACTTTTGATAGGTACTGACCACTGCAGACCGGGAACACCCCACAGGAGCTGCAGTTTTGGAAATGCTCTGACCCAGTTATCAAGCCATCACAGTTTTATATAATCCTAACACTGCCCATTTTTCCTGCTTCTAACACACCAATGTTGTGAAAATTTGAATTGGTGAAATCTAAAACAGAGACTTCAGAAGCAAATTGTCTTTGGTGTAGTTTATTCTTTGCAAAGAAGGTCAGTCATACAAGCAGTCTGCAGGAGTGTGACAAATGGCAGGATGGAATAGAACTTTTTTATAGTACTGTATAAACTGCTTGTGGTTAACACTTCCTTGGTCCGAAACCAGTTCTAATACTAGACATAGACAGCACGTGAACCCATACAGGCAACTTCGAAGGGTTACACAAACGTCAGGCTAAGAAAACAAGTGTATCATGCAAAGGTCAGACTAACACATTTTACATTACATTAACTTGAGGAAAAAATTTTTGGTTGTATTACTTTATTAAAGTAATACAATTTTGTTTAACATGCTGCCTGATATATCCCATCCATGGACAGGTGCAGATAATCAGTGTTTTTCACTTCACCTGTCAGTGGTCATAATGTTATGGCTGATCGGTGTATATTGCTGCTCTGTGCTAATGCTAGTGTTGCTGTCACCCGCACAACAAGGTCTACAGCAACACCTGGACCCCCTGGAGCAGTCAGAACTGAGCCCTGAGCTATCCAACCACTAATCAAAATAAACCAAACACTTTACTGTCAGAGATACAGGGCAGAGACAAATCCTGACCAAATACAGACGACATTATTATTATTATTATTATTATTACAGAAAACGCATACGGCAAAACAATAACCATCATATACTGTACAATACTATAGCGACGGGGGCTCCCTCCCATGAAACATTCATTGTTTTAGCCCAGTACTGTACTTGACTAACATCACCGGCTTACCTGCAAAATGCAAAAATATCACTTTAGTGTTTTATGTTTCCATCGTGAACACAGACAACAATTCCTTTTCTGACATGCTCACGTGAGCTTTCCCTGTGACACTCTTCTCATACACTTTATACCCTAAATTCTGACTAATATGAATACTTTGTTCCCCCATAAACGCATATAACACATATGGAAAACTCTTTAACTTATATTCTATCCAAGACGTTATTCTATTCAATAATTTACGTATGACCTATTGTGCCACACTCAATTTTAAATGTCTCAGACATTTAGTTACCAAGGATTGTTTCCACTTCACACATGAACTTTTCTTACTGACTTCACATGGTATTAAATGGCACTTAAATGTTCATAACATTCATTACTTTTTAAATTCACTATGTCGTATCGTAGTGTACATTCCAGTTAGTAATTTACCATACATTTTCAGTTGGAGTAAACAAATCTGTCCAGATCAACACAGCGTGTAACAAAGCTCAAGTTTCAGCCTCAGTTCTTTTTCAGCCTCTTTGGTTTACAGTCTAATGAGTCCGGTATGGTCTCACTGGATCAACTCTCTTCATATATTTATGTTATTTATGATCCCAGAGTCGCCACAGTCTTTGCCAGGCTGGAAATATACTCACTTATAGGAGTTCAGCACCAACCTCCACCACAGTTGACTCACCCTAAGCCCCTTAGGTCGGCATCCTCAGTCATCGTCTCTCTCTTTGTAGGTAGCTGGTTGCAGACGATGGTTTCCTCTGATGACTCTTGTAGGTTTTCCCCAGGCTCAGCAGCATTATCCTCTGGTGTGATATCCATGCTGTCTGTCTCCATCTCCTCTAGTTCCGGTTCTCCCTTTTTCCTCCCCTTCTCTGGTATGAATGGTTATGCATCTGGGTTCATACCAAAAGCTCTCGTCTTGTTCTAGTCTGAACATACTTTACTGGTTGCATAGGCCTGGGCAAAACAAGTGTAATGGCCCATTATGACTAGAATGTACTCAAATCAGGCCTCTTAATGCAAAAAGTCTATAGAGACTAGCTCAAATGGATGTGTAGTCACGATGGATATCAGAGGGGCTCTAGTTGGTTTATGTGGGCGCTTTGCCTTCAGACACTCACACACTTGAGTAAGAAAATGTTCAGTGCGTATGGGCCCAATAAAATCTGTCCCGTATCAAGTTTAGAGTACTCCTGACTCCCAGGTTTCGCATTTATTTGTGTAACTCTTGAAACACTGTCTAAGGATGTTCTTTAGGTAAGACAAGCTGCCGTTTATCTCCTGCTTTTCTGCAGAGGACCCCATTATCATTTATACAGTTATATAGTTTTTGAGTTAAGCGTGTTTCTGGAGGGGTGCTTGTTGTTTCTCTTGTACTGCAGGACTCGACCAATGACAGGTTTCTCTCTCTTGGCTTTCTCTGGCATCTGCTCTGATGTTAATGGTTTGGCCAAAGTAGGTGAGCATGTGTCACTCACTAATGCAGTGCATTTTGGTGGGCGGTCATTACTCAGGCTGGTGGAGTGTCTCTCTGTATTATAACTCCCTGAACAGATGCACTGATGCCCTGGTTAATTTCCTCTGTACACTGTTCCATGATGTTCATTTATGTCAAGTGGCATTTGGGAGAGACCATCTGCATCAGCATTGTGCTTACCAGATTGGTACTTTATGGAAAAGTTGAAGTCTGCCAGTTGAGCGACCCACCTATGACCTGTGGCATTGAGCTTAGGTGTCCAAGAAATTATTCTGTTCAATAATCTACATATGACTTACTGGGCCACAGGTACATTTTTGTGAGAAGTGACCTACAGTCTACAGAGCCCAGTAAAGAACAAATTATTTGTTGTCAGGAGCTAAAGAAGTAATGTGTTAGCATGTGCATGTAGCATAGTATATAACGTAAACAGTTACAGTAATTACCAGGATGTGGGAATAGAAAGTACGATATGAAACAATGTTAAACTTTAATCAAGCAATTACATATAGTGAAGAAAAACCTATCAAAACATACCAAAGTAGTCACAGTAATAGTATGATTACTGTTGCCTCCAATCTGTTCTTCACTTCGTACACATTAGTTTTGAGAGACCAGGGAAACTTACCATAATGCCTTGAATACTTAATCCTGTATAAGATGTCAACATAAGTGAGGGAATTACTGATCTAATAGTAAAGTGCTTATTTAGTTGAAAATCAAATCAGTAACCAACTGTGGACTGTACTGTATTATATAATTATTGCCAAATTCATGTTTCAAAATGTTTGTCAAAGCTATAGAATATTAGTTTGAACCCATTTCAAAAGACTATATATTAAATATTGTTTATTTTATATTCTATCTATCTACATCATAATAAAGTTTGACTGTGAAACAGAAATGTGTTGTATTGCTTACATTTATTATTTACTACAGGATTACTAGCAAAACTTATACACAAATATGGACTAGGTTTTCAGCAGGAATTCATAAAACATCTGTGAAAGAACAGGTTATTTATCTAATACCACACTTACTACAACATTTTGCATCATCCGATCATGGTAAAGGGTTTCTTGTATACTGAAGTGTCAGATGGCAATGGAGACTTTCCTGATCCTGCAGGATGCTGTGTTGTCTTTAGGCTGTCACTTGACTGAGGCATGACAAGCAGTAACTTGCTCCTCTGATGGGTCCAGAAACACTTTAGCTTCATCCGGTCATTCAGATGATCTGTAAAACATGGCAGATTTAATGTTACTTGGCTCATTGGATCTCAGGTCGTCTGATCATTGGCAGCCCTAAAAGAAAAGGACTCGTTGATTTATTTCACGGTTTCTGGGTTGGTAAAAAAAAAAAAAAGGTAATTTGCCATAGTGTCCCCTTTAAATTCTTTTGCATCTGTATTCATGATAAGCTAAAATCAGCTGATAATATCAGTCATGCTCTAGCAAGTACCACTACAGATAGATAGTAGATCACCATGTTTTTATGTGAAAAGACTACAGTGTGGCTATGTGTGGTGGTCTTATCAACTATGTTGTTTGAGGCACGTAAAAGCCTTAGAATTATCATTGTGTCATACAGGTATACCTACTATTATGTCAGTGGTTAACTCTAATTCCCTACTCTTCCAGGTCTTAGAGCTTCTGCTGGACTTTGCCTATTCTTCTCGTATCATCATAAATGAGGAGAATGCTGAGTCATTATTAGAGGCGGGTGACATGTTGCAGTTTCATGACATCCGGGATGCAGCAGCAGAGTTTTTAGAAAAAAACCTGCACTCCTCCAACTGCCTGGGGATGATGTTGTTATCAGACGCTCATCAGTGTAAAAAACTGTACGAGCTGTCCTGGAGGATGTGTCTGTTACACTATGAGACGGTAAAGATGACTTTATAGAATTATAGATTGTTTTATGGCTTCTTGCACTATATCATATCATGGTGTCCATTCATTGTACTTACCGTCCTAAGGGACTGTTTATTATTTATCAAATAAATGACCCTCTCCACAGCTACGCATATTTTTCCTCAAGCCTCCCTGAGTGACATGGGGAAAATACATGACCCTCCATCCACCATAAATAACCATATTTTAATATATTTACACCAAATGTAGGTTTATTGGAGAAAATAAAAAGCAAAGGCTGACCTTTCAACCATTAGACATACCGAACCAGACATAACCCCCTTTCCCCCTCTATATGTATCAAAATTCAATTCACTTTTAATTTTATTTGTATAGCGCCAATTCATAACAAAAGTTGTAGTATCAAGGGCAGAGAGAGAGAAGGGCAGAGACAAAGGTGCACAACAACAACAATCAACCTCTGACATACCTGTTTTCAAGTTTTATAATGTCCTTAATACCACAAAAATTCACTGGCAGAAAAAGATAACAGATTAAGAATGAAACTACTTCAGTGGGGATGGAGATTTTTGCATCTATCAGCCATCAGAAGCACTTCACACAGATTCATTTCAGCTTTTACCATATCTGGATGATGACACTGAAAACAAAGAGTGTGTAGTGGATATAAAAGCATGAGGGGGATTGTTTTTTGTTTTTTTTACCATTTTGAAATCTCCATCTTTTAGTAGTTTGATTTTATTGATTTGGCTATTGACAGAGCTTTCTCTTAGTAAAATTACGTGTAATAGTCTTAAATTAATTGGGTCTGTGATATATATATTTTTGAAGATGACATCATAGAGCATAAGCAAAAAGGGCGGAATAAAACTCTAATTCTCAACTGTTTTACAGTGTATCAAGTTCTTGTTTCCTTTAAACATTTATAGACCATGTGGGAACCCAAAAACATACAGGAGAGAACAAGTAATCAACTTGACTCTGTATTGTCATTTTATGCTCAGTTCCTAGACAACTAAATTAAAGTTTGCAAGAGGCGCTTCTCTTCATCTCCCCTTCATCACTCAAGTAGAGTTAACAGCTGAAATCTAGATTCAATAATATTCATGATGTTATAATTTATTAATTAATGTATGACTCATTTAATTGAAGTGTTTGTCCTTTAGGTAAGAGAATCAGAGGATTTCTATAGTCTGTCTAAAGATAAACTGCTGGAGCTGATTCTTAGCGATGAGCTCGAGATAGAAGATGAACAGGTGAGTCATCCTCTTTTTCCTTTTGTTTATTTAGTTCTTTAATAAAATGGCAGCACTACATGGTTGCTCAATGGTTGGCACTATTACCTCACAGCAAGAAGGTCCTTCTCAGTGCACTTGACCAAGGAACTGGCTAAGAACTGGAGTTGGCCATGGGCACTGTATGAAAAACAGAACAGTATACAATATAATTGTAGTATTCATGATGAGTAAATCAGAGTATTGTACATTTTGAGGGCCAGATGACTCACAGTGTCTGAATCTCGAAATGAGACTTTGATGCCCACAGGCCAGAATTACTTCCTGTGGTGGTCTGTGGTGCATATTGGTGGAATAAGTACTCCTGTGTTTAACCAGCACCTCATGGAGTGGATGGGAGACATTGCCCAACATGACACAACGCTTGGACAGCATCCTCTAAGCTACGTGTCATCAATAAACTGGCCAGGCCAAGCCAGTTCATTTGTGACACATTGTCACTGTACACTCCCAGGCATTTGTAGTCCTCCACAATGTGTACACTGACACCTTGGATGGAAACAGGGCATGTGACACAGTTACACACCACAGCCCTATTCTCAGTCTCCTCATCCTTGCTGATACATCCAACTAACTACAGTTGCTGTCCACTCTGTCTGACTCACCTCCTGGAGAGGTGTCAGTTTCACCTCCTGGAGAGGTGTCAGTTTCACCTCCTGGAGAGGTGTCAGTTTCACCTCCTGGAGAGGTGTCAGTTTCACCTCCTGGAGAGGTGCCAGTTTCACCTCCTGTGCACTGCCGAGGTGCCCCTGAGCAAGGCAACATAACCCCAAGAAACTGCTCATGGGCGCCGATAACGTGTGTGTGTGTGTGTGTGTGTGTGTGTGTGTGTGTGTGTGTGTGTGTGTGTGTGTGTGTGTGTGTGTGTGTGTGTGTGTGTGTGTGTGTGTGTGTGTGTGTGTGTGTGTGTGTGTGTGTGTGTGTGTGTGTGTGTGTAAAAAATCATCTGCGAAAGAGCGTGTCTGCAGCCTGGACATCGAGCTCGTGGTGGTCAGACTTCGTCCGTGTTATCTGACACGGGAACTTTCCAGTGTTATCGCCATCATTGTCTATATTCCTCACGGTGGTCTTCATCACCATCACTATTTACATTTATGATGTCTTATTTATTCTCCTGTACAGCACTTTGGTCAACTTTGGTTGTTTTTAAAGTGCTTAACAAATAAAGTTGGATTGGATTGGATTGGATTGGATTGTAGGCACACATACTGTGGTCTGCCAGTCAGGTAGTTGATAATCGGACACTAAACTAAAATGAGGGTTAGGATTAATGCTAGAAAATAGTTTCCAAATAAATTTTGTTCCATCCATTATAGCAACAGGTAGGGTAATAACAGTAACCAGACCTTAATTTGAATATTATTTGTTTGATTGTCATTTTGACTTGTGGCAGGTTGTGTTTAACTCTGTGATGCGGTGGGTAAGATACGACTTGGAGGGTCGGCGTCACAACGTACCAGAGCTGCTCAGGGGAATCAGGTTGGCTCTGCTGCCTTCTGAATGTTTGTTGGAGGCTGTAGCCTGTGAAGAACTGGTTATGGCTGACAAGAGGAGCAGGTAGGCAGTTCCAGGAATCTTATGAATTGATATAAAGCTCTGATTTCTTTCTCTATTCTGTTTTCTTCATTTCACTTTGTTCTGTCTAAAAGGAAATTATGAAGTTACACATTTAAAATGTTACAAATAATTGTATTGTGTGTGTAGGGGAGATTGGGGTAAGTGGAGCCAAAGGTAAGTTGAGCCACCCCTTGTTGCTAGGAAATGGTAAAAAACATTGATCATGTGACCAAATATTTAGGAGGAAGGCATCATTTCATGGAGTATATGAAGGTAAGAACCATATGGGTAAAGTGGTTAGATATTTATTTCTAAGAAAAAAAACATTTTTCACTCTTGAAAGTGAATTTAGTCTATCATATGTTTCATGAGAATTGTGTTTAGACCAAAATAGATCATTTTAAATTTGTTTTATACATCAATTGTGGTATCTATGAGCTACAACATGAGGTCATAAACCTAGCATAAAAGTGCACCATTTTAGCTGTGGGGACTAATAAAGTCAAAATGGTAGCTCTGGGCTTGAAGTCGAGCCATTTGGCCAGGGGTAAGTTGAGCCGGTGGCTCCAGCCAAAATACACTTAATAAGTGTATCCAAAAACATAATCTGTGTATATTCCAAAAACACAGCTGTTAATGTTCTCTTCCCATCGCACTTTAAGGCATTCTCACTTGTTCTCTTCCTAAGTGCACTTTAAGGCATTCTCATGTTAAAATGTTTTTTTTACAAAACAGCTGTTTAGCAATAATAATAAAAAAAAGTTATTGTACCTGTTGAATTGTGTATAATAAATAAAAATACGGCTCAACTTACCCTGCTCCTATGCTCAATTTACCCCATACACTGGGTAAGTTGTGCCGCAAGACCACTTTTTTTGGACATGCTATATTATCGAAACAGTTATGTTTACACTCATTCTGTTTGTTTGAAGGGATGCACAACATCCTGAAATATATGCCGATATATTAGTTAGCGACAAAACTATGATTGCCTTGATGTAGTGATCCTAAATATGAAAAATGGCTCATCTTATCCCAGTCTCCCCTACATGTGCATGTGTGTGTCAAGACTGTTAATAAATACGAAAAAGAAATTGAATCATAGATGTATTGGCCCCATGTAGTGACTTTTTCTGAGTTCAGGGTGAAAAACTCATTCTACAAATGCCAAATTTTAGCAGGTGATTGACTGCCCTGGTCAAAAGAGCAGCTGTCTAGAAGTGGCACACAGTCAATGTACATGCGAAGGTAAATGACAGGCCGACATTTCTCTCTGTATCATTCTTCTCTTCTTTTGTCTTCACTTCACTCTCAATAATGACTTCTGAATCTGAGGAGATGTTCAGTCTGGTTACCTGGTGTATAAAGATTGAATTTTAAAGGAGACTTGTGGGAGTTAAGATTGTGTTAGCAACTGTGGCTGTTGATAGAGAATTAGGCCAACCTTTTAGTAAAGACATTTAGCAAGTGTGTCTTCATCTCTCAGTTTACGTTTTAACTCACCTCTACAGGTCAATAGTAGAGGAGGCAATGCAGTGTAAGAAGAAAATCCTTCAGAATGACGGAGTAGTGACAAGTCCCTGTGCTCGACCGCGAAAGGCAGGACACACACTGCTTATCCTCGGAGGCCAGACCTTTATGTGTGACAAGTTATACCAGGTGAGACAATCACACAGTCTTTAATGCTTGTATGATCTGTTTTAACATGTGATAAGATACTTGATGTGCTGTATGAAGGACAAGGTTTCCTGTGGCTTTGGTGGCTTGGGACATATTCTTTCACTTACAGTGTTTTGACTTTAATCCTAGTTACCATTCCTGGTCAAACGTTACTATATGGAAGTTATTAGCTCAGTTAGTATCCTCCTCACTGTTAAAAGATGAATGAGTTCAATTTGTGCCCATGCTAGATTACATACAGTAGCCTAACTAAGATGTGTAAGTTCACAATGCAACACTACAGGAGTTTAGCAGAAACATGTGTCTCACTCCGACACTTTCTTGAATTACTGCATGGAGACCCATTCGCTACTATTGTGTTTATGATGTCTTGATGGCCTAAGGGTGTAAGATGTGTATAATTTAATCAAACGTTGGTTCAAATCCGGGGAAGGCTACAGCTCAGGTAGTAAAACAGGCTGGCCCTCAATTGGAAGGTTGGTGGTTCGATTCCAGGGTTTTCATGTCCACATTTTGTGCCCTTGAGCAAGACACTGAAATCCACATTGCTCCTGATGCATGTATATAGAGGAAAAAGTTCAGTCATTTTATTACCCCAGATGGGAAATTTGACTTGCAGACAGGGGCACAAAATTAGTACGTAGTAAGTGATAAAACAAATATATACAATATACAATCAATGGACCTGTATTTGTATAGCGCCTTTCTAGTATTTCGACCACTCAAAGCGTTTAAGATGCTCCTCCTTTTGCACTTGAACCATAGTACTCTCAATCTATGGCCTGAGGGAAACATTTCAAATTCAAGCTGGTTTGTACAGTCCAGTATAGACCTGGCCTTGTGGAAATCAAAGATAGCCATCAAGGGGGTCTGGGTCTGCCACTTTAACAATGTGGTTCAGGTTTTTATCATTTTATATTCAGGTTCCCAAACCAAGCAATCACAGAGTAAAGTAAGAACAGATTTAGAATATATAATTTTCCTGTCTACATTAAAAGCATTTAACTTTCTAAGGAATTACAAACATTGCTGTCCCTTCTTAGAGACTGCTCAACAAAATGAATGCCAGTTCCGTTGAAAGTCTGAGATGTTAGGTGGGAAGATTTCCTTCTGAAATCAATGACCATATGTTTGTGGCTACATAGTATCAAGTGCAGATGAGACACCTAAAAATAAAATCTGGCATTGGTGTTTATATAGGAAGTTGAGTAAAGTGATTAAGACATCCTCTACTCCCATCATGGGGTCCAGGGCCTCCCACATCATTTCCAGCAATTCTCTTTTGACTAGCCTTTAAAACAACTAAATGAGTGAAGTCACTGTGGCTTCTGAGTTCCTGTATATCGAGTCTGTGTCTGAAAGCCATGACAAAGCTCTGTATTCATATCGATGGATTATTTTTTTTTGGAATGCACCACAGTTTCTGATGTTTTAATCTTAGCTGAAGTCTTCCTCTTTCCCTTGTCACGGTGTAATTTCTATCCCGTTAATGAGTCCTGTGCCTCGAGATTTCCATGTTTAAATCTTTAATGAAAAGCGAATCCATATGCATATCCACATGGTGTAGGCTGAGTCTGTACCGCAGAGCCTGGTGTTTGATTCCAAACGATTCAGACCTCTCTCCCCCCTTTCCTTACTATCTTAACCTGTCCTGTCAAAATAAAGGCATAAAAAGCCCAAATATATTTTTAAAGAGATACTCCACCGTCAAATATGTTTTTTGAGCTGTAAACTAAATTATGACTGTACTGTGATGAAACAAACCAATGCTGATGTTAAAATTGACATTCTTATTAAATTTAAGATTAAAAATCCTGGCTCAACATGACCTCTACTGTTTATTTTATTTTATTGCTGTCTAAATTACTTTGGACCTTGTAAGCCCACTGCTGACTGTTTGGGACTAATTTATGTCATTACATTTATATACACGCTCTAATCAGAGGAGGCGGGGCCCACTTCCCACAGCCCCCGCTTTGAGTGGGAGTCTGTAAAACCACTGTTCTCATTTTCAAATTTATACTGACCGAGACACATCATTCACAGGAGTTTATACCAGTTTTTGCAAACCCTCTACTTAGTATGTGGCACCAGTGGTTCGGACTTGTGCTGTAGGCCGGTGGTTCCCAGTCTTTTTCCTTAAGGGACCCGTTTTTTTTATAATTGAGTGAACTGACGACATTCTGACAAAGTACTATATTTTATGTATATTTCATGTTATATTCAATAAATTACATTAGTAGAAGAGACCAACTGATAAACTGTGTCAGGAAGTTTGTATAAAAAGAGAGATTTGGATAGATTTTGAGCAGATCATTTACTGTCATTATTGATCAGAGACGAGTTTTCTGGATAATTTTATACAATTCTGTTTCATGTTTTTAAAAAATATATATTTTTAACAAACATACATACTTAATAGTCTTCTTTTTTGGACATATTCAGTGTTTGAAATACTGACATATATTCCTACTGTGTACATTTTTTAAGTTTCCTTACCCCCCTTAAAAATCACGAAGGCCTCGCGACCTGTGAAGCTTTGGCGACCCCTAGAGGGGGTCCGACCCCCAGGTTGGGAACCATCGCTTTAGACAGCTGTAGAAACACCGGACTGCAATGTTTATCCTGATCCCGCGCACTGAGAGTCCCCCTACAGATACACACGTTAACCTCTCTGAGCTGTTAGCTTAGCTACAACTTTACAACACAGGTACTACACAGAAACTTGTACAGAGGTCCATGAAAGTGCTTCGAGTGATTGTAAAAGCTCCAGAATCAATGTGGATTTCACAAACAGATCTTCAAAGTAACTATTTTTCACGGTAGACTTTTTGTGTGTGTTTGTGTGTGATCCATTTTAGGTTGACCACAAAGCCAAGGAAATCATACCTAAGACAGACCTCCCAAGCCCGAGAAAGGAGTTCAGTGCATGTGCCATTGGCTGTAAGGTTTACGTGACAGGAGGAAGAGGATCAGAGAATGGAGTGTCTAAAGACGTCTGGATCTATGACACTGTCCATGAAGAGTGGTCTAAGGGAGCACCCATGCTAATAGCCAGGTGAGTAATTTCCCCCTAGGACTAATATAGTATTTCTGATTCTGAGTTACATGTATTAAAATATACTGATCAGTAGGGATGCACAATATGGATTTTTTCTTCTTCAGACGATACGAAAATTACCTGCTTCTGAGAGTTAAACCAGTTAAATAACCAACAATTTAACATTTATGTATTATAAAAAGTTCATAAGCCAGTTTTTACACATGTTAGAAAGAAAGGCTAAGATGTAGTAAACAAAGGTGGATTAATATTCCATAGCTCTGTAACAAAATCTAACTGACATCACTACTGTTAACGCAGCAAAACCAAACAACAGTTCTGACTCTTCAAATGTTCATTTATTTATTCTAGTAAAGCCTATCAGTCAGTTTGCATAAGTTCAATTCATAACAAAAGTTATGTAAGGATTATTTAATAATAATAATATACATTTATCTGACCCACTAATTATCATGCATCCCTATAAAAAGGCATATTATTAGGGATGCACGATAACTTTTTTTTAAACCGATACCGAAAACCGATAACTTTCAGCTCCTAAAGGCCGATACCAATACTGATAACCGACAACACACACACACACACACACACACACACACACACACATGATCATGACCTAAGGTCATGACATTAATACAATGAACAAACCCAAAAACACTTTTGACTCTTTAAATAGAGATATTTATTTTTTCCAATGAAAAACTATTGGCAAGCCTCTCAAAACAAAAATAAAGGCCCCTTGAACTGATGCAAATACATGCATCGGGATTACAAACTGAAAAAGTGCATTCCAGAAGTTCAAAAAAATAAATATATATAGAAAATTGATGCACTGACACAAGTTAGATTCAAACATTTCTATGTAAACACAATCTGAAAAAGTGCATTCCTCAATAACAATAAATAAAATGTGGATAATGCACTGACACAAGTTACACTTGTCTGTGTAAACAAACTGAAAAAGTGCATTCCATTGTAACAAAAAATGGAGTTTGGCTTATGGTTCCATTCAAATGAATACCTTTTCACTAAAGTAAATGAGGTTCAGTTGTTTTATCGATCGAGAGAGAGAGAGAGAGACTCCGTCAAAGCAATGGCTATATTTCAGGTGACTTATCAGGTTTGACGTATTGAAGCTTGTGCTACTTTTACCTCCTCGTGGACAAATAACAAGCGACCTGTCTTCTTCAGAAACTTTGAAAAAGTCCCACACAATTGACGCCATTTTGTCTGTTTTCAAACGTAAGCAAGCTGTGCTGCATTCACAGTGTGACGGAAATTCCCTGTTCCCACATTTGCTAGTCGTTCTTGCGGCCTTTTTAAGTTCATGTTTCTATTGTTTATGTGTAACATGTGGAAAAATACTGTGGGTATCAATTCAAGTGAGCAACTACCAAAATTATGACCGAGTTAACGAGTTCTTTTCGACGTGAGGGGGTATTCTTGAATTTTCCCAGTCAGAAAGAGTTTTTCTGATTATGCCAGCGTCACTTGAACGCAGCATTCATAGCGAGAGCGGTGCACTGCCGTGCTGACAAAATTATTTATGTTATCGGGGCTATTCGTCATGATATCGGACTTATCGGAATGACGTAATCATTTCCTGTTATCGCCCGATAATTATCGTGCACTCAGAGACAGAGCGGGTCGTCAATCGGAAGGTTAGTGGTTTGATCCCCAGTTCCTCCTGCCACATGTCGAAGTATCCTTGAGCAAGATGCTGAACCCCAAATTGCTCCCGATGCCATGCATTGGTGTGTAAATGTGTATGAATGAGTTTGGCTTTCAGCTTCCCTGGGATGACGTGTCTGCAGGTCTGCAAGGGTGGAGTGGATGACGTCACAGGCGTGCGCCACTACTGCCGATGGAGGAATGTAAATAGTGACGACAATAGTTATGGAGGACTGAAAGTGCCACAATTAAATAAATAAATACACCATTAAATAATTACTTAAATGTGTCATTAATTAATTAAAATTGGAATTAAATACATAAATGTGATATTAAATGTGTCATTAATTAATTCAAATACCGATTCATTTTATGTAAAATACGTATATAATTATTTCACTATTAACATTTACATTTCATGGTCCTGCCTTGCAGTGCTTCATGAATTACTTAAAACTGTCAAAGCCAGCCATCAAACTCAGAGGGTGGGGCCAACGCTAATCTAGCCTGATCCATTGCTTTGGTCTGAAGTAGAGTGCCTGGAAGATCTTTATGAACTTTCTAGGGCAGAGGTCGCTAACAGGCGAGTCTGGACCCAGACACCGTCCTATGCGGACCCAGACCTATAATCAATTAATTATTGAGGATTCTAAATTTTGATGGGGAGCTTCTATTTTAACCAGCACAGCTTTTTTAGTCTTTACGGTATTTGTTTAGCAGATCAGGAAGCTCACAGACCAATCGCATGCTAGTTAAGCCATCCCACATGATGCTGCTCAGCCAATCAAATCTGTTTAAACAGCGCGACTGAATACAGAGATGAGAGCGATGAGAGAGGAGAGACAGACGGAAAGAGAAGTCAGAGATACATGGAGAGGAAACGGAGAGATGAGTGAGTGCGAGACAAGAGAAGATTTATGGCACTCTCTAAGAAGAGAAAAGTGGATAGAAAATCGAGCTTTTAATGGACAGATTCATTCATTTTCATTCTTCCCACTGTGAGCACATAACCAGTGTGTCTCATATGTTCAGAGACCTTGGCGCTGATTAAAAGTGCCAGTGTGAAACGCCACTATGAGAAAAAACACAAGGTTTTCATCAAACATACCCACTCAAGTCTGAACAAGGTCACAGAAAATAAGCAGTCTCAGATCCCAATATGATCACTCAACCAGTATCCTGACCAGTGTTGGGAGTAACGGCGTTAAAGTATAACGGCGTTACTTACGGCGTTATTTTTTCAGTAACGGAGTAATCTAATTAAGTACTTTTCCCATCGTTGCAACGCCGTTACCGTTACTGAGAATGTAAAGTGGCGCGTTACTTGCGTTCCTACAATGTGGTGAATGAAGCGCAGTGGTGTCAGGCTTTCTGACAGCCACACATCAGCTGCCGGGAGAGGGCAGGGTGGTGATAATGACACCGTTGCAAATGCGATGATGATTGGCTGGGTGGGCGGATGCCAAGACAGAGACAATGGCGACGAGCTAGGGAAATTCAAAGGTAGCAATATCAAACTGGAAGTACCGACACTACTACTCGCTTATTGAAGTTAAAGGCAAGAATGTTTATGTAACATGTGTGAATTTTATTTTCAATATTTATTTTGTATATATTTTTATTTCTATGCATATGGCCGGCTGCAATCTATTGAGTTCAAATAAATACCAAATGTTCTAAAATACTGTATATAGTGTTTTTATTCTTTATTCAGTGATTATAAACATCTTTAACGTTATAGAAGATGTTATAGAATGTAATTATAGACCATAAAAAATAATGTCAGTTACTTTGCTGAGTAACTAATTACTTTTACAATGTGGTAACTGAGTTACTAACTCAGTACTAACTCAGTTACTTTTTGGGATAAGTAATTTGTAACTATAACTAATTACTTTTTTAAAGTAAGATGACCAACACTGATCCTGACCCATTCATTCACTGCCCAACGAGGGAGAGAGGTTAGAGCTCAATTCTCTCACTGAACAACAGAAAGTGTATAGAAAGATATAAAAGGGAAAGAAAGAGAAACTGTTCAATTGTAAAGATGTGTTGATATTCATTTATAAAATTTGTTGAGACTGTTAATCAAGATATGAAACAGTTAACAAAGAAAAAGGGAAACTCAAGCTGCTGCTACACTTTATTTTTCAAAGTTAAACACTTTATTATATTTTTTAGACTTAGCAGAGGATGTGGAAGCAGGAGCTGCTGACCCAGAGCATGTAGCGAGTAAAGCAGAGGCACTTATTGAAGTTCTTGGTGTTATTTCCGCACTTTCTGACCAAGATATTGACCACAGAGTGACTGCAGATTTAGAAGAAGTAGTCCAATAGCGCCACCCAGTGTATTGGAATGTGTTCACTAGCTCTGCATCGATCCATTATCTGGAATTGATTTGTCTTGGCTTGATGCGCAGGGTAACCAATCAGGCGTTTGGTTCCGCCTACCAACTTTTGATGGGTGAGTTTGACAGTTTTAAGTAATTCATGAAGCACTGCAACGCAGGACCATGAAATGTAAATGTAAATAGTGAAATAATTATATATGTATTTTACATAAAATTAATCGGTATTTGAATTAATTAATGACATATTTAATAACACATTTATGTATTTAATTCCAATTTTAATTAATGAATGACACATTTAAGTAATTATTTAATGGTGTATTTATTTATTTAATTGTGGCACTTTCAGTCCTCCATAAATAGTGGCCGTAAACTCACAGGGCACATAGTATGGCCTTAACCCTATGGCCAGAAGTCCAACATCAGGTGTGCAGATTTCTGCCTTCTTGACAACATGTCCAGGGTTACAGGCTGTGGATCAGAGGCAGAGTGGGTCGTTCCTTAATCGGAAGGTTGTGGGTTCCTTGAGCAAGATACTGAACCCCAAATTGCTCCCGATGCCGTGCATCGGTGTGTGAGTGTATGAATGTTAGTTTCTGTTTGATGGACTTTCCCATCACTGAGTGAATGTGTGTGAAAGGGTGAATGTGGCACGTAGTGTAAAAGCGCTTTGAGTGGTCGAAAGACTAGAAAGGCGCTATACAAGTCCAGGTCCATTTACCATTTACCATATTAAAGGCTGATAAGATAATGCTAGTTAACTAGGCTACATCGAGTGAGAACCTATCATGACATAGAATTTATTTACATAGAATGCAGGTTTAAGACTCTTTCCTGTGGGCTTACCTTCACAGACCCGGAAGCTCTGTCCAATACATATACTGTCAGTGGGCAAAATGCTTGACATTGTGTCACCCAGTGCAAGGGTGCGCAAGCTAAAGATGATGTTACCACATCTGTAAGCTGTTGAGGAAACTCTGTATTTCAAAAACTCATTCCTCGCGTGTTTTAATGAAGCGATAGGAGAAGATTTAGTTTACTCAATAATCAGCTTTATTCATTTGTTAGCTGGCTGAATTTATCCATTAGAGGTGTGACTTGTCACTGATCTCCCGATTCGATTAAGATTATCACGTCTTCGATTCGATTCCTCGATGCATCACGATGCATCACAATGCTTCAAAAAAATTTTCTATTAAAGCCATATAAGATATTTGACTTGACGGAATGCATTAAGATACTGTATAGTTCAATATAATACAGTGTTCTATATTACTTCATATGGTTGTTTTCATCCAAAAATACAAGTAGTAAGATATAAACAATCTTTTTTATTTAACAGTCTGAACACAGCAGACAGCACACACACACACACACACACACACACACGTCTCCCGATCGTGTCGCTGGACAGAGAGACAGTATTCAGTGTCTCAGCACTTTTCTCACCTATGATTGTGACCATGTCCAATGCTGCCGGAGTATTAGCTCCTCAGCTATTGTGTGATGGATTTTTGCACCTTGCGATGTGGCGGTGTTTGTACGAGGCTGACGGTGCGTTTTTATTTACTGATGCCGCGCTCACTAAATGACTGGCCTGTTGGCGATACGCATCGAGTATCCGATGAAAAAAGTCCAGTGGCTTATTGACATAACTGGGGTGTAAGGTCTCCAAGTGCCGTCAGTCCCCCCTGCCTGTCGCGCCCCACTATTTGAGAAGTACTGGTCTAGATGAAATGGGTTAGGCTACTGAGAATGTTATTTTTCATTTGAATGTTTATGCCGCGGCCGGAAAATTAACGAGCAACATCATTGCGTTATAATCGATTATGGCCGGCCACTGCATCGATGCAGCATCGTCCATGTCTGCATCGTGATGCATCGATTATTTGATTAATTTCAACACCTCTATTATCTATCCATTTGTGGCCCCCCTCTGTGGGGGCTGGCATTTTCTCTAAAATGCAATTCATGTCTGTGAATGAGAATGGTTGATACACTGTATTTCCATTGCTCTTGGCGATGAGTGGCATTGCAAGTGATGGCAGTTGCACTACGCTTCCCTTTTTTTGACCGATTTTAACATGTTGGGATGGGTGCTTTTGTGTATGTGAGCGTGTGTTGCGTATCAAAGCCAACAGAATGGGTGATGGACCCCTATCATATTCCTGTGAAGATGATATATCTTGCTCTGGCTGGTTGTGGTATATGACTAGCTGCCCTGACATCTGTGCATCACATACTTGCTGGTATTGCTCATATTCCCCCTTTTCTTCTTCCCCCTCTCCATATGTGATCTCCTCCTCATCGGTTTCGCACCCCCCCCCCTTGCCACTCTCTGCTATTCTCCTGTCTATCTTTGCCTGGAATGGTCCCGCTGGGCTCCCTGTCTGTTTTTTCTCCTCCCCTTCGCGCTGCTTTTGCTCCCTGTGCTGCTCTGCGTAAGTCCCCACAGTAATTCTCCTATCTTCCTCTCTCTCACTCCCCCCCTTCTCGTATTCCAGCTTCTCTGTAGGGAATGTATCCTCTATAACTGACACTGGGCATCTTATTTCTTCCTGTTTTTTAACCTCTGCCTTCAACTGGGCTATCCTCTCCTGCTGTTGCTCCCAGTATGCTTTAACCTCAGTCAGGTCCTTTGTCTGCCCCTTTATTATCTCCCGTAACTCTTCAAATTGCTTTACTGTCCCTTCAAAGACGTTCCCCTCTAAATCCAATTGGCCTGAATTAACTGTGATTTCCGGAGCCTGTATTGCTCCTGGACGGGTGTCTGTGTACGGCGGAGAGGCCGTGGCATAAGGAGGGTTGTCGAGGTATGGGTATAAGGGCCATGGTCCCGGCTTCATAGGTGGAGCAGTCGTGGTCACAGTCTTTGTCCGTGCTCCTATTGCTGCGCAGGCTAATGATATCGCGTGTACTGAAGCTCTCTTTCTGTCTAACTCCTCTGAAGTCTTCTTCCACTTTATCTTGGCCAGCCAGCCCTGTTGTACTCTAGTATCATGCTTTTCTAGCTCGTCTACTACAGTTTTCTCTGTGGCAGCTAAATATGGCAACAATTTCACCCTCTTCATGTTACCAGGTACATGTCCCTGCTCCTGGAGCCAAGTCCATGTATCATCATGTACTTTCATCATTTTATCTTGTTCATCTTTAGGAAATCCACTAGTCATTTGCCCCCTGACTACTTCCCACTGCTCACCCACTGTGCTTACTGAAGCCTCCCCATTCTCCCCACAATCTTTATTAAATTCCTTTTCCATTTTTAAAAACAACCTGTAAAACGTGGTACAACACACTGATTGTAAAAACTTTAAAACACATACAGGGTTGGTGTGAATGACTCAGAGGTCAGTATTGTACAACTAATGCCCAGTGAGACAAGCTTCTAGGCTGAAATAATCTTTTCAGTCTGGTCTCACTCGAGGGGTCCTCTCCCAGGCTTTGTACACACTTTTTAGACACACTTCTCCCGTATCCAACCACACGTTTTCCCCAAAGAACAGGCGTTAGACGAGACTCCTGGACCCACCCACACAATACACAATGATTCAGCCTCTTTAACAGTTTCACATTAAGAAACGCTCAGCTGTCATGCTCAAATGTTTGCACAAGCAATATATCGTATGAACTCAGGCTATTTGTTTAGGCAAATTTTTTGCTAGTACAAATTGTTTTAGTGCCGACTCTAACAGTCACAGGGATTGAAACCCTTGGGCTAGTCCGAGTTTTCCTTTTTATCCCTCTCTGAGTTCCCTCTTCTGGTACTTACAGGAACCAGCGACCTGGGGCGTCCTCTAGACCCCTTTTTACCCACCACCCATATAATGCGGCAGGTCGGGGCGGGTTTTAAACCGCTGGTGCTTTGTGGAGGCCTTTCACCCCTCACGGGACTCCAATCCTCAGGCTAACCTGCTTGTGCGCTTTCACAGCAGGTTCCCTATTGGTGACCTCCTTAAGGGAGCGTGCCCTATGTTGCACACTATACTGGTTTACACTATGCCTAGGACGAGTATCACAAGTGACTTCAAAACAGTTTCGACAATGCCCAATCGCAGAATTTTGTTATAACAGGCTTCTGCTTACCTTTATTTTATGCGGATCCGCGAAGTTTTGCTGTCACTCAGTCCTCTCGTCCATTGTGAAGAAAAACTTGGTTGTCTAACTTCTCCGTCTTCATCACGTCGGGGTCACCAAATTGTTGAGGAATCTCTGTATTTCAAAAACTAATTCCTCACGTGTTCTTTTAATGAAGCGATTGGAGAAGATTTAGTTTACTCAATAATCAGCTTTATTCTTAACACCAGTAGAATCTGCAGAGTTTACAGAGCTCTGGGTTCAACTACGGTTAACCTGACACGCACAAGGTCTGCCAGTTCACGAAGTCTGAGCAACCTCCTGTTCCTAACATCAGTTCTTATATTTTTGCAGATAACACACATAGCACAAGATGGTATTATCTCCACCCCTTGTCCTCTTGGTATCTTGTCTCCAAGGATGGTGTTGATGGGGTAGCCAAAACCTGAGTTTTTTTTCACGACTGGAAGGACTCCGTCCTGTGTTCTATCATTGTTTTTACGAGCTCCTGATACTGACCTCGGAGGCCGTGTTTACCGCTTTCTCTCCCAAAGAATGTCATGTTATATCTGCAACTACCCACACTCTTCTCCCTTATACTGTGCCTGCTATTCATATTCATTAGTAAGTTACAATTCTATAACACATCATACAAACATCTAATATTCATTACTTTATTTCTGTTATTAGTATTCCCTTAACAGCCCTTTATCAATGTAAGCATAATCAATGTAAGCACAAGTAAACATATTTCTATTCTAGTTAATACTCATAGGTAAATATATAGAGTATAAATCACAGAATATCGCATCAAAGCATAGAAGAGGGACAAGTATATCTGTGGTGTGGAGATCTTTTAAAGTTTGCAAATGGATAGCAAAGTTGCTATTGTTAGTAGTTCTACAATGAAATGATTGTGTACAACTACACTTAATGGCTGCAGTACCATTTGTATGACCTAATTTTTGCAGTGACTGCACTTTGTCTACTTAAACATATATATATAATGGCCACTCAAACTTATTGACCTGGTGCAGTCAGAGTGAACCTCAGCCACGTGTCGAATTATGCTTGAGCAAGATACTGAACCCGAATTGCTCCTGATGCTGTACATTGGTGTGTAAATGTGTACGAATGCATTTCTGTTTGATGGGCTTTGCCATCACTAAGTGAATGTGTGTGAAAGGGCGAATGTGTCATGTAGTGTAAAAGCGCTTTGAGTGGTCGGAAGATTAGAAAGGCGCTATACAAGTACAGGTCCATCTACCATTTACCATTTACCATATCAGAGGTAGATCACACTGTGTATATTGTTGAAAGACCAATTTTAGCAAGCCCCTACATTGTCTAAAGCACAAAAACACACACACACACACACACACACACACACACACACACACACACACACACACACACGCACATATATAATGTAGGTATATGTATAGTATGAATGCTGCTGTGACAAGGCAATTTCCCCGTTGTGTGATTTAATAAAGTAATAAAATAAAAATATTCTCTCCAGGTTTGGCCATGGTTCAGCTGAGTTGGAGAATAGTCTGTATGTTGTTGGAGGTCATACAGCCATAGCTGGAGTTTTTCCTGCCTCACCATCTGTTTCCCTAAAACAGGTCAGAAAAAAATCAACTTCTTCATGAAAATTGTTAAAGAATTTACATTTTTCATCTCTATTTATTGATGTTAAAATCTAATTATATGTACATGTACACAAGTACATACAGCTTGTAATCTAATTTTTGTTATCAGGTGAAATCTCTGCTGCTTGTCTGAGTTTGACTCAACCTGGACACATTATGCATCTTTGCTTTAAGCCTCTAATCTGTTACCGTGTAATGTTTTCCTAGGTGGAGCGGTATGACCCTCTCAGTAATAAATGGACTATGATGGCTCCTTTAAGAGATGGAGTCAGTAATGCAGCCGTGGTCAGTGCCAAACTCAAACTGTTTGTTTTTGGAGGGACCACCATACACAGAGACAAGGCTTCCAAGGTTGGTGGATTTACCTTTCCCTTACAATTCCTTATAAGGCAGCTTTCTACGTACGTCATTTCAGTTTCAGTTTGTCCCACTGTCTAGTAGCCAAAACACTGGGAAATAATTTGTAAGAAATAACTTAATGTGTAACATTTCCAAATTTATAAGAAGGCCCAAATAATTAATATGTTGTATTTGGACTAGGCAGGGTGATCCTCTAACCATGTTGCTCGTTATTTTGTTTGTGGAACCACTGGCAGTATCAATTGGAGATGACTTGAGAAATAAGGGAGTGATGGCAGGAAGCGGGGAGCATGAACTGTTTATATGCAGATGACATTTTGTTGTTACTATCAAACCCAGTTTTCTCTATTTCAGGTGTCAATGTGACTTCTTCTGAGATTTTGGGTTATAAAATTAACTGGCAAAAATCAGAGGTAATGCCCATCTCATTGGGTTGTGTAGTATAAAATTTTGTGTAGGTTAGTGCATGTTATAAGTTAGTAATCAAATAATCACACAAAAGTTTGGATATTATGTTGTAAGCACTATGGTTTGTTCACACAGATAACTGGAAATCAAGTAGTTTGTAATGTTTTATGTAATGATGATTTTGAGTGTTAAGTAGAATAGGATAATTAGGCGAGTAAGACACCAGTAGAATGGAGCATGGGCAAAACAAAGGCAGGATAATTGGGCTGATAAGACAATCAGTAGGATGGCGCATGGGCCCAACAAGGGCAAAATAATTGGGACCCACAGACTGGTGAAGATTTAGGGTCTTTCCAGAGTAGAATTTACACCATTATGTCGTGGATGGAAAAGGTAGAAGGTGGGCAGGACTTGTGACAGAGGGCAAAAGTATATAAGGAGAAGCTTTGTGAGGACGAATTCAGTCTTTCCATGGAGGGCTCGGGCTTTGTGTGTCTGTTAAGATAATAAAGCTCTAATCTACTGCCAACTTTGATGAATCCTGGTTGTTATTTTTCCACCTGAAGGAGAATAACTTTTAGACCTAATTTGGACTTAGAAATTCGCATGTTGGACACAATCTTCTGATAGAAAAAGAGAACTCATTCTGACCAAGACCCAACAGTTGCTTCCCTGCTGACACTCTTTCCATTTAAGTGGCTACCTTTGCGGATGAAATATCTGGGTATAATGGTGCTATCCATTTGTCTCGTGAACTCGGAGCCCGAGTTGTTCTGCCGCAAGAACGTTACGTCATTGCCTGGCTTGTACCACTTATAGCGTTCCGGTTTGTCTTTGGGTATTACGAGTTGGAAAGAAGTGCAGCAGCTGTCTTGTTATTGCTTGTGGCTCATCTAAACAAGCTCAATGTGAAATAATAACATGTTTTTCTACAGAAACACTAACATTTCAAGTAATTCCGTTATTGCAAGTCTTACATTTCAAATATATTTTGCCATTTTCGCCTATTTCATTTCAACAAGTGCTGTGGCGTTTGTCTCGAGCCACCAGGGGCAGTGGCAGGCTAGTGTTATTGTTAGCTACATTAGCCTTTTTAGCAAACCAGCTCGAAAACAAAACTTTACATTGTATTGCACGCACAGCAACACCGTGCAATGCATAAATTGGTGACCGGACTAAAGCAGCAATGTAAACAAGTGTATAGGAGCATTTAAGACGACCAACGTAGTACAAATACAAAGAAAATACATCTTAATATGGGCGCTGCCATCTTTGTTTTGCGGGTCGTACGTACTCCCCCGTCCAGCTCGGGGTGACAGCTGAAATTCCGACCAAAAGGGGGTGTGTCTCAGTGAAATGTCGTGAGATAGCTGCGAGATTTACACTTTCCAACTCGGGTTCCGAGTTCTCGAGACAAATGGATAGCACCATAAAATTGACTACAGACTTTCAGGAACTTCTTTAAATTAATATTAATCCAGTCCTCCAATCTATTAAGACTAAATTTACTAAGGGGAAAATTCTAAAGTTATTTGGTGAAAACATACATTTAAAATGATTGAGAAGAAGATTAACTGTATTTATATGATGTTCCCTTTAAATGTTCCAGTATCAGTGCTTAAGCAGTACCTGTGGAGAGTTTATGTTTTTGTTCCGTTTGTGTTCTTCGTTACCTGTAGACCACCAAGTGAAATATAAGTTTTCTATTATAATTTGCAGGTTGTTTGAGAAAAAGTAAACAAACAAACAGTCTGTCATTGACAGCATTTCACAAAGTTTATAAAGTTTCTCCTCATTTAATATACTTATCAAAATTGTGTGATTTATTTATTTATTTAATTAAATTTAAGGGAGTCTGCAGATATTGTGTTTACTAGTTGCTCAAATCAATTAAAACAGGCATTCACAAACATCAGTTGCTTATCTTGGCAGGTAAAAGAGCACAAGCACCAAATAGACCAGTGTTTCATGTGTACTTACAGGATGTCAGTTAAGTAGTTGGTCTTTCAAGGTGGACACATTAGCGTTTACGCTACAAGAGATATGTTGTCGGTGGTCGTTTACGCTTGTTTCTAGACTTGTGATCTGATCATCCAAGACACATGTTAATACCAGGTGTAAATAGGCTCTAAATGTTCTAATTTGAGTTATTTTTTCTGTTTTAAATGAAGAACCATTTGTAAATGTTCTTTACTCCACTGTGTATGAATATTATAATGTAAAACGCATACTGAATAAAATTAATGATATTATCACATTATACTGCATTGTTGTCTGAAATCTCCTTACCTTAATATGTTAGTGTCACACCTAACCACTGTCACTATGTTCTATATCTAGGTCCAATGCTACGACCCTCTGGGTAACCGCTGGAATATTGCGGCTGAATGCCCACAGCCATGGCGCTACACAGCGGCTGCTGTCTTAGGGAGCCAGATCTTCATCATGGGTGGCGACACTGAATTTACAGCTGCCTCTGCTTATCGCTTTGACTGTGAAACCAATCAGTGGACTCGGGTTGGCGACATGACGTCTAAACGGATGAGCTGCCATGCTGTGGCCTCAGGAAATAAGTTGTATGTGGTTGGAGGTTATTTTGGGACGCAGAGGTGTAAAACATTGGATTGCTACGACCCCACGTCAGATAGTTGGAACTCCATCACCACTGTGCCTTATTCATTGATCCCCACCGCCTTTGTCAGCACTTGGAAACACTTACCTGCCTAACAGGGAGACACCAGGAGCCAGCCATTCCAGGTACATTCTAAATGACACTAAGTGATCAGTGGGTATTTGCACATATGTATGCCTAGCTCTCAGACTGAACCCAATGCGAATTTTCTTGCATTACATTGCCCTCCAGAGTTATTGCCACGCTTTGGTTAAAATGAGCAAAATGACATTAGAAAAATTATGTTATGTTAATTATGTATCAATTATTTAATTGAAGTAACATAACTGAAAGAAACATTAAATTCTTATCATTTAGCAAATATTTTTCTCAAATATGTGTGCCGCAATTAAACCATCCTCCCTTGCTAAGATAACAGCTCTAAGTTCTGTCCTATTCATACTTTGCACGTGATGTCACAACTACTAGCTGGCGGGCAAGAACATCGTTCTCCAGCAACTAAACCCAGTAAACTAATCAAGGATCTTGCCAGGACGTCGCCAGTTTTACTATACAAAAGTATATATATATCATATGTACGTGATTTGATATGATACGATCAGAAGAAGAATACATGTTACAGTACACACGTTACTGTTGTACTGCGGCTACTTACTTACTTACTTACTTACTTACTTTGCATACATAACGTTACTATCGTACAGTTATTACTACTACATTAACGTTACAACCTAACAGATTGCTAACAGGATTATTGGCATTTCGCTGCCCCAGCTGCTCTTGTCTGTTGTCTGATGCTATGTGGAGTGGATAAGCAGGTAGGCTACAATGTTTGACATCCTGCTAGCCATATATGATACAGCCTAGTTGGCATAAGGTTTTTTTTAAACTAACGTTACTTATCAAGCTGTCATTCGCCGGCAGGCAGGGTGTACACGACGCAACAGATGTCACTTTGTGTATAGCTACAAACATGCAAACATTAGCAAACGTTAGCGGGTAACGTTAGCTAACAGTTAGCTAACTAGTAACACTCACCTTTGCTTTGATTATGAAGATATTCCTGTTTTTCACCTCCCATACGACAGCGTTGTAAACCCATCCACTCTTGAAAAAAGATAGCTATCCGTACTTTTGTAGGCTTTCATTTTTTTCTGCGGTGTAAGGTGACGGATATATGTAAATATATGTTTCTTGCCCGCCAGGTAACCACGTGACTGCAAAGTATGAATAATGCATGATTAAAATACGTCACTGACTCCAAGATGAAAAACCCGTACAGAATCTCTTTCAAGAACCTTCAGATTCCAAGGTCAATGCTTGTGGACTCCTTTCCTATTCTGCGGTCCTTGGAACAAAAATAGCCTTACAAGGGATAGATCTACCATGATACTTCACAGTGGGTATGAGTGGCTTTTCTGTACAATCGTAATTAAAGCTGCAAGCAATGATGCCATAGCAGTCCAAGCAAGTCAGGGCTTGCTGCAGTAGTATCATCTGTCAGCATATTATTCAGTTCAATTCAATTGTATTTGTAAAGCGCCAATTCATAACAGAAGTTATCTCAGGACACTTTTCAAATACCGCAGGACTACAGGTACTCCTTATAAAATTATTTACAGAGACCTAACAGTTCCCACCATGAGCAAGCACTTGCCGATGGCAGCAAGGAAAAACTTTTAAGAGGCAGAAACCTCGGGCAAACCCCAGCTCTAGGTGGGTGGCCGTTTGCCTTGACGAGAGAGAGAGAGAGAGACTGATGGTGATGATGATGAACATGAAGAAGATGATGACTACGACGACAGCAACAATGGGAACGATGAGAAGTGACTATAGTAATAATAGTAACTGTAGTAATAATAATAATGATTAAAGCCAGCGTTCGGTGGGACCTCGCCATCAACCTACGTCGGGGCCTGCACAGTGGTCGCCCACAGCCGCGCTACGCCGCATTGCAGCCAGTTTTGATGTTGGTCCGATAAATTCCCTGGGTTTGGGTTACGGGTCCAAGAGGCTTTTTTGCTTGTCCCATCATGATACACATGCGTACCAGTTTTCGTACATGTCGGTCGTACGTGTCTTGGGGGCTGATTCTAGGGGGCGGCTTAGCCACACCCATCTATGGAACCAAGACAACACCTTAGCCTTTGCCACAACTTAATTTTGTGCAAACTTTCATGAGTTTTTGGGCATGTTTAGCCCCCCAAAAAGTTTTCAAATGTTAACAGAAAAACAGATTTTCCCCACGTCGCCATGGCAACATGGTTCCATGCTAATTCTTAAGATTCATAAGATGTCAGCGTCATCATCCTAAGGAACTTCTGACTGAATTTCAGCTGGATCTGATCAATCTGCTGGGAGATATACATAAAAGTACAAAAATGACATTGGCGCTCTCACTATTAGTGAATATGATCACATAGATGTGTTCAGAGCGGGACTCTTATCAGACAAGTTAAGTTTGGAGCAGAATGGACAATGTACACTGAAGTAATAGCAAATTTGGGTGTTCTGGTTATTTTGTTGTCATTATAATTTGTTGTTGATGTTATATATTTTTTCTCTCTATTATCAGTTTGTTATTACTTCATGTAGTTATAATATTCTCTGTACGTCAATTTTCTGTTCCTTATAACTATGACATTTTAGGTGGAGGCTTTGAATAAGCCCATTAGGGTTTTCTGCCTCTCCCTGCACTTAACACTATTTGTTATCTTTGTCGTCTTTTTAATGTAATTCTAATCTGTGCAAAATAAATAAATAAAAATACATCAAAGTTTGACGACACGCCACGGACACGCCCTTTAACAAACTGTCACCACAATCATGAAATATCATCAACATGTTTTGCATGTCCTGACTAAATTTCAGCTGGATCTGATTAACCTGCTAGAGTAGAACATGAAAGTATAAAAAATGACACTTTGTTTCACCACTAGGTGGCACTCTCACTATTCCTGAATATTATCACATAGACGTGTTCAGGGCAGGAATCTTATCACACGTGAAGTTTTGTTGAGATCGGATCATGTACGTAGAAGTTATGACAACTCCTTTTTTCATGGCGAGTCATTGAAATTCAACGCCATGCCATGGGCACTCCGTTCGACGGAATGTTGTAATTAGCACAACTTTTAATCATGAATGTCTTTAGATGGTTGTGTCCAAAGTCGATCGATCAATTCCCTAGGAGGAGTTTGTTCAAATGCAACGTGTGCAAATCGCACAAATTTTGTTCGTCTGGATAAGATCTACGCGTGTGCCGATTTTTATACATATCGGTGTGAGGGGCCCCAGGTGTAAAATTTTGCCATGCTTATAGTGGACCCCTAGAAAATGTAAAAATGTTCGCCACGACTGACATGTGCGCCGCGTTTCATTCGTTTTCGAGCATGGGAAAGCCTTCAAAAATGTGATTCATTTGTTACTAAAATAATAATCCTTACAAATACAAAAGGGCCTTTGCACGGTCAGTGCTCGGGCCCTAATAATAGCCCTTACAATTACAATAGGGCCTTCACATGGTCAGGGCCCTAATAAAAACAATAATATCAGTAATATTAGCAGTGGGAGTCAAGCATGACCATGGCAGGAGGCACCACCAGGATCCATGAGAAAATGCGAGACGAGAAAGCACAAGAACTCCGGGGAAGAAGTGATGTTGGTAACATGCATTAATGGGACATAAATGTGTGACGCACACACCACTTCATAGTGCTGAAGTGTGATGTAAAAGAGTCTGAGTGGTCATCGCACACGTCATCTGTGACTTTTGCTTGAGTTTCTGTCTGCAGGCAGAAGCAGAACTGAGATTAGATCTGATTTGCCCAACTGGGAGCGAGGAAAGCCCTTATATCTTGGAAAGGAATGTAAACATGGTAGAGTGTTCTACCATACCAAACAGCTGATGTGCTGGTGATATCACAGCAGGATTTTCCTCAGGTTGGCTTTGTTAAAAGCCCATGTCACAATTAAAGCAACCATCTGCTGTAAGGTCTCTGTCCTTTCAAGAATTTCATACAGCTCATTCAGGGTGTGTAGTGGAATGTACACTGCTGTGAGAATGGCCAGTATAAACTCCCTCTGAGATAATAAGGACGGTGTCTGATCATAAGATGCACCAGGTTAGGAAAACAGTCCAACGAAAACATCTTTACAGTGAGCACAAGTTGGTTGTTGATCATGAAGCAGACACTTTCCTCTTTGCTCATCCCCAATTTTATTGTCCAAAACCATTGCTGTTCTTACTGTGCTATTAAAAATAATAATATAATAATAAACTTTATTTGTACAGCACTTTTCAAAAACAAAGTTACAAAGTGCCTTACATGGCACGTAGAGCACTTAGCATTTAGAGGTAAGGCAGAATAAACGAGAATAAAAGACCCCCATCAGTAAAAAATAAGGACTAACAACAAAACAGATAAAACATATTCCACAATTGACATGACATGACATAGTCATGATATATAAGACATTTAAACAGTGTGCTAGAATAAATAAAGAGATATGTTTTCAGAAGTTATATAAAAGATGTCACTGATTCAGCAAGTTTACTTGCTACTGGGTGCTTGTCTTCTTGTGTTAATTAAAAAGCAGAGAAGCTGCATTTTGAACTGGGTGCAAGATGGCTTTTTGGTTTAACCCAGAGTCCAGTTGAGATTAAATAAATGCATGGATATGTTTCTCAAGATCAGGCCGCAAGACAAACAACTTGATCTTTGCGGGTAGCTGGTAAAAACATGTTTCAACAACAATTTGTTTTTCAAAATTGAGCTTGTCAAATATTATGCCCAGGTTTCTAGGACAACCCGCTCCTTAGTTTATTTAGCTTATTATCTTGTGACTACAGCTGTCCTTTACTTAAGATTTTTCTAGTGGACTACTACTCCTTAGATAAAGCCTGTAGTCAACAAGCTCTCACGCGTTTGTGATATAAATGATATATATATATATATATATATATATATATGAAATATCCTAAACATGTGAAGGCTTGACATTATTTACAGAGACCCAACAGTACCACCATGAGCGAGCACTTGGCAACAAGGGCAAGGAAAAACTGCCTGTTAAAAGGCAGAAACCTAGGACAGATCCTTCGGCTCTAGGTGGGTGGTCGTCT